TTTGACATAATCAGAGAAGGAATAAGTTCTTGTTTAGAAGGCCAAACCCATGGATTGACTATAATCGAGATATGTATTGTCAAATGGTATAATGGAAAAACCTGATTGCAAATTCAATGTTATAAACCGCGATCGAAAACTTGATGGAGAAAGGACGGAATCATAGCAACAGCGGATGAGATGATTTACTATGAAGTTCATACAATGCAACCATACGATATGCAAACCCATCCTGAAATCTTAGTCATAGAAAAATTTGACATAGCTATGACCTCAAGAGGTTGAAGAAGTATAGCCTGCTCTATGATATCAGCCACTTTAACCACTCTTGACCCATTTCTGCAGCTAACACCCATCTCTAGCGGACTCCACATCTGCAACACTAGAAACTCAATTTAACAGGAACCGGTAAGAGCCGTCAACGCGAGCCACCCCGTTCGTACATATCTACAAGCAAACATACACAAGCTAAGGCTAGCTACAGCCAAATGCTGATCAGAACTTCTGAAAGCATCAGTATCCACACCACGAAGCATTAAAGAATGGTTGGTTTGATCCCAAATCAGAATTGATAATAATGCAATTGCGAAGTGAAAAGTCCATTGAATTGGTCATTGTTAGAACTGTAGCAAACCACTGTGCTTGGAAAGAAGAGATCCCCCCAAAACTAGAGCTTACTGGAAATTGGAGCAATGAACGCGAGCTTAAAGAGGGAACCTTTAGAACTGGAGAAAAACTCGACTGTGCAGCATAAAGATCAAGTGCAACTCCACTTCTAGGATACCATTGAAACAGGTGCAAGAGCAAAATAATAAATGGGGCAGAAGATTAAGGCATAGGCAAGGTTTCCTTCCAAGACCCATATAGAACTGTTGACAGAGAATGGCCAGAACAAACATTTTTACAGGGAGCTTGGAGAGTGATTCTCACAAGATATAGTGCCGAAACATCTTAAGACAATAGATAAGTGTATCATCGATTAAAATCTGGGTTTCCAAGCAATAACAAGCATTGAAGCAACTATTTTCAGAGCTGCAGCGTAGGTACACACGTATAGTCATATTTTATTATTGAAAATTATAATAATGTTAATCATGATTCAACAAATGAATAAGACGAAATCAGAGGAAGCAAGCAATCAACTAAATAAACACCTCACATGATAAGCTTCTTATAAGAGTCTCTAAACTCAGAACTGAGATGGGAGCGCAGCTACAGTTCTCCTAGAGACTCACAAATGTAAGATGCTTAGTTGTCGAATAAGAAGGTTGATCTCGTATAAATTATTTCTCGAAAATTTTGGTTTTGTATCTTGGAGTGTTTTACCTTTGCACTTAAGACCACTGCAATGCCTAGAAGATGCAATAGACTAGCTGAAATAATTTACAGTCTCTTCTATCCCAGCAGCTTCTACTATTTCTTCAAACGATAACATAGGTCTGCCTGATTCTTAAGCTTCACAAAGTGGAGTAGAAACCTATTGACATAAGCTACTATCAGAAGTTCACAATAAACAAGCAACCCAACCATGAAACCAGTACCATTGTTCTAATCAATAAGAGACGGGCTTCTTGACCTGACAACCTCAATCAGACAACTTTCCATCACGTTGCTGTTTTTTTTTACATTGCACTGCAATGCAAAAGTAAACAAGACAAAATGAACTCTCAAGTGCACCACCTTAGATTTTGACAGCAGCAAGGTGCCTAAGCATACGTACCTCCTAACCCAGTTGTTGTGCAAAAAATTAATCCTCCTTCGCAGTAACGTGCCTAATCGTATCCATCCTTGCAGCCATTTGTGAACATACCCAAGATGATTAACGAAGAAAAAAAAAAGAACGAAAGTCGGACGATTTAGCATTACTAGGACCTTGAAGCTCAACATTATGTAACCCACCACTTTTAGACTAATTGTTGTTGCCTAGCCAACCATAGCAAAGAACCATAGGAGCTTACGCTGAATTTACCAGACTACAGTCTGTCATAGATCTCACACAAGCTTCCTTCTTTCTCAAGTACCGTGAGTTTGAGAAGAACCCATAAGATTAAGCATATGATTGGATTCAATGACAAACAATCCAACAAATGCAGAATGAGACGGACAACCATTGGATGCAAGGGTTTTATATTTTTAATATGGGCACGTAAACAGAAACTGCTACAGTCACCATATGAATACAACTACATCAACCCGCAGCAAAAAGATATTTATAAGATCAAGAGAGCAAACCTATCTTATTGTGCTCATGCTTGGGGACTAAAAGCAGGTACAAGACTTTGGAGTTATGCATCCGGAAACAGACACCACATTAAGACCTTGAGAGTTGCAACTCAAGATTTGTACCTAAAATGATTTCAGCAACTTCTCAATACTACCATCGATTGGTGGGAAGTAGAACATTTGACAAGGTACTTCGAGCAGAAATGCTTTACCAGCGCCAGAAACCATTTTTTAATTGATGAACAGGGGAAGATCAGTTGAAACCAGTTATCATAACATTCCAATAAGAGAAACCACCTTAAAAACTACAGAACAAGACTAAGCACCACTACCTTCTTCTTAGAGAGCAGCAGAAGCGTCACCAGAGAATTGTCAAACGAACATATTAAGGCCGGGATTGATGCTCTAACTTTCTAAACAGTATCGTCAATGGATTTGCACCAGGGCTGAGGTTTCAAATAAAAATGAGTATCAGAGTAGAGACTTTTACAGTGCTGCTTTGAGAATACCAATCCCTCGTAAGCACATTTAGAGTGGTTTAACGACATTTGTGGAGGATTGCAACTAGAAAAGAATAAGCGTGTAGAGTCACCTAGAGTTGCTCACTGCACCATTATACCAAATCAAATCTCTGGTAGTTTTCAGCGCAAACTAGCTTCAGAAACCACAACCACCTGACTAGTCAGTTCCAAAATGAAAGGAATCAGACCCCTAAGACCCCTCCCCATCAAGATTTTGATTGAGAGTGCTTACTAGAAAAGATTATGAGCAGCTCCACATGGCTGAAAAGGAACACAAGGATGCTTTTAAGGTCCAATTCTGAAGAACTAAAAGATGAGCAACCGTGGGTTAGTAGCGGCAAGGCACGATCATTATCTAGGACCGAAGAGAAATTGAAAAGCGGAGCAAGACCAACCTAAGTTTCCTCCTCACAGTGGGGTGCAATTACAAAGCAAATGACAGGTCGGGAGAAAGGAGCAACCGCAACTGAGCAGAGTTCCCAGATTCGGTCCATTAAACTGTCGGCAAGAGACGACAACCAAAAGCAGGATATTGACTCCATGAGACGGATTTAAGGCCCAGTGCAAATTGTGAAGGCATTCCTTTTATCATGCTGAGAGCTGGGATGATAAGTTTAAGTTCTAGCACCTGTCAAGCCTCCTCATATTTGACATGATCTGAGAATCTGCACTAGGGTGAAATCAGCAATCCGAAGTATCCTGAAGTCGACGATCTCAATTTGTGCCATTTGTCAATGACTCCTCTCATGCAACCAAAAATCCTGCGTTCAACACCTTTCTGGGACCCGCCACAGCAATAAACCAAGCTGATTTTAGAAAACATCATAAAAATAAGCAGTGGATGCGATGATCTTCGATCATATACAGAAATAAGAAGAAAATCTCAACATCTTGTTTACCATTGTAAGTTGGTTTCACGTCAAAACCACTTAACCACATATCTTATTTTTCCCAGACTCAAGCGTAACGCATGATCATGTCCAGCCAGCCACTATGCGCCGCCCATTATGACCTTCCACATCATATACCCCAAACGGAAGTATACCTTTGAGTCCCCTTCTGGTCAGAGTTTCCCGGACGGTCCTTGGCATTAAAATAAACGGGTAAAGGTGAGCGAAACAATACTCTGTTCCAACCTTCAGGTTCGGATATACATTCTGAGAGCAAAAGCCATAACCGGCACAAAAGATTGATTGATCGTCCCATTGACAAGACACTGAATCACTTGGAAATCGGGAAACTCTGATGCATACGAATCCCCGGGGCCACTCATGAACTTCGCAACATAATTCACAAGTCGACATTCCCATATGGCATTAAAATAAACGGGTAAAGGTGAGCGAAACATTACTCTGTTCCAACCTTCAGGTTCAGATATACCTTCTGAGAGCAAAAGCCATAACCGGCACAAAAGGTTGATTGATCGTCCCATTGACAAGACACTGGATCACTTGGAAATCGGGAAACTCTGATGCATAGGAATCCCCAGGGCCACTCATGAACTTCGCAACATAATTCACAAGTCAACGTTCTCATATTTTTCACGTAGCAGAAGATCAAACACCACGAACCTGAGGTCAGAAAGCCAAGCAGGGGAGGCGAGAGCCACGTTCGGAAAGAACCGGTGAATCACCATTCAAAAGGAAAAGAAGAAACGGGAACCACTTATCATGTGAAATCCGAATCGAAACCCTAGGAGAGCCGGGACAAACGAGGAATTGTTACCTAGTTCTCGTAGAAGGTGAAAATAGCGAGTGAAATCAATTCAAAATCGGTAGGAAGAGTAACATTGAACTCTATTTGCCGAAGAAAAGTGCAACAAAACTGCAATGCCATGCACCACATAACACTGGAGAAAAACTGCAATGTGCAACAAAACAATGCATCTTAAGACATAGATATGTGCAAAATTGACTAAGAACTGGATTTCCAAACATGGACAAGCGTTGAAGCAACCATTTACAGAATTGCGACCCAGGAACGCATATATAGTCATATTTTCTTAGCAGAAAGAAGTATGATAATGTTAAGCATGATTCAACAAATGAATAAGAAGAAATCAGAATAAGCTTATTATAAGAGTCTAAACTTGACCCCTAAATGGGATCACAGTACACTAAAGAATGTAAGATACTTACACGTAAAGTAAGAAAATTCATCTCAAATAAATTCTTTGAAAACTCTAGTTTAGTGCTTTACCTTTGCACTCAAAACCACTGCAATGCCTGGAAGGTGTAATAGACTAGCTGAAGTAATTTACGGTCTCTTATATCCCGGCAGCTTCTTTAGTTTCTTAAAATGATAGCAAAGACAAAGTTGAAAATAACCCTGTTATCAGGAACTAATATCAAACAAAGATCAGACGTTCACAAATAACAAACAGTCTAAACCAGTACCAATGTTCCCAGAGGACAGCCACCAAACTGCAGTTTCTTTGAACTGCCAACCTCAATCAGACAACTTTCCACCAACAAGTATGTCCAGTTAGCCTTTTCTCCATCAACGGGTTCATCATTCGCTTCTGCAGTGACTCCGTGAGCACAACTAATTAGACAACTAAACACATTGCTATGTGGTATGAAAGCCAGACAAGGTAAAAATGACGACCACCTGTCACTAACTTGAACGTCAGCCACTTGAAATCCCAAGCCAGAAACCCGCAAGTCCCCAACCCAAGTCGAACGGTGGCCATCTCCAGGCTTATCTGGAAATCCGCTATAGACACCCGCAGAAAAACGACGCCGCATCCATATTCTCCGGCTTCTCCAGCAGTTTCAGTGGTCAGCATTCGATCCAGGCTCAAGATTCCACTACCGGACGACTGCTGGCTATCGGGAACAGATTCTGGAAGGCCGCGGCACTTCATGCTGATGAAGCCATAAAAACCACGCCAGCCAGTCGTAACGGTGCAGAAGGAGTAGTAGTCATCCTGAGGCACTTGGTTAAACTGGTGAATCCATCGACAGAGTGGACGGCCATTTGTTGGAAAAGCTGATGCAGCAAGGTGGAAGCCACGTCTTCATCGTCTAGTAATGTGAGTCCTCGGTTCTACAGCTTCTCAAGCATTCTAAAGAATGGGCTGAATGAAGCCGATCACGGGTTGGGGAAGCCATTATGGGTTACCATTCTAGGGTTCACGGCTGATTATGCTCCTATTCCGGACACTGTTTGCCTCATGGAGGCCACGGCTGGTGATGATGATGGCGCAGTTGAAGCCTGGGTGAACTTGGATGCAAAGGAGATGGCTCTCTCAACAAGATCCTCACCTCCTTCAATATACTAATTAATCCCAGCATCCGACTATCATTGATTAATCTTAACTATATTGGCCCCCAAGGTAGTACTACTTGATAAGGAGCTAAAGAACATACCGTCTTTTCCCTCATCTTCTGTTTCTGATTGCTTCTGCTGTAACCCAAGTACCCCTGTTTCTCTCCTTTTTGTTCCTGTATTTCAGCACCATGATTTGCCGATTAAAGACTTCACTTTGTACTATATATTCATTTGATTAACAATACAAAACTCAACCATCTCATTGTTCCTCTGCTCCCGATTCTTTCTTTCTTCATCCCTCACCATGACAACTGAATCGCTTAATTCTTCAACCTCTATTGAGTCCATTCTCTCTTCTGATCATTGTCTCTTCCCACCCCCTCAAATAGCTCCCTTTGGATGTTCAGCTCGTACCACTCCTTCGCTGTCACAGACTCATCGGCCATGTTGATGATTCTTCTCCGGCTCCTCCTCAATTCCTCAATGGGCATCCGAATGCGACATATTCCACCTGGTATGAATGTGACCAGCTTGTTCTTTCTTGGATTACTGCGTCACTTTCTGAAGCTGTCATGGCCAATATTATCACCAAATCAAATGCCTTCGATGTTTGATCTGCTTGTACTCCTATTTATGCATTTGGATCCAAGATACAGATTAGACAGCTTCTCAAATCCCTTCAGCATCTGTCTTGTGGTGAGGATGGTATTCACAGAAAACAGTACCTGGATTCTGCAATGTGTGTACAGTTGGATGAAAGAGCATCCCCATAAACACCACAACAATTTCTCTCGCATCAAATTCCAGGATTCTCCATATACCTCCCTCCTTGACAAAATCCTCGACAGCAGATCTTGCAGAACCACTCTATCGAAAAAGATCATGCAAACGGATACAAAGATAAAAATACATGAAAACAAAATTCTCAAAAAAAAAAGGATGATTAAACAAAATACAACTTTAGTTAAGAGATCAGACACATACGACATGGAAAAAGCGAGAAGTAAAAGATCAAAACAGCACCACAGGCTCTTGCAGGAGAATTTGAAGAAATACTCCAGCTCTTACTAATATCTACAAATGGACCTACAAATAATAAATTTGGAACACGTCTTTGCATAGATTCAGACTCAACGCAAACGACGAAGACAATATGGGAGGTAACTTGAGTGCAAATTGCAAAACATCCACATCGTTGATCTTATATTCTACATTTACATGCATTTTTCTACTTAGATCGAACAGTTTTTGGATCAACGATAATATATCTTCCAGGCTAAATGTTGAACTCAACTACATGCAGATTTAATTATTGCTATATTAACTTTCTTTTACGGATTCCTTTCCGGATAAGTAACAGTTGAGACGCACTCTATTTTCAGTTCCTCCCAAGGAAATTGAAATGGTAACCCAAAAGTTCTACCAAGTCCTGAATTTCACTCTTGACAAAAATATACACGAAAGAAACACATACCTTTATTCAGCTTCCTCCACCGCATACTCAAGATGCAGAAAATGAATATGAGAAACAGCACTTTCTTCATTGTTCTCTTTTATCTGGTCCGTCATGCCACCAACCGCCTTCTTCTTCCAGTCCAACTCGGTCTTATCATCCCTGCGCACCATTACTCGGGAACCTCATGTGATCCCATCCAAAAAACCTAAATGGAGCCACCAACAAATTAAGAATGAGCGCATCTGCCTCTTTAAATCACTATCAGTATCAAGAGTCTGACGCTCAAAGTGCATCATGAAATGAACTTCCCAAGACTGTACACTCCTTCCCAGGAAACTGTAAGCAAATTGCATATTCAGCCACCACAGAAGTTTCTATGATAACCAATCACAGCAGCCATAGCCCTCTGTTTCATAGCCTAGGGCACCGAGAAGAAAACCCAGCAACATGGTCCCTTTACAAGCACCACGACCCTTTGATGAAAGGAGGACAGGTGGGAACTTACCTTACTTAAGGAGCTTCTAAGAATTCAAGGAATCAGAGAAGATGCGAGCTATGCTTTGGCTTCCTTGTTTTCAACTTGAGAAAAACTACAATGTGAAACAAAAAGATCAAGGGCAACTCCACTTCTAGGACACCATTAAGACATACCCAAGAGCAATATAACAGAGGATTAAGGCATAGGCATGGTTCCTTCCAAGACCCATATAGAACTGCCAACAGAGAATTGTCAGAACAACATTTTTAGAGGGAGCTGTGAGAGTGAAGCTCAATAGATACAGTCGAAAACAGCATCTTAAGACAACGGATATGTGAACACCGACTAAAACACAGATTTTCAAACAAGAACAAGCATTGAAGCAACCATTTACACAGTTTCAGCTTGGGAACTCATGTATAATCATATTTTTTTAGTTGAAAAAGGATAATGATATTTAGCATGATTCAACAAATGAATAAGATTAGATCAGAGGAAGCAGGAAATAAACAAAATAGAAACCTCACATGAGTGCGCAGCATCAAGAGCTTCCTCCTTCTATGAGAAGTCCCAAACTCGGTACCAAGATGGGATCCCACTTGCAATACCTTCACACCTGGAGACTCACAAATGTGAGATGCTTACACACCAAATAAGAAAATTGATCTCAGAACAACTGTCTTTCGAAAAATTTGATTTAGTTTTTTTCACCTTCGCACTCAAGACCACTGCAATGCCTGACAGTCTCTTCTATCCCAGCAGCTTCCACTACTTCTTAATATAACAAAAGTCTGCGTGACTCCTAAGTTTGACAAATTGGAGTAGAGCCCTACATTCAGAAGTCCACAATCAACGAGCAATCCCACCATGAAACCAGGTTCTAATCAACAAGTCTACCTAGAAAACAAACCTGCGGGCTTCTTGAACTGTCAACCTCAATCAGCCAACTAACCATCAACATGTCCATTATGCCTTCTTTCCATCAACAGGTTAATCATTTGCTTTGGCGGTGAGCTCTCCATGAACTAATTAGACAGCTAAACAGATCGTTACTCAATATGAACATGAGACCAGGCAAAATGACAGGGCCACTTTATCATACTACAGTCTGTCACAGATCTCACACAAGCTTACCTTCTTTCTAAAATGGTTTTGAGAGCACAACCTAGAGGTCCGAGGAAGAGTACAATGCTGCAGAGGAAAATATCCATAACATGCAGGGGCGAAGACAGCATCAGATCTAACCAGACCACTCCTACTTAACGATCATATAGGTCTACTTCAACTGTTGGTTTCAATGGAGAATGAAATGAGTAAGTTCTTATTTTAGAAGGCTAAGCAGATGCATCGACTATAATCATGATATGTATTGTCAAATGGTAAAAAGGAAAAAAACTGATTATATTTTCCTTGTTAGAGTCAGCATTGAGCACTTGAGAAAGGAAGTAAGAAACCATAGCTGATGCGGATGAGTACTTTAGTCCAATACCAGGAAGGTTTCTTTACCTCAATCCGAAGAGACTCTACCGAATAGAGAAGAAGCAAGATGCAACTGTCTGCTCACCCACTTTAACCAGTGTTGCTCCATTCCCTATAGCTATCACCTCTCTCTAGCAGCCTTCACACCTCCAACAAGCTAGAACAGTCATACTCAAACTTGGGTACAAAGAGAACTGCAGAAATAGAAAAGACTGTCAACACAAGAAACTGCCCTGTTCATACACAGTACTTGTCTACAAGCAAATATACACAAGTTAATATACGGTTTTCCCCCTTATGCTGTAACTTAGAATGTGCTTTCCCCTCGTGTTCACAAACAGGAGATAACAACGAGAAAAGGCATCAAGGCAAACGCCTGGTATGAAATGGAAACATTGGCCGCGATCAACTAATATAGGAAGGACACATGAACCAATTAAATTGAGATTAAGAAACATTGGTTTTAGCACCAACATATTTGCCAAAAGCCCCACCCAAAAACCAAGCAGAAAGGTTAACCACCTCGAGTGCAGTGCACGAATAGACCAGTCATATGTAGTCTTCATTTAAGGCGCATAATCATATCCAGCCTCTTAGTGATCAACACAACGGACAAAGAAAGCTAGCTAGTGCAAGATTTAGACTCTTCTGCAAGCTATTGAAATAAAGAAAACATTTCTGCAGAATCGGTATCTTCATGGTCAACATCAATCACCTGACTCCACTCTTGTACGCTATGCAAAGCCATTGGTGATGTTCTCCATTGTCCACTCCAACCATCATGCAAATTCACACGCCTACCATACATCTCACGGAATACAATCTTCCACGAGTTCCTTGATTCTTAAAACCAACACAAATCACAAGCTTAAGCATAAGCAAGATAGTACACGAGGAAGGATCGGATTAATGGCTTCATGCAGACATAGCAGCCAAATGTAAAACTGTCCCTTATTTGCATCCCATGGTTTCAAAAATTCCTCATTTTCCTCCCCATCCATGATCCGGGTATTAAGATAAAACCTGATAGATTCTAAAACCCCAAGCTGAAATTCAGAAAGGGCAACAAGCGGAAGCAGGCATTTGAATATAGAGGTAGGTAAGAACCAGATACTTTAACCATGTTGGATTCAACTACCTACCTGAACCTTTTGCAGTCTTGCTTCCGCAGTACTATCAAGAGTCAGAAGCTGAATCTAGCCCAACTTGCTTCGAAACTTAAATGGCCCCTTTCACTTCGATCAAGATAAAGGCATCTGAAATTATGAACACAGGGTTCAGAATTTCCAGTTAGTACGCATGATAATATTACCACCAGTCAGTCCTTCCACGGGACAATCCTACCCATAAAGATAAAAAAGAATAGGGTGACCGAATCGAAGTTCTATAGCCCAAAAGATTGGATGTGCCTCTACGAGCAAATTCCATAGCTGGCATAAAAATTGATTTTTCTGGCTTCATGCACACACAGCAGCCGAGAATAACTCGGTCCCTCCAATTGCATGTCATGCCATGCGTCTCTGACTACAATTCTTGTTTCCAAAATCTTTCCTCTCCATCCAAGATCTGATAATTTAAGATATAACCTGATTAGATGCCACAACCTCAGTAGCAACAAGCATTCAAATTAGAAAGCCGAATTTGCTTCTAGCAATTTAAAATGGCCCCTTCCACTACTATCAAGATCAAGGCATCTGAAATAGTGAACAGACGACCAACCTGGTTAGCTAGTTCAACATCAACTAGCTCCTACCGAGATCAACGAGACATTTCCAAAAGTCAGAGTTGGTAAACCCTGAAAACCAAAATTTAAGAAGCACGACATGGTAAACACAGTATGAGGCTACACAGAAACGTTAAGGCCAACACATGCTTTCAAATCATCTTCTCCAGTACCTTAAATGACAGCAATATACAGAAACGTGTTAAGCCCAATACATCCTCGTACGCACTTTATCTTGTTGAAGATTCGGGACTTGAAGTAGGAGCAAGATATTGGCACTCAAACAGCAGATAATCATAATGAGACTCAAGCTTTGGACTAAATTATTATGACTTGTACGTAACGATCACCTCACCGGGTTTCCAAGACAAGCAACTATTTGGAAGAGTTGCAACATGGGTCATCCAGGAGTTCATACGATCGCGAGGAAGTTGTGCCTATTGGAACAACAAGGAAAAAATCCAACTATCAGGCCATTCCATCCACTAATGAGCTTTCGCAACAGCGGATCACAACAATTTATTGCAGAGGACAGAGTGATAACCGAAGACCAATTCACTCCTTAGTCCTTACACAACCCATAAAAAACTCGGGCAAAACCGGCCGGAAGCATACCTCGGACCGCAGAAGTCGCCGCTTTACAGAAATACTCGCGCTCAAACCTAATAATAATCAGTAAAAATAACTTGTAGGATCCACGAGGAAATCTCAACTACTAATTCTCTTGTACTTAGGAAGTATGTGGGTAACAGCAAAACAGGCCGGAAGCATACCACGGATCGCATAAGTCGCCACCTTCCAGAAGTACTCACGCCAAACCCTAACAATCATCCGTTAGAAGAACTTGTAGGATGCGAGCGGAAATCTCAACAACTAATTGAATTGTACTTGGTAATTATCTGGGTACCAGCAAAACCGGCCGGAAGTGTAGCTCGGACTGCAGAACTCGCCGCCTTTAAGAAATACTCACGCTCAAACCCTAATGATCACCCGTTTGAAGAACTTGTAGGATCCAAGCGGAAACGTCATCAAATGGTTGGATTGTACTTGGTAATTGTGCGGGTACCAACAATACCATCGGAATCGAACTCTAGATTCCCCATAGAGTACGATCTATAGCGAGCGGACACGAAGAACTCGTTTATGCAGTCCATGGGAAAACTCGATTTCTGCAGAGAAAAAAACTAGAAGATAGGAACCTAACCTCTTAATCGAAACCCTAAAAATGCAGAACCACACAGAGATCAACCGTAATCCGATCTTGTTCAAGGCTGCTTGGCGGCAACGGTAACGAATAATGGAGGGAACTGGATGTCTCGTCCCTATTTATAAATGCAGAAAGGCGGTTTGAAGTCGGTTCAGTTGTACGCGTTATTTGCCAGCTGTACTCACTATTTGCCAATTGGACACGCCAGTTAGACGCGTCACACTTTATTTGCTCTATTGTGCTTGCCAGCTGGATTAATTCCCCTTTTTTACTTTTTTTTTCTCTCGCCAGCTGGATCCGTAGTAAAAGCGTGTGGTTGGACCTAGTCAAACATTTGGAAAAAGCCCAATTTCACTGCCATCGCCAGGACGCCAGCCCAATTAGCCCACCCTGAATAATACCACACGGAAATGTGTTACTAGGCCCAAACCACTCCTTAATTGATAGATCCTTGCGTAGTGGGGACCCGTAAAAAAAAATTGCTAGATCCTTGACCTAGAGTTCAGCTATCCACGTCCTCCCCAATTGTATTGGTTTGGGCCAATAATCTGAACTCTCGGGCCTTGCTTAGTTCAACTACGAAACCAGGTCCATCAATTGTTCAGCCCAATTTATTTCCGAACCCGAACAACAACCCGCTGCCCGACCGGCGGTCACTATATTCGAAGTCCCACCTAGCAAACTACCGGACTGCACAAACAAAAGCGGCAAAAATGGCATCCAAATCCACCGCAGCAGCCACCGCCAGAGATGCCCGGAGGAGAAAAATTGTCGAGCGAGGCGCCGACCGATTAGCTCTCATCGCCGGTCGGATCCCCTCTCTTCCGTCCGAATCTCCCCCCACTGACTCATCTCACCAGTCGGATTCCGAGCATCTACTTTCCGATGGAGCCACCGTCGGCGAACCAGTGTCTCAGCCGCCGAGTACTCCTCCAAACCAAATTGAACAACCGCAGCTCCAGAAAACAACTGGTACGGCTCTGTCTATCTGAAAATTTTCAGTAATGGACTGATTTTACTGAGTTTTTCTTCTTGACCTAGAAAATCTTTAAAAAAAAAAAAGCTTACGGCGATTTTGCAGATTCGGTTAGCTGTAAGGACGAAGCCTTCGGTGGGGCAGTACCGGAACAAGATCTCACCGCCGTTGATTCCGCCAGAGGCCAAGCGGAGAGCATTTTAGACCGTCCTGTTTCGGATGAAATTAGTAGCGGCCGATTGGATCAGAATCCGACCGCCATGGGAGCCGCTTCTGGCACAGAACAACTTCTGCGTCGAAGCACTCGTCAGAGAGGAGTTTCGATGAGTCCAAGTCAGATAAGTTCTGGCATCACAGCGTCAGAAAGAACCAGAGTTCTCTGTTCAGTCGCTATCGCCATTTTAGTCGTCTCGTCGTCTCTAGGATTGCCTCTCCTAGGGAACGATATTGTGAAGGGAATTCTGAGCTTCAGGCCCCTTTACCTGCTGCTGGTAACCAATGTTACAATCGTGCTTGCCGCAATCCTTTCCAACAACAACCAGAGAGGTTCGGCAATGGTGGATGATGGGGCAGCCGTACTCGAATTGCCATCCAGTGGAAGCTACGATTGGGCTGCACAGGCAAGTATGGCGTTAGAGATAAGTTTCGTGGTGAAGAAAGCAGTCGAAGCCTTGCTGATGGATGTCAGCGTTTATGCAATCATTGTTGTTTGTGCTTTCTGCCTTCTCCGGTGAACGCACAACCACAACGAATCGCCTCTTGATATCGAATGAAGTAAAGCACATTTTCATCTATTTTTCGATTGTAATGAAGTAAATGCAATTTCCATCTATAAACTTTGAGCGTGGACTCACCACAAACTTTGTAAAGGATGGCAAAAGAAGAAGAACAAGGAAGTAAAATCAGATTCGAATAGAAGATTATGGTGGGATACTTACAATACAGATATGATTGCGGTAATCAAACCAGTTTTGTATTTGCACACAGCTGCAGATTAAGAATGTTCCACGAGATTCACGCAAAAAAGGGAAACCAAGATCAAACTGGACGAAGCAGTTACCGAGAGCTGGATCTATAATTCCGAGCAAGAAGTTTAAGAACATCAAACTCAATCATTGCTGCATCACCATATTTGCTAATGGAGCGGACTACCTTAATGGCCACGAATTCCCAGGTATTCCCAGCATTTTTAGAACTCGGCAGAAGCCTGCCTAAAACAGCAGCATCTGCCTGAATTCCGAAAGCACAATCATAGTCATAGATCATGCGTAATACCAAGCTCTTGGCATGCTAACCGTCGATTAACTGAATTCCGAAAGAGAGGATTATTTGCCAGAGAAGAGGTGGAACATCGAAACAATCACTCTTGTGGGAATGGAATCAACGGCGTCGTTTTGTAAAAGAAAGTTGGTGGAGGCGCCAGCGAGCCCATGGGCCATTGTACATCAGAGCCTTTTGGGCTTACACAGGTCGCGCCGCTGACAAATTGACTTTAGAAGACAGACAGGAAAATTGGGCCTCGCGCCTCCACCGAACTTTTTTTTCTAATCTACCTCCACGGCTCCACCAAACTAATATCAATATAACTAATGATTAATACGACTACAATACCGAACTATGAGCAAAATGTCACTTATATTCTATTCTTTTCAATATTTTATTTATGTTCTAAACTATCATTCCGTTAGAATTGACTGGTTTTAACTGTTAATTTTAACAGAAAATTCAGTCAGCCTCCACCTGTCATCTTACATTAAATTTTTAATTAATTTTTCATAGAAAATGTATAAAATAAAAATAAATTAGAGAAAAGGGGGGAATCAGAGGAGGAAGCCAACTTGAAGTCCCTCGTCATCACCGGCATGGTTGCTTCATCTCCTTCACCGGTGGTATCCTCCCATTCTCCCCCCTTACCCGATCGATTAGAAACCGTCGACATTCCGCTCTTCCCAACTGAAGCCGAGTGATTAGGGTCTTTTTTTTTTTTTTGTTTAATTTCTTACAGGTGATAATCAAGTACAAGAAATCCTTCGATTTTATCCATTTTAACAAGATCTAGAGGTTAGCAAAACGATTGTTTCCATCACAAGGCAAAATCTTTGAGCTCAATCTCCAGTTTTACGCTCCCATTTCTGAGGAGAAGAGTGATTTCCTCCGTCGTTAGAACTGTCGGAGGCGCAAGTAATGTAAAACCCCTCAGTAGTAGTGAACGTGGTGCCACCGTACGTCGACGGAAACGTGAAAAAGGAGAAGAAAGGGGAGGCGATCAAAGGAGGCGGTGGGAATTAAGATGACGATAGTAAGGTGAGGCAGGGATTGAAGACGATGATGCGCAGGGAATTGAAGAGGGATTTTGATTTTTGGATTTTTAATAAATTTGAATTAAAAATCTGATGTGTCAATGATTTGGCATCTATGTGGCCTTCGCGTTTTTTGCCACGTCAGCAAAAATCAACAAAATTTTGACCAACATCCGGTCAAATGTTACCTCTAACCGTCAACAAAATTATCATGATACAAATGACACAAAGTATTGTAAGATGGGATAGAAATGAAATATTGAAAAAAATAGAGCACAAGTGACATTTTTTTAATAGTTCGGGTGTTATAGTGATATTAACCCTGTAACTAATTTCTAACAAACTATAACCAATCATTAAAATAACTAATTCAGCAACTAAGATGAAAATATATTTAATGGTAGATGACCATCTTTACATGCCTTTGGTTTATCGTTTCTCACAAACTGAAGTAGTAGGCCTTGTGCTTTCATCATGATGGATTCAGATTAAAGATATCTACTCTATCTTTTGGGAAGCTCGAAGACTGGTAAGGGAATCTTTTAAAAAACAAGAGGGGAAAACAAAAATAAAGAATCTCCATATACTTTATTTTTTTTTATTTTAAGAATCTCCATATACTTGCGAACAAAGCATCACTGCTACTTATTTACATATAGCAAGAGGAAAAGGGAAAGGTAAAAAGATAAAGTTGGGAACAATAACGATTTAACCAGCCAACCGTAAGGACATTTTTCGTAGAATTCCTCATCAGCTTGATTTGGTAGTTAGCGAGAGAGCTAATTCAAGACATGGGTACAGGTCATCGAAAAGATTATAGTATTTACAAATAAGATCATTCATTCTTCTACCATGAAAGAGCTGCTAATTATTGGTGGCAAAATATAATTTCTGATTAACGGAATATACTAGTAGTTATGTGCATACCGTATAGTTCATCATTTCTTTGCTTTACTTTTGGTCGAACTAGTAATTGAATAATAATGTACAAGTTAATTACAGATGCAATCATTAGTTCCCGGGAACGGCTACGGTGCTAATTGTACAATAATTAGCACCGTCCTAACCAAGGGAAAAACTACTACTAGTTTGAATTAGTAATGATTTAGCTTAGATGTTGTATTGATTTTATAATAATCAGTAGTGATTTCGTTATTTTTAGTAGCGTTATATTGATTTTATAATAATCCATAGTGATTTCGTTATTTTTAGTAGCGTTTTTTCTAGTTATCACGGTGCTAACTCCTATCAGGGTTAGCACCTAATCCCATTCCTTAGTTCCCAATTGGTGGTATCATTAGACTATATTCCAGGGTGTATTTTAGTAGTCAAATGAATACGTAACGAAACTTAGCTAGCTGTTTGTGGCCTACATGCATTTTCCACATGCCCATATCCTATTTTTGACTATTTGTGTTGTGACATTTGTTGGCTTTAAAATTAAAACTTAATAATAGTATAAAATGGAGTAGCTAGCAATGGAGATGCTCGGTTGCTTTTGACGGGAAAATTCTTTCTCTCGATCTCGTTAAATAAAGTTGCAATGAATGGAATTTGGTCAAACTATAGGCATGTTTAAATAATATTAAGGGTTAATATCCTAATTTGGCCCGAAGTTTAGCATAAGTGACAGTTCTGGCTCCATTTTTCTTATAAGACATTTACAGCCTACTTTTAAAATTAATAGACAGATTTGGCCCGAAACTTATATTGACCGTTAATATTAACGGTCAAATACTTATTCCGTTAGTGACTCAGCAAAAAACTGCTGATGTGGTTTATGTAAGGTGACATGTCATTAAATAATAATAAATTTTTAATTTTGTCCACCAATTAATAATAAAAAATAAAAACCCAAAATCCCCAAACCTCCGACCCTCATCTCTTCCTCCCGCCGCCTCCGTCCCGACTGGTTCATCCCCTTCTTCCTCTCCTCTAGCGTAAGCAACCGGAGGCTGAATCATCGCCCCCCAGAAACGAAGAGACTCCAAAGTCTGAAGCATCTGCCGCCGTCGTTGCAGAATCGGGGCTCTAAACCACCAGCCAGACTGAGTACGAAGAGACTCTTAACCACCATTCTTCCTCTCCACCGGCGAAGCAACCGAAGCAAGAACCAATACTGGCCACGGCGGATCAGACGGAATCTCGAGAAGGAAGCTCGTCAGGGGAACGTGCGTCACCACCAGATCTAGATTCTTTTTCCCCTCGGTAATTAGATATGGATTCTTTCAATCCTGGGTGGACGGGTGTAACGAATGCCTACAGCTCTCCTCTCCTTGCCTAGGGGCGCATGCGCATCTACCGGCGACATTAGGCTGGCGCTCTCTCACTCGAGCTCTTAGTCTCGCCGGCGGTTCCGCTGTGTGCTATGTATATTGATCCTGCAAAAAATAGAAATTTCGTTAGAAGAGGCGGGGTTCCCAAAGGGGCGGTACATCAACGACAGCTGATGAGAATAGTTTCTCTTTGTTGTCGACGGCGGCGGGTGGAGGAAGCGGCGAAGGGGAGAGAGGGATCGTTGTGGAGAAGCTGGATCCGGTCATGGATGATGACTTTGTGGGTCGGAACCGCCGTCGGGGTGGCAGGGGAGGATCGACCGTTTACTCCACCTGGAGTCTGGAGCTTCGATTTTGTTCTCGGCGGAGCACATCGCAGCCTCCGGATGATGTAGCGGAGGGACTGGAGATGGAGAAGCATGGTGATTTTTTTTGAATTCGAGAAGAATGAAGTGGATTTAGACCGAAACAGAGAGGAGGAAGTGGAGCGGATCCATCTTTGGGGATTTTAGGATTTTAGGGTTTGAATTTGGGGATTTTGGGTTCATAAGAGGATTTTTTATTTTAATTGAAATATAAAATTAAAATAATATGTTTTAATGACGTGGCATGCCACATTAGTGGTTTTTTGCTGAATCACTAACAGAATAGTGTTTGACCGTTAATATTAACGGTCAAAGAAAATTTTAGGCCAAATTTGTCAAATAGTTTCAAAAGTAGGCCATAAATGTCTTATTTGAAAAATGGGGCTAGAACTGTCACTAACGCTAAACTTCGGGCCAAACTAGGGTATTAACCCTAATATTAATAATACACACACTTATGTCCCACTGATGATCTTAATAATTACTTATAAATGGTAATAGTTTTTTTATGGATTAAATGAGTAATTTCGAAGAAAGCTGAAAAGGGTAAGTTTGAGAGTTTCAAGATACTGATTACTTGTAGGATGGACATAGAACGGGACGGGTTAGCATGCTAACCCCCTTAAGGGTTGGTTTTTTGACACCCCTTTTTAATTGGTCAATTTTTCATTAATTATTGACAAGTATTAATGAAAGTAAATATAATAAATGTTCTGTTATTAAATACAAAGTAAGCATTAAATACACCACATTAATTACCACTTTATTGGTATTTGTACCACTGCACTGATACTCAGATATGACATTGCTACCAGTGCACTGATATCGCTACTAGTGCAGTGGTATATCTACCAGTACAGTGGTACAACGTATCAGTGCAGTGGTATATCTACCAGTACAGTGGTACACCGTATCAGTGTAGTGGTATATTTTTTGGAGGTGGTCGGAGACTGCTGAAAAAGGAAAAATCAAATATAGTGAGAGAATTCCTAATGTGTATTTAATTCCTAATGTGTATTTAATAGTGAGAAAATTCCTAATTAATATGGTACATTTAATTCCTAATGTGTGTATTAAATTCTATAGTTGTATTTAATATACTAGGGGGTGTCATTTTTCCAACCCCTAAGAGGGGTTAGCATGCTAACCGACAGATTTATCAAGGAAATCAACTATATTATACACATGCCTTTACAATAAATTTGACAATTGATTTATTAATATATTATTCGAATTGGCGGTCAAATTATTCCACTATATGTTTCTTGAAGATGCCTTGAAATTTTTTTTGTGTATGTTAGATAGATGCATAAACAAAGGTTGATTATGTTGGTTTCTATCACATAAATAATATAATGGCTGTATCAACCATACAACCATTATTTAAAGAATTTTTTAGTTTAATCATACTATGATAACATTGTAATCTGATAGAATAAAACCGAGTTATAATATACCACATGTTGTTTCTCTATTTTTTTAGTCAACAGTATAATTTATAGCTGAAAAGTAAAACTGCACCCCCATTCAAAATTTCCTGCCCATAGAGTGATTTTAGAAAGCTGATGTGGCAGAGTGTTAAGCGGAAAAAAAAAGAGTCCCGCCTGATTTCAGAACCAAAAAACTGTCCACTACCCACCTTTTTCTCCTTCCAGGCCCACGTTCTCATTTAATTTGTATTTATTTGCAAAACAACAAAATCCAGAGGCAAAGCTCCTTCCTCTTCCTCTTCCCCTTCGCATCAGTTCCTTTGTTTTTTTCGTCGGCAAAGGAAACTCGGGTATCAGGCGACGAAAGGGGAAGATCTAGGTTTCTGAGTTGCGACGGCCAGAGGTGGGGATTCCAATTTTGGTTCGTCGGTGAGCAAATTCAAAATCTCTTTTGTGTGACCTCGCCTATTGGGGCCTTCTTTACTCGGATTCTCCAGTTCCCGTTCTGGATTGCTCCCTGTTGATGGATATAGTCGACGACGCTATTCTCCAAGACTGAGTGAATGGCAACCGAGCAACAGCAAAAGGGGAACCATGTAGAGGGCCACGCGCTCGATTTTGACGTCGAATAGTTCGCAATTCTGGTTGGAGAGGAACAAAGGACAAAGGATGCTCGCTAACCAGTCACAACTCACAACTTCATCTGTTGTCGGGATGTACAGATCCGGTGCTATGAACTGTGGGCATGTCATTCGCTCACCTTCAGTCGATTTTATCTAACCTTTTTCTTTTGCGGGCTTTATTTGTTGTTGATTTCCATCGTGGTTCATTTTTCTATTATTTTATGTTCAGTTTCTTATTGTTCCTTTTTTGTTGTGTTTCCTTTTTTGTTTTGTTTTTTGTATTCTATTCTCCATGTTTGAATTACAGGCATGTCGCACTAATGTTACCCTTTGGAAACCCCACATTCGATGTTCTCCTACTATTCTCTCCGCCCCTGTTTTCGGGAGACCGGGTTGCCCCTCTTCATCCCAGGATCCCACCACCCCTATTTTCGCTTTTGAGTTTTCTAATCAAGCTTTCGGCTTTAGCCATCGTCGGATTTGCTGGTGCCACTTGCACTGTCTCCCTCCGTCGTGGCGTGGAAGTTGGTACTTTGCTCTTTCCTTCAGCTTTCAATTTGGAAGGTGTCATGACTGGCGCAGACTGTGACATTAGCAGTGGTGGGATAAGCCTTACCATGCTTTACATATTCTCATGAGATGTGCTTTTTTAGTTTGTATTGGTGAGTGGCAGCAGGATAAGTTGTCTCACAAAATAAACATGTGTTTCCTTTTGGTGTTCTTTTAAATGAGAATGCCCAAAGTTTCCTGCTTCGGTTTTGGGATACCATGGGTTGGCTCACTCTCTGTGAGATACCTTCATTTTTATTGTTCATGACAAAAACTTAGGATTTGCTAGAAATGATAAGGGTTTAGCATTAGTATTCATAAGACAATTAGTGAAAAATTAGAATCTACAATGTTTAGTTTAAAGTTTTGTGTTCTCATTTGAAATTCAGCCTGTTGTTCTCGGAGTTGATAGGCCTAAATTATGTCTCAAACATAGATCTGATGCATTCATCTTATCATATCATTATGTAGAGTATTCTGTTCCACAGCTGATTTCTCCTCCGAGCCTTTTTTGTTTGTTATGTTCTTGGAAACTAATAAATTTCTAGGGAAATTAAAAGCTGGCCACCAACAAAGGATGAATGCCTTTTGTAGATTCTGTCATGGTGTTATATTTTGCTGTGTCTATTCTTGATTTGAAGTTTCTCATAGCTTCCCTACATAAGTTTAGGTAAGGAAAAGTAGTACTCAATTAGCTATATAGGTACTTTTATTATTATAATAGAATTAGACAGTGTTGGGGGTATGAGTTTTGGTAAAGTTGTTAAGTTATTATTATCTCTACATCTTTGTAGTTTTGCCAAACTTTGTGGCGTTCAAAAGTTGAGTTATGTGGTTTAGTATTGTCACTGCATTGTATATGTGTTTCCCCTGAATCTCCATGGCTTAATGAGGTACATATATTTCGTGTTTTTTAATGGATAGGGTGGTTGTGTGGATGTATCAATAAGCTTTGCTCGATACTAAAAATATTAATGCCTAAAGCTCCCATAATATTAGTAGTGAACATGAAGTTGGTGACCTTGATGCTGCCAAATGCACCAAAATTGATCAAGCGAACCATGATATTATATTGCAACACCTTTAGTCGAGTCACTAAAGAGGAAGGTCCATGTGAATTCAAAAAGTGATGCACAGATGATCGAGTTTTTGAATGTTTATTCTCATGAATGTTCAATTAGGTTTATCGATGACTTTATACGCATTATAGCTGAGTGGATTGTGTGTTTCTCTATACCTACACGTTTTATTTTGCTAAGTCACTTTGTATGAATACTTCACCAAGTTTGTGACTCCATTTCTTTTTATGCATGGAGCATCATGCAAATCATCATGCCTTCTAACAATAACTATATATATACACTATCTCTTCCCCTCTTTTATCTATGGCTCTATCTTCTAATCAAGTTGCAACACTACTACATTACGCTACATATTTCCTAGCTCCTAGAATCAGTGGCGGATTCAGAAAATTTTCACAGGGGTGTCCTCTTCAAAAATTAAATTTAATTATATAATAAATTAAATAATTCGTATATTAAAAATATCATACTTGTATAATTTTTATAAAATTTTTATTAAATAATAAATTAAAATTCATATTTTGAAAAAATAATATAAATAAACTCCGTGTCTGCACTGTTCAAAAAATCTACATATCCTACTAGACAATACTTCACGAACTTAGCACATATTCGATTTCTAACATTGTTCTTAATGTAGCTCAAAGTAGAAAAGACTCTTTCAATACTTGCCATGTAACCATAAAATCAATTCAAAATTAAGGGTAGCGTGTACGTAGTTTAATTATTAGGTATTGAAAATAGTTGGGGATAAAAAAATAGCGTTTTAATGTTGCATGATGTTTAAAATAGAATAACAAATGAGTAGCAACATAATTGGAATATGTTTGATAATAGTAGTGTCCTAGGTTGGAATAACACGGACTACCACTTATATTTTATTAATCATAAGCAAACTATTATCGAGGGTAGGATAATCATTTTTTCAAATGTTAGGGTGTCCCGGATTACCAATTATATTTTGTATACACATACGAAATTACTACCGGAGGTTGGATAATCGTTTCCCCAAATTTTAGGGGGCCCATGTATCCGCCCCTGCCTAGAATGCTTAACTTACGTAGCAATGTTAGTTGTATATGATGATGTACTGTGGGATCCCTTATTATTTCAGGTATAGTTGGATGGACTTAAATTATTTTTACACTTGACTATTTTCAAATTTAGGATGGTAGAGTTTTGCACCAGTTTCTCAAATTTGCCATGAGTGAATGTCTAACCAGTGGTTCTGATTAAATTGTTGTAGGGGGATTTGTGTACTTTAGTAGGAACTCTACCTAAAATTTGCAATAGGTAATGGGTTTAGTAAAATGTTGGGTGATAAGGATAACAATGATTGTCAGAAAGGCTAGGGATTGATACATTAGTCGTCTACCACTGTTGGCCTAAATGTTTCGTAGAGGGCCCTTCCTCCGCTCCCTTCATCTCTATCGTCGTTCTCCGTCCTCTCCTTTCATTGGGAAGCCAGGATCAAACGGTTGTTTTGCATGTCAGTGGTTGGACGACGTCCAAGTGGATGTCAGTGGGCAAATTCAGTGTCGAATAGGGATTGTGTCGGAGGTAGCTAGATCCACCCATATCCTCCTACTCTCCATGTCTGAGATTCGACGTCGGCGGCTGTAATGTTCTAACGAAGAAATTTGGGTGTTAAAGTGCTTCCTCTAGAAATGCCACTATCAACTTCTCTCTGTCGAGGTAATTTCAGCTACCAACCCAAGCTCGATTCACGCCAGCAAACGAAATCACCTTCTGCGTTATGCGTATAAAAGGCAGTTTAAATCACACAGACCCACGAAAGCGTTTCAGCGAAAACTCCACTAGCAGCTTCTCTCTGTCAAGGTAATTCTCAGCCATCAACCAGCCAGCTTTTGATATTTGTTTCTATCGGTCTGCCATTTCGCTTCTTTATTTTAGCTATATGCTTCCCTCCTATTATGTTCGTGAAAGGTTTTTGATTTGTGTCTGATGGAGCACGATTGAAAATCTTAAGATGATCAATTTTATGCTTTTGTAGCAATAAGTTAATCCCTTGAAGAAATTCTAATTACTATTTTAATTTAATGCATAATTGTTTTAGTTTTGTTTGTATCTAATAGTAAACCAAGTTAATAATACTAATATAAAGAAATAATTTTAAGCAATTTGTGATACAATAAATAGGGCAAATTCTTTTAATACGAAACATGTATAGGCCGTAGTGAGTTAGGATAATCTGATTAACAAAAATACATATGAACTAATTGTTATCAATGTCACAATTATCAAGTAGTGCAAAAATCACTTTCGATTATTATGAAGTAATGAAAAATAAGATGAAATCATCCGACCAACGGGTCGGGTAAAAGCTAGTTCAAGTATACAACCTAAAATCAATATTACATGATGTACAAGGTGTCTCTGTTTTAAAAAATAGTGCTCGCAATTTGAAGATGAAAAAGGAATGCACAAAAAGGAAGAAAAAGCACTAAGATGAAACGAAAGCAAACTTCCTTGAAATCATGGTTATTTGCTTAACAAGAATTAGAACGCCATTTCTGCAAACGTTGATCGTCGTCAATTCACTCGTCACATATGAAATTAATCACAACAAAACCATACACGCAGGAGAGTTGGGAAAACAAGGAAGAGAATTAAACAACAAAGAAAATTAATGGTCTAATTAATTAATTAACATTTAAACATAACGAACTGGTTCATTATTATCTGGCGTAGCAAGTACTGGTGGCGCTCCGCTGGAGGATCCGGGAAGGATCCGCGAACCGGGCCGAGAAAGACCGGGGCAGGTTATCGGGCTCGGCCCAACCCGTCCCCTGATCGAAGTTCATGCTGTACTCCTCCGGTTCGTACGCCGAATGCAGCGTCGCAACCGTCGCCGTCGAAGTACACGTGGCTGCTCGGAAAATGCTCCGCTTCCTCCTGTTGATCTTTCTCCACAGCGCCTGCCAGATGTTCCCTCCCCGGCCGGCCGGTCTTCTGGAGTAACCGCCGCCTGCGGGGGAGGAGGAGGAGGATTGGTGGTGGTGAACGGATTTGGATCGGCCGAGGTAGATGGTGGTGCTGGACGCCTTGACGGAGGAGCTGCGCTGCAGCCACGTGGAGGCCGGCGACTTGATCATCCCCATGGCCGCGGCGGCGGTTACGGGAGGGGAGATTTACAGAGATTTTGATTGAGGGAATTTCGATCGGGGGGAAAGTTTTTAATTAATGATTTTTGGATAACGAACGAGTTGAGGCTTTGGGGTTTCTGCGCGTCATTTATATATACGGTTACGAAAGTAGTGGGCAAAGGTGATTACTAATTAGTTTAGGAAAGGGAATGACTCGGCGCTGGCAAAGGCTGACCGAATCTGGATCGGCTCGGCTCGGCTAGCCTTGGGATAGAATGAGGTATATAGGTTAGGGTTTTTGTCGTGTGAATCGGATATAATCTTTCTTTGATAGTTGAGGCAGATGATAGCAAAACTAAACAACCATCGTTGTATATTATCTTCAGTTTCATCTTGATATATATTACGTTTTAGTCGTCCTGCGCATAACGCGTGGAGTACAATTTATATTTTCAGTAATTTAGACTAATTTGATAATCGTACTTCGTACATATAGATTGTTAGGTCATACAGTAAAATCTTATCTCGCGCGACTTCAATGGGTCGCGAAATTCTTTAGAAAACTTCAATATCTTCCTTTCTACTCTTGCAACGTTATGTTGTGATCATTGTTTTTCGACAATTTTTACCATGCAAGAAAGTTTTCTTATTTCTCTTTTGTTCATCTCTTCGTACGGTTTGATTCTAAAACGTTTTAACGATCATTCCGGACCTTCTAATGGTTGAAGCATCCTATATGTCGTGGACAAACATCACCGAAATTTTGGAGTTTGTCATTATCCAGTGTCAATGTCGCGCTAACTTAAACGTTCGACCGCAAACTAGCATTTCACTAGATCCTAGACTATTTCATGCATTATTAGACATCCCTAATTTGGAGGAACGCTTGAAAAGTACACACTACTCTCTAATAATACAGAATCGGTCGGATACAAAACAATATTATACCCATTTGAACAATTACGGTCTTTTTATTGATAAACAACATATTGGATTTGGGATGTTGCTTTCGGTAAATCTTTCGTTACTATTATTCCTTCTCCGAGGAGTTTACATATTAAAATTCTATAAATTGGAAGGATTTGACTAATTAGGTTTGTGAAAGGGAAACAACTCATTGTTCGGTTTCGTGTTTTGATTTTAAGAGTTCCGGCGGCCGTCAGGATGGGAAGATACATATAACATATGATGCGATGTATTTAATTTGGGCAGGTGAGAAGGAATTGTCCAAAACTGTGGACTTCAATGCATTTGCTCTTCTTAATAATTATTTTTTGTTTTGTTTTTCTTTCCCGACTGTTTATCATGTTTTCCTTAATTTAGTGTTAATTATTAAGTTTTACTTGGAATTTAGACCATGTCATCATAACTCAAAAAATAGGCATACTTTATAGAGAATTTTTACAATACTATATAGTATTGGTGCTATAGGGTTTTACTTTTATGATACAACTTAAAATTATACATTTACATTATGGTACAACTTCAAATTATACCTATATTTTTTGTACAAATTCTTTTATGGTACAATTATACATACGGCATAACACCTCAAGTGATTGGATTCATAGAGGCTCACCATCCATTTCCAGTCTAACAGAGCATAATCCAGAAAAATGCCTTATCAATATTTCATAGAAACAAATCAGAGAAGCTGACTAGCTGCTGGCCTCTTAAGATATGGTGAAATGAAGCTGAAGGAGCCTAAAGAAGAAGAAGGAACGTAGTAGCTAGCACATGCCATCGATCCTTTTACCCTAACCAATTGCATTATAGTAATGCTCTCCGTTATTTTTTTTTTTTTTAATGTAAGAGTGCAGAAAAAGACCGCCGAAAGGTCCAAATATGAACGCCGGAGTGTTCGATCTTCGGCAGTTCGTTTCGCAACTCCCCATATGATACCATCATAATTCTCAGATCCACCAAACGTACCATAATATTCCCTTTCCCTCCTAACATATTCTAATAATGGGTTCGGATTGATGAGAAATTTTACAATGTTATATAATATTGGTGCTATAAGTTTTTTGTCTTTATGGTACAACTTAAAAATATACATTTTACGTTACGGTACAACTTTATATTGTACCTATATTTTCTGTACAATTTTTTTTTATGGTACAAATTGAACTTGTACCTTTATGTGATGGTACAACTTCAAGTTGTAAAGCTGTACCATAACATAATGGTACAAATTGTTTTATGGTACAACCTAAACTTATACGTTTACGTTTAGGCTTTGTTTGCTTAATGGATTTCAATATGGATTTGGTACATAAAAACCAACCATCATGGACTTTGTACACAATCCGTCGTTTGCTTGATGGCTTTAGCAGAGACAGATTCGTGGGGCCCACAGTTTTTTAGGGTGCAAATTCGTGGACCCCACGGACTTGGAAATTCCATCTCAAGGGGTGGGATTTGTGTGGGTGTCTCAAGTCCATGTGGTTATTTACTATTTTATCCTCACTTTGTTTTGTTTCTAACAATAAATAAGATATAGTATGGGTAGATAGATAAATTCATAATGTAACCATAATTATAATTATGCAAAATCCACAATGAAATCTATCAAGCAAACAATGGTTTTATCCAAAAACCAAATTAACCAATTCCATCATAAATCCTTGGTTTTATAAAACCCAAGTTTTGACCAAAATCTTCATTTATCAAATCCATGTAGCAAATGAGCCTTTTAATGTTATGATACAACTTTAAATTGTACATAACACCAATGATATATAACATAGTAGAAATGCTCCGGTTTGAGCCCTACGATAAAGGTATTATGCTTCCAGCCCATTTTTCCACCACTCGTTTTGGTCAAAGGCAAGGCCCACTGAAGCAGTGATATTGGGCCATATTGATTAATGAATTAAGTCTCGGACCATGACAAGCCCACTAAGAAGCTGCTGAAGACGTGGACAGTGGACTTCAGTTGAGCCCAGATTGAGCAATTGGGGGGGAATGCCACACCAAGCAGCTCAACGCACGTGACCAGCACGCAGCAGGCTGACGCGCGCACTGACCAGTGACATACGACGAAGATTTTGTCCTCGTGGCATTCACTGGCTATGTGAAAGGAAGTCAACTCTTCCAATGGTTTGACATTATATAGTCACAAAATGACTCACTGCCACTGCTCACGACCAAAATCCCCTGCCGAGTTTCACAGGGCACAACTACATTGCAAACCTTTAAATTATGCAAAAGCAAGCAGCGTATTTCCAGACTACACTTTCCATTGCCTACCGGATCCCAAAACACTCCCTACTAATTAATACTAACTGCTACACAACACAGGACAGTTTCTAGTTCCTGTTCATAATTTACCCACCCCTCTAAACACGCAATGTAGCCCTTACACTGCGTCACGGCGCCCACCTCCACTGTTCTGCTGCCGGTGAACGATGGACCTCAGCCTCTCGTACGAATCATAACACGCATGAGAGTAGTCCGACATGGCACGAAACAGCTCGGGAAGGCGGATCTTCAGACTCCCCAGCGACTTCTCCCTCACCTGAAGGCAATGCCTCTGGTGAGCTTCCACTTCCTCCTCCAGCCTCTTCTGCAGGGTCTCCACAGCAAACTGCCTCTCCGCCACCGGATCTCCGGTTCTGTCTCCACCACCATTTTCATCCTCCGAGGGCATCGGGGCCCTCTTCATCACATGCTTCTGGTGCCAATCCTCGAACGCCTGCCTTTTTCTTATGTACTCCTTGCGTGTTTCTTCGCATTTCTCCTTCAGCTTCATTTCTTCCTCCTGGTGGAGCTTGATGGTCCTGATCACGGCTGCGAACGACGAGATGGCGGATTTGGAGATCTCGTCGGGGAGCTTCTCGAGGTGGTCGTGCCACGCGTGGAGTAAGGGTTGGATGGGTGGGGTCTGGACTCGAGGTGGCGATGATATCTTCTCCTTCAAGCTGCTCTCTATGGGGATGAGGTTCAGCTTTAGCCAGCTGTTGAGACAGCTGATGTATTGCTTCTGATGCGTGACGAGATGATTGAATTGGTCGTGCCATTTCTCAATCACTTCGCATAACTGGGTGGTTTGTTCATGATGCTGCCTCGTTGTTTCTCGGATGGCGTGGGCTACATCAAGCGATTTGAGGTCTGTTACAATCTTCAGCTGGCTATCATGGTGGATTGTCATGCTTCCCCACATTTTCGACATCCTGTTGCAAATTGGTAGATCATAGTCAAGGGAATTGTAGATAGATTCTATATCTAATCAAGGTAGAGCAGTGCAAAAGCATAGATTGTATTCCAATTCTAACGAATTCATTGATTTTGCCAAATAGGTTTTGCATGGAATCGGTCTACATTTGGTTGAATCCTGGTGTATTAGTTGACTGTATCACATTGACAACAGGCTCAACAGAATTGTTTATAACGATATAAGGTATAGCATGAACTAACATCAATTAAGCATTTAGTACTTCATAAGAGTACCAAGAAACCAGATAAGAGAAAGCAAATGTGGGTTATTATGTTCTCTATGAGAGCTTACCCTTCGACGAGAGCAACAAGCTTAGGATACAACTGCTGATCACGTATATGATTAACTTCGGAGACAGTGGAGTCCATGGACTGCATGTCAACTATATATCTCGTGTGCAAATGACTCACAGCAGCTTTAGTCTTCTCCAAGGATTCAGCACTAGCACCGCGTTTCTTCTGCTTGTTGAGTAATGCCACCTTCCTTTTGTACTCCAGCTTCATCAGCTCACCTTGCTGCTCAATAAAACCCCAAACAAACAGAGATAAGTCCAGAAGCAAGCAAACGAACTTGTTAATGGATGATCCAAAAGGAACTAAGCAATAACCAAAATCACTTCACCTTGACTTCATCATAGAGTTTCTTTTCCCATGCCAACAACTTGTCCAGAACAGTGGCATGAGTTTCGTAATCGTCCGAATCAAATTCATCATTCCCTCCTTCTCCACCACCGCTTACACCTTTAAATGATCTATTCCAAGTAATGACACGCATAACCCTCGCCGAATGATCAATGTGCCCTGCAGTAAACAACAAAACACTCAAAACACCCATTGCATATGCAAAATTGCAGTCACTTTCTGCAGAAAAGTGGGGAAGTATGTTGTTGGTAACATGATGCAAGAACTTTTCCTCCCTTTTAAAGGGGCAGCAAGCAAGCAAGAATGAAAGATTCTTTTCCACGTAACAAAAAGTTGGCTCCTTTGGAAGAAAGTAAACAGAATTCTGCAGATTCCCCTAGACCCCATCAAAGAATTTGAAAGCAAGATACCAACTTTAAGGGAAGGGAAATGAGAGATTTCTGAGTTCGAGACCTCGATTGTCAGCGAAATTGGAATGGTAATGGAGTCGAGTAGCTTCGAGCATCTTGCAGACCTCCTGAGCACTCTCTGAAGCCCTAAGGAAATGATCATCGATCTGACCTAAAACATGCATCAAATCCACACTCCCTGCAGCAGCCTTCTTCCCAATTCTCATGAAATCCGGCGGGGCCGTTTGGGAATGCTCAATCTGCTTCCCTGCTGTAGTATCTCCTTCCTCTTCTTCCTCTTCCTCCGCCAGGTTGCCCTTCGCCTTCACCGGAGTTATCTCCGGCGTCTTGGGTTCATCGACGTCGACATTTCCCCCAAAATTACCATTCGCGTTCTGCCTCTCTGCCTCCCCATCGTCGTCGTCGTCTTCGGGTTCCAGGTTCGGGCCCGGCATACTATCCACCATGAAGAAGTAATCCCAAGCCATGCTTTTCGCTTCCGGCATCGGCGGCACCGGGTGATTTCCCGGCGGTGGGGCATCTCCAGGTCCCACCGTCCCAGGGTGTGGGCCCCCACCTCTGGGCTCTCGCGAATCTCTGTTCTTATTACCTCTATTCCCGTTTCGAAGTCCGTGATCCAATTCCTCTTCCTCTTCTTCTTCCTCCTCTTCGTCCTCTTCAGCAATGGCGACGGAGTCCAAATCTCGCCGGCCCCTCCGCTTCAGGGGAATCGCGGGCATGCTGATTGCGCGCTTGATTGGAGGGCTAGGGCTAGGGGAGAAGCTCGGCAGCGGAGGCGGAGGCGGCGGGAGATTGTCAATTGGAGGAGGAGGAGGAGGAGGCGGCGGCGGCTGCTCCGACCCCACATCTAGCGGGGTCTGCTGCTGTAGATTGGCCGTCTGAGAGGACGGGTCCGCTTCCCCGTGGGCATAGTCACTGAGAGCGGCGCCGGTGTTCTTCAGAGACATGGCGTAGCCGGATTGGGCGGCGGCGAAGGCGTTCCTCGCCGCCACCGCCTCCTTCATCAGGATTTTCCGCTCCTTGCATCTCGTCACCGATTCCTCGTTGTCCACTTTAGACTGGGCGCAACCCATTCCTTTTTGTTTCAGCTGGGCACTCCAAAGAAACAAGCTTTCTTTTTTCTAGAGCGTGAAGAAGGATAACAATGGCGCCAGAGGCAGAGAGAGTGAGAAATGGAGAAGGGAGAGAAGAGGGAGAAAGGGGGTTTCTCCTTTTGGGGTTGATTGTTGAATGTGCAATCAATTTTCCAGAGAAACGGAGAAGAAGGGTGAAAAAGTGAGTGAGAGAGAGAGGGAAACGGCCAAAGCTCAGTGACCGAGTGTGAGACTGAGAGCAGAGTGTGCAGCAGAGGGAGCTGCAGACTGCAGAGTGTTGTTTCCTTCTCGCGCCACGCGCCCGTAGTACAGGGAATTGTAGTCTACGCGCTTAATTTGGAATACGAGGTGTCCTTGTCGTGCTTATTTATATTAACGGTCATTTTTTTTAATTTTCTATTGGCGTCAAACGCTGTCGTTTATGCCTGAAGATGGGACGGAGTTGCTCCAGCGGCACCTCGAGAAAATAAAGGGTGAATTACCATGCATGGTCACTTAACTTTGATTCCTAACAATATTACCACTGACTTTTACACTCAATAAAAAAATGTACACCAAAATGTTCATTTGGTCGTTTCAGTTATTTGAATTTTAAAGCAGACAAATCGCCATAAAACAAATTTTATTTCTGTTTAAGAAGACGATTCATTAACCCTATTTGTGTAATCTTTTCCAGAACATAAAAGATACACAGCAAAAACCTAACCTAAAGCATTATAACCTGACCAACTTGCACGAAATGTTATCTTCATCCTTCTCCCTTCCAGCAATTTTTTTAACCAAAATCATTATACCAAAATCGAGAGCCCTAAACCACAACCATTTGTACAAAAGCCTAATAAGGTTAAATGATACATGCTGATTATGATCGAAACATAACATAATATGCGTATGCCATTGCCATGTTTCACACTCATACACTTCCCACCCTGTTTTAGGATCGAGCAGAACGAGTTGTATAGCATCAAGTAAGGATTAAACCCTGAAGAATTCTGGGGGTTTAATTCAATCTCCTTCTATGGAGGTAAATGAATATATACGATACAACACAAGCTCCATCCAACTGTCGACAAGAGTTCTGCATGTACAGAGAAACTCCATTAGCAGCAGAATTCTCCAGCAACTTGCAAGGCTTCTTCTATCCCATCTTTCTTCCAAATGAACAGCCCCTGCATTTGTTTTATGGGACAACCTTACGAGGACAGCACCTTTTGGCGAGAAGATGGGTTACAGATAGATTGTTCTGCCCTCTAGCAAAACTAGTCTCATAACTTGAAAGGACGTGGGCTTGTATACTGTTCACTTGCACCCCAAAAGTTTGAGACTGAGAGTTGCATTAGCCTGTTGAGAGTCCGGCTTTCCATCTGGGCGCCTTCTTGTGACCCTAACAAAGGACAAAGAACCTTTTTCAGAGTCCAAATCACAATCATTTTCCACCACTACAAATGCTTGTAGATCTCGACTGCATTGATATTCAAACACAGATATCATTTGTGTACAACAATCCAAGACCTAAAAGAGGGTGGCTGGGACCTAACTTTTGATCGTCAAGGTATCCCGATAGTGAAATTTGATAAATGTAAATATGTAACACAAGAATATGGATTGAGGAGACGTTAGCTTAATCTAGTTTCATAGTTTGATGTGAAGGAGAAGCGTTGTGTTTTGTTGTTTTAATGCTTGAGTAAGAGTAATTTTGACTGCATCCAAAATTAAATATCATTACTGGATTTGAGTAATGGCTGCGCAATTTTATTCCCTTATATTGACATCGCGTGTGCGTCTAACTGACCATGTCTCTTGTTGTGGGAGCATCGTTTGTAAAACTTCGAGCACAATAGAGGTTTCTTGTTCGAGGGTAGGGAGGAAGAGAATCCTGGGTAGAGCTTATCCATATAATGCCCTCGGAAGAAAATAAAGTAGTGATGATTGCCACGAATGCAGCCCTCGAGTACGTGTACAATAAAGTCTTTGCCAATTCTTGTCAACATGGTGCGCCTTTCAGTAGAGGAGCGTTAAAACGCCACGAAAACTTTGACGGAAGTGGTTGGGCATTTCCATGGCAAAAGCTTCAAAACGAGTCTTATCCGATTGAGATTCATTCAAGGGTGTGGTTTGACTGGTAAACTACCTCTAACTCTATCTATTATCAGTTTCACTCATTCTATTTGAAGTTGGTTACCTCCTTTGGTGCTTTCCTAGAGCATTTCATTGACCTAAGACACACTCCTTTTTCTTTTAATAAAAGGTTGGTGACAGTGATTTTGCCGAATCAAGGGTCAAGGGCAAAAAAAGATAGGTTCTTTCACTTCCAACGGGGGATCAATGCCACAGCTTCCCCTCGATTTTCCTAACCAAGGTTTCAGTGGGTATAGTGATTGCTCCTATACTAACAAAGTGGAGCAAAAGGGATAGACTTAGAATTGCAATACCAAATCAAGGAAGGAGTGAAGGAGTGTCGAATATAGGACAACTAGAGATGACGTCGTTTTGTAAAGAATTGCTCCAATTTATTTTAATCCTTGGTCTGCCAATGCTATTAAGCGCGGGTAAGGATTTTACTAATTTTGTATATGGTCGTTGCAGGGACCTAAGCTTAATTTCATTGGTGAATGAGACTTCATCGTGCTCATACCAAAGAAATCCAGTCCAAAGCGGATTCCTAATCTTCGACCGCCTCTACAACGAGGTGTACAAAACATTAATGTAGTGTCTTACACATAAACTCAAATAGTTGATGACGCAACTAGTCAAGCCAATCCCCCTTGCACATTTATGATAATATTGTTATATTTGCAGGAAACCATTAACAGAATGAGTTCGAAAACAAGGAGAACAACGCAAATGGAGTGGGTATCGATCTCGCTAAGACTTACGACAAGATAAGTTGGGTTTTCCTCCAATAAATGTTGCACGATGCATAACTAGCAACTATGTTTGTTGACGTGGTGATGAGGTGTGTTACCTTGCCATTGTTCCAGGTTAATTGAGAAGATGAGACGACTGAGGCATTTGAGCCATCCCACGAGATAAGACAGGGGTGGCCACTCTCGTTTTTCCTTTTTATTACCCTCTGTATGGAACGTCACAATAAAACGATCAAGGATGTTGTGTATTGGGGCGCAATGGAGACCAATCACTCTAGTTCGCGAAAGTACTCCTCAGTCTCACCTTTTTTTTTGCTAGTGACCTTGTATTGTTTTCAAAGTCTAACACCATTCTTGCTACACAAATTTTGGATTTGTCTGGATCAATTTTGTGAGGCATTCATGCAATCAGTGCCCCATGAGATGTCTAGAATTTTTTCCATGCAGAACACAGGTAGACCGTAAAGTCCAGAAGTAAGGTGGCAGCAGCGCATTCCAACTACACAGGATCTGAGCAAGTATTTGGGGGTTCCTATGCTCCACGTTCCTACGCCCGTGTGTGATGAGATTGAAAGAATAATCAGGAACTTTGTTCAGGGGCGAAAAATGGGAAGCGAAAGACGAGCATGGCTCCCTAATGAAACCTGGGTAAATGTTCTAACGAAGAAATATCGCAAATAGCCGGTAACACGGTTACCCCACACAGATAGGTAGGCAATTTAATTCTTTAGAGGCATCCGCAGAGCATCGCAATCAATGTTGGAGGGAGTCCGGTGGAGATAAAGGTCAATAAGTTTCTAGGATGTTATTTAGCTTGACAGTGGCGTTCAGTTGGCTTATTGGTTGATAGGGCCGCTACTAGTCCACCTAAAGGACAAGTCAATGGCGTCTTGCGTTCTTGACACATGAGTGGGACACACAAGTTATCGCTTGTTATTTTGCCTGACGATTTGTGCTTGCTAGTGCTTGAGATTACTCCAACACAAGAGGAGCTTAGCAAGGAAGATATAGTTTAGGGCCTTGAAACCAACGGAAAGTTCACAATTCAACAACAGACTATCCATTTTGGAAGCGACGGGTGAACACTCTCATCAGCAGATGAGCTTAGAGCTCTAGTTTCAAAGTATCCACTCAAAGAGTGACAAACTTTTCTCGAATTTCAAGAGTGACAAACTTCTTAACCGATTGTTTGGCTCATACGAGTCTATCAGTTCCTTTTGGCGTTCATTACCAATCGACCTAAAGGACAAGCCAATGGCGCCTTGCATTCTTGACACATAAGTTATCGCTTTGTTATTTAGCCTGATGATTTGTGCTTGCAGGTGCTTGGGATGACTCCAACGCAAGAGGAGCTTAGCAAGGACTATATAGTTTGGAACCTTGAAACCAACGAAAAGTTCACAACTCAATAACACGCTATCCATTCTACAAGCAACGGGTGATCCGTCTCATCAGCACTCGAGCTTAGAGCTCCAGTTTCGAAGTCTCCTCTCAAAGAGTGGGATGTTAAACTTTCTTGTATTTCCAAAGAGAAACTTCTTAGCCGACTGTTTGGCTCATATGAGTCTGTCAGTTCCTTTTGGTGCTCGTTATGTTCCTAAACATGACCTTGAGATCTGTAAGTGGATTTTATATGACATTCTATGGACATCAGTGCCCCGACATTTTAATGTAATGAGGGAGTAGTACTACACGCCCTTTCTCTTTCCTTCCCTTTTCATACATATTCCATAGACAGATCTATTGTTGATTTTGTATACCTTAAACCAATAATTGAACTTTGAAACTGTTGATTTTGTATACCTTAAACCAATAATTGAACTTTGAAACTATTAAAACTCTGTAACTTTATGTTAAAGAGATTGAAAATACTCCAACTTTCCCTTCACGAATAAAAACAGTTATCCCCAAAAGACCTCAAGAAGGGACAAATGAATCCCGACTGACATTGTGACCTTATGCCAACCAAGCCCTTGCTAAATCAGAAGAGTTCAGTGACATAATCAGAAGGAATACCCTGACAGGAAGATAAAGCCAACTACAATTCCAGACTTCAGATTTGCTTAAAGGCATGCTCCTAGTAGTCCAGCAAACTTACAGTTTACGGTCTAAAGTAGGGAGCCTATTCTGAATTCCAATAACGAGATTTTCATTACTGAAGCAGGGGTCAACTAGGAATCGCTGAAGTTAGAGAGTAGCAGCTGATAGATGAAGAGAAAAGGAGGTTGTAGGCTAAACTGACTGAACGGCTGAAGTTCAAAATAACAGCAGAAATAAGCCACCAAATTATCTACAGCTAGATGGAATAGAAAGTTCATACCATCCTGCATCCCCCCTGAGTAGTAGAGTCGAACGGTTCGGCCAAAATAGTGAAGTTGTTTGCCAAAATAGTGAAGTTGTCCAGGGAACAGAGAATCGTTAGCTTCCCACTACCTTCCGCTGCACATGTATTCACACTTGGGCCAAAAATATTCTCCATCGACCACATTCATCTCCAGCTACCCGAAAGTTCACTTGCATCCTGACCTGCAAACAAAATGACTAGATATTAACTGATTGTGTCAAACCCATAATCTAAAAGGATCGTGATGGAAACATGAATCAAGAATGCCTAAGGTAGGCCTGGCCAAACCAAAATAGGTGACTGGCAAGCTTCATTGAAAATCAACCAGTCAGAAAAAGTTCAGAGAGAGGCAAAAAAATATCAGTCAGAGAAAATCAAGATTTGCCAACCACAATTGGAGGTGCAAGTTTCAAAGTTGTAAGCTCAAATGCACTGCACTTACCAAAACGATTATGAAACAGGAGCACCATCGCTCACACAGACTTAAAACGATCTCTAAGTCTCTTCAGTTCCTCGCCTTGTTGCTGAAGTTCAACAAGAGCATGACCAGTAATGGTATTTTAGCAAGAATGAGACTTTCAGTTTCTGATAGAAAAATGCAGAGGAATCTGACCTTGTGTATGGCTTCCCATGTTAGATTCACTCTTGCTTGATGTAAGGCCCACTCAGTAGCCATTTCATGCTCAATTGTATTTGGCTGCGAACAATGAGAAGTAGATACAGCTTCTCTCTGCACGATAGAATAGGAAATGATGATGGGAAATGTTAACCAGAGAACAAAGAATCAAAACCAATAATGCAAGGCACATTTTGAGATGTAGCAAAAGTAATGCAGATTAAATTTACCTTCTCTCGCTGCATTTGGTATTTCAATTTGTCAATGGCAAAATGACCGAAAAATGGTGATTGTTTTCCTTTAAAAGCAATGGAGGCAAGCCTGCCTACAAGGGGCCTGACCAGAACACAGGCAAAATAAAATTTTCATATTGGTGGTCGATCAATTGACTATAGATGTTTAGAATCTCGGGAGTACGAATTGGAATTCATTACTGAATCCAGTTTTGTCATACCTTCCGCCAGGTAAAACCAAACAATGTCTGTCCAATTTCACAACCACCCTTCCTGCCACTTCCTTTGACGAGAAATTGACAAAAGCTTGACCTTAAAAAAAGCATGGGAGGAAAGTAAGACAAGAAAAATGTCAAAGCTAGGGAACATTCCCCTTCAATTCAGGCAGTACCAAAGTGAGGGCTAGAAAAAGCTAAGCACGGGAGGAAAGTAAGACAAGAAAAATGTCAAAGCTAGGGAACATTCCCCTTCAATTCAGGCAGTACCAAAGTGAGGGCTAGAAAAAGCTGTCCGTTGAACCATCTTTGCAGAGCAATTTTCTTTCAGAGCATTCTTGATCAACTCCTGATCCGCAACAACCATCATGATGAGTAGCCAAATAAAGAAACTGGTGTATTGCACTATAGACCTAAAGTCAATGTATCATATACTCTTCAACAAGCATTACCTTCACCTCATCTGATGTGTATGATGGATCCAAGTTTAGAAGGAGAACGAGGCTTCCATTCACATACCCATCTTCCATTGCTTGATCCCAAGGCTGGCCATAACACATGGCTGAACCAATTAGTGCAATGGGTTGCTAATTAAAGAACAAAGCAATGTCTAAATTTGCACACTACATATACAGGCTTGCCTATGGCAGAAAACTTGGCGTACTTGCACGACGGATTACAAGCAGTTTGCAAAAATCAAACTCGGAAAATTCCTCATAAGTCATAGTATTTGACTATTTGTACAATAGGAAACTTTTACTAGAGGCACTATATTAACAGAAAATCAGCTTTCCCATATTCCTAATTTAACCATCAGATATATTCCAGGATATTTTAAGCAAATAAAGCACCAATACCTTATAAGTTGACTACAAAATTTTCTGATTAGGAACATAATTTATTAGGTACATATTTAAGTGCATTCAAAGTGGGCTGAAACTAAAAAGACAATGATCAACCACAGTATCAAAGGAAGCAACCTAATACTCTGTGAGTAGCACTAAAATTACCCAGCTTACACAATCAATCTCACTATCAACATGACCAACCAAGCCCCGAACACTCTCGCCCGTGTCTCAACGCGCTCGCGCTAATTGTGGCCGTTCGGGAGAATCGATGACTGTCCACCAGCTCAAAACTTAGCATTCTCATAATTACATCTTGCCAGAGCGTTTTATTTTATCCTCAGTAAAAAAGATATGAAATGACCATAGCAATACTTAGAAAAAGACATTTAAAAGATAAAATGCAGCAGAAATGGAATTTCATACATAAATAAACAAGAGCAATACAACAAAAATACGGAGAATAGATACTTACTTGTTCTTCGCACCATCTCGATCTTCTTTCCTCCTATGATATGAATAAACAACTTGTTAACTAACTCACGACATGAACATTAAATCACAGAGCATAATCCGAAGAGACATCTGGAAAGTTCTCAATAAAACAAATAGTCAAATGAAAACATTTACTCATCCATTTATTAATTCAAGTGTAAAGATTTCTTTGGGACAAAGCAAATTTTGTTAAGTATGTTGAGATAACTATGAGATGCAAAGCAATGGCCAAGTTAAGTGCATTAAACTATGATTACATTCGAGTGATATCTGAGCATGAATGAACCTAACAACTACACCAAGCCTTATTAAGCTTCAAATCTGATCAAGCTTGAACGAGACTGCACGCTTACTACGCTATTCAGAAAACTCAACTTAACTAGAAAGATCAAAAGTTTGCAAGCAAAAGCAGAAAGATCTCAAAATAAATGAGTAGACAATTGAAAACCTAACAATGCAACTCACAATGCTAATAGCTTCAGGCCCTTTATTATCAACCCTTTTCCTTTCATCAGTAGATTGGACTGGAGATGGTTTAGGCAACTTAGCAGGCTTAGTATCCTCTCTTTCCAGCTTTCGCTTCTTAAGACATTCTTTATTCTTGAGTACATCCTTTGAACTTTTAGAGTTTTCCACAGACGGGGTAATTGTGGAAGGGATAGGCCTCTTACCAACTTTATTAAACAAAAGTTTAGCTGCAAGAATTATGAAACGTCACATGTAAGGATCTAAGACACAGACACACGTTTACACATAAAGCACTCGAGGCACACAATAATAATTAAGTCCTCGCGAAAATAAACAAGTGCTGAAATTCTAAAGGACCATACTCTCCACTCCAGCAATTTTATCATCCATCTTTTCCACGATCTTGCATCTTCCTACATCAAAGGCACGGTTAAAGATAAAGTCCGCACCGATGATCTCTTCCTTTGATGGTTGAGGATTCCTAGAATCTCTAGATGTGCATACGACTTTGCATTTGCCCGCAATGGCTTCCTGATTATTCAAAGATAGTATATTAACTAACCTAGCTTAATATGTACAAAACATCTTCAGAAAGCTACATTTCCAAGAGAAAACAATGAATAGTCAATCACAATAAGAAGCAATCTTACCAAGGGATTCACATCATAAAGCCCTACTCCTTCCCCGGCTGCCAAAAGCAGTTCATTCTTCGGAAAGGTTTCCCCTCGCGAGTAATTTGTAATTTCCCAGGGGCGAAAGTACCATAAGATCCTGCATTTTTTATGTCCTTGAGGATCCTCCCAGAGTCTCACTAGCTTCCCGATATCAGGCTCGTCGACATTGTCTCGGTGCATGTACACCGAGTCATACAGTGTATACTTCTCGCCATCATAGATGAAAGACTCATAAAACTGGATGTTGTGATTCTTTCCACCCAACCCTCGCTTTTTTAACCACTGAAATTCAATCCTGCTCGGATCATCAACTTCAGCCATCCTCTATTTCGCAACATTCAGACCAAAACAAACCACCAACGAAAACATTGTCATTCTTTCCACCATTCACATAACGATAATGACGCTCTAAGTAAAAATACACCAAATGAGCAACACCAAGTGCCCATACACCGTAGAAAATCGGCATGCAAAGGCCAAAGAGCATACAGATTGGGAATGAACTCGCCCTGAGAAAATGCAATCTAGGGCCAAAGAAATCAAACCCGCACACCAGTCACTCACCGACGGGGGTGACGAAGAACAAGGCAGTGGGAGAATTGGGAAGTAGGAGGAAGACACTTACCGACTACCGAATCGGAACTCCGAAGGAACCCTAACTCCCCGAAGGGGGAACGACGAACACGGCGATTCGAGAATCGAGCAGTCGGAGGGCTCTTACCGGCAGGCGATATGAACTCCGAAGGAACCCTAGTTGGTAGTTACCGGCGCATCGGGACGGTTCACCTTCCCCTAGTTCCGACTGTTATTGTTCGCCGCTGATTATCATCTTTTTCATCTTTTTCATTCACAGTGAAGCACTGGAGTGCCGAGCGCAATGCGCATATATACGCGTGGTAATTCGGGACACGCATTTTTTCTCGCGGGATTGATTCATGAATTATGATGATTAATTAATTACAGGGTAATTAGCTTAGTACAAAACGGTCACTAAACTTTATTTTTGCATGTTTCAGTCACATACCTTTGGATGAATATCAAAACGGTTATTCCGTTCAATTCCATCCAAAAAACCGTCAATTAAGTCCAGTCAGCTTAACACGTCATCCCAAAAAATAAAAAATAAAAACCCGAATCAGACCCACTTAACTAGCCGACCCAACCCAACTCGTCCGCCCAACCCACCCACCCGTCAAAATGGGACCAGCACCAACGAAGAACAAAAATTCTAGCAACCACCGCCGCCCCCAGCCCCTCTCTGCCATCCCTGTATCTCCAGCAACCACCGCCGATGCACCTACCTGGTTCTAGCGATTGAAGGGCGGGTCTGTCCGTGGGAGCAGACGAATCGACCGTTGGGATGACGATGAAGAACAGATATGGTGACCGCCTATTGGATACACGGGTTCGGCAACTTGGGATCCGGGACGAGCTGGGCCAGCGATAGTGGGCGTACTGCCGATTGTCGCCGTGAGAGGATAGCGATGAGGAGAAACGAAAACTGGTGGGAGGGAGAGGAGGATCCGGGTGGGCGACTTCGGCGAGGAGGGATGATGAGATCGTCCGCCGGTGAGGAAGAATCATCTGGCATCCGCTGTGATGTCTGCTTCAAATCCCTCTCTGTCGTCGATGGTAAATGGACTGGGGCGAGTTTTTAAACTTTTTGGGTTTATTTTGTAATGAGAAGTTTGTATTGGTTGAGGAATTATTGTTTCTTTCTTGCACCAAATCCACGTTACAACACACACATGTAGAAAGCATAAGGAAATCGAGAGATCTCAAGCGACGAGCAGGGGAGAGGATATTGCCCTTTCTCCCGCCGAAAGAGAGCGACTGCTGGGATTTTTGTTCTTCGCTGGCGCTCGTCCCCATTTTGACTGATGGGTGGGTTGGGCGGGCGGGTTGGGTCGGCTGGTTAAGTGGATCTAATTCATCTTTTTATTTTTATTTTTTGGGATGACGTGTTAAGTTGACTGGACTTAATTGACGGTTTTGGATGGAATTAGACGGAATGATCATTTTGGTATTCGTCCAAAGGTATGTGACTGAAACGTGCAAAAATAAAGTTTAGTGACCGTTTTGTACTAATTAACAAGTTGTGTGACTGTTTATGCTAATTATCCATTAATTACATTTCGGACCAAAAAAAATAATTAGAGGAATGGTCACTTATGTTTGGGGTTGCTACGAAATTATTATTTATATTTTGATTTGTACTAAGCCACTAACTAATGAAATTATCATTCTGTCTTCAGTTGTCTTTATTTTTTTTCCCATATCTATGTGCCATGTAGCTCCAAGTAATAGTAAATAACACATGTGAGATAGTGTGTCACATTATAATTGACATAGTTTGTTTTACTACATTTCTAAACACTTCATGATTCAACCTTTGGACATGATTGAGAAAATAGGTGTTATACAGACACATATGTATACGTTTGTATTGATGTGGCATGATCGTGGAGTCACTTATATTATAAGTTGTATATAGCTATGTATGTCATTCAATTTATGTGTTTCATGAGTACAAGGAGGAACATGGCCATGTTGACAACAATGCTAGACAATTTATTTTCATTCATTATTTGGTCATAGGAGCAACCAACTCACCCAAATCGAGTCATGATAACTCCTAAAAGTCTCAAGTCTCTCGACATTACTTGATCAACAAACCAACACACAAGAATTGGTTAGTTCACTAAACTTAACTAAAAGGGGGGTTTGAGAAAACACGATGTTATTAGCAACAAAAATAGATATGTAGAGTTGGTCCACTTTGACAAGAGAAGAAGTTCGTGTCAAGTGGCTTGCATTTCAGGGTTTGGTGATCATTTTGTGACATGTATAAAGTTCAGTGACTCTTTCTGCTCGCTCCGTTGCGTGAAGCAAAATGACCAGAAGGAAAGGAATCGGGCGCTCAGTGCCAGAATTTGAATGACTCTCGCGAGACGGCAGAACAAAGCCATGCCGCGCCCAGCCGGGAACTAGGGTTGTGTTGTGGCAGATTCAAAACACACTCCTCTTCTTTGCGAACTCTCCGGTCTCCGCACATGGCGTCCAATTCTCCCAAGACGGGGATTGACCAGGTTTGTTGCGGATGTACCGAATCCATGCTGATTGTATAACGCTTGTGTTGAACTTCAGTTTTGTCATGGCGCGTTTCTCCCATCGGCGCTTTTCGTCCATACTGACATACCGCCTCCCCAGGACGTGAACCTGCCGATATTGGGCGCAATTGCGTTTTCTGTGCATTGCATGGACGAGTTACTGCAGTAATGCAGATATGAGATATCCAGTTTTTCCTTCTTGTTTCTTTTGGGAAGAAGTAGGGTTTATTGTTGCTTCTTTTATCCTTGTGAACTAACTTGAAAAGCGAAATGGGATAGTGTCAGTAGGATGACCTCATGTCTCATGAAACAGTTGTTTGATTTCCCCCTCACTGGCTATGGAAATTGAACATAGGATTGTGATAGCCAGAATGGGTTGTGGTTAAAAGGAGAGATTGAATTGGGAATGAATTCAGTTCAAGATTGTGTATAATCTTTCATACTGTCCTTTTGTTTGGAATGACAGTTTTATGCTTCAAAGAAGAGAAAACCCCCTTCACCATCATTGAAGGCAGGGCGAGCTGAGAAGGGTGCCATACTGACTGTAGAAGGATCACCATCAAAAGGAACTTTGTGCAGTTACTTGGTGGACTAAAGTTGGAGACTAAAGCTGCCCTCGAGGTTCAAGGTTCATTGGCTGTAAAAGAAACACCCGAGTGTTCAACTAATGCCGGTAAAGTTGTAATTGAAGGTACTTCGAAGGGTTGCTCGGTTTCAGGTGGTGGGGGAGAGAACTTGGACTTAAGCCGCTTGCCTCTGGCTTATTGTCTTTGTACTGTAGGTAATATACTAGAAATACACTTTATTGTTCTTAAGAATGTGAGATATTGAGTGCTATATTTAGTTCACTCTCATGAAACTAACACAGTAGATGTATTTTCTGTAGTGAACTTCAGTCAACTGCAACTTCGCCATCAAAAACAAATTTGAATGATAATAAGAGATGCTCAAGGCAATTGTCAGAGACTGGCAAGGATAGAATGCGTAAGAAGGGGTTCTACATAACAGATCGGTTTCAGTCAGGACAGCTTGATGCTTGTTCTACTATGAGGAAAGAAGAAGAGAGGGAGGTGAGAATTGTGGATTTTTTGTATTCAGGTAAATGAGGAATTAGTTCTGTTAGTTGATCCCTGTGCGATCAAAGAAGCGACATTATTGCCACAAATCATCATGGAAAGGGCAGTGTTGCTTTGTGGTTTGTACTTGAATATCTTCCTATTTTGCCCATTTATAACTTTTTCCTTGGTCTCTGAAACATCGTTCTGACAGATCTTCATTGTTATCCTCCAATTCCGCTGCAAGTCAAACTGAAAGTTGGACCAACATGGGTTCTTGGAGCCGTTTCAGGCTGAGAATTATGCAGATGGTTTTGAAGTTCCCGGTTATTGAAGAGTGGTTTTTTTTGGCAAGTAAAACAATACTGATGATAATGAAGCCTGAATTGAACGTCAACTGCAGCAGCATGTAGTTTAAGTTACATGTAGATGTAGGTGATCAATGACCTTCTGATCGCTTACACATTGTATATTGTAACCTTTCTCTTGGATTTTTATGATTTTTATCTTCTGATGATGATAACGCGTCTGTTGTGTACTGATTATATAAGTTCCCCTTATAGATCACTCTCGGTGATCTTAATAACAGCATTGACTGTTGATCGCAGGAGAAGCTTTCACAAAAATAGACCCAATCAGGTTAACATTAGTTTATTGGTTGATGACCTTGCCACCAGGTATGCTCTCTGCATCCGTCTTGTTATCCTTTTTTTGGTTTCACTTCTGGATATAGCAAGTTCTTCCTACCGTTATGGTTTCTCTGATCCCTGTTGTTTGATCTTTGCGAAGACAAATGGGTTGGGGAGAGAGATTTCATTTCCGATCTCAGAACTCCGAAACCAGAATTTATTCTTATGATAATAATACCCATTAACGTATTGTATTAAAACTCCCCAGACAAGTTGGCAAATAAGGCTGGTGGTTTTATTACTTAACATATAGACTATTGTATATTCGTCCACTGGAAAAGCAAAGAGTTTTAAGTGTGCATAAGGTGAATGCAGTAAATTTGACGAATACATTATTAATAAGCAAACCTTACAACATTCCGGCTGTAGCTATCCTGAGCTGACCGATATAATTTAACTGCCATGTTCGGAATTTGTCCTACAGGATAAACCTACTTCTTGGGAACCCAGACAATATGATCCTGAGGAAGGAAATGACAGACTGGAACGCTCCCTGGTTTAACTTTCAGCAGCTGGAAAGCCAAATGCTTGGGGTTCCACCCTGAAGTATCCGTATGACACACGGCGACTGCATTCACCTTCTTTCCGTCGGCACCCTCCATAGGAACGACGTACGCCCTTGAGGTTTGTGTTGTATGGCAGTAGAACACAGCGTAAGCATACTTCTGGTTGTGGCAAACCACAGACCTATAACCTGGCAACTTCTTTACTCCGTCTTTGATCTCATACTCCTGCTTCATCTGACCTTCTCTGCCCTTCACTTCTGTAGAGATCGCCTCAACATTCCTCCCAAGCTTTGAGGTGCTGAAATCAACCATCGACTCGAGCGATGTGGCACAGTACTTCTCCTCTCCTTTGATCGCGGGCCTCTCGCATTCCTCTACCGTGTTCTTCATCGTCTTGCCTTCTTGGGACTCGGGTTCAACCGAGAACTGGTTCAGGATCTCGGGCAGCTTCTCGGATGAAAAGGGTATCGAACCAGCCACTTGTCGAGGTAAGAAGGTCGACACATGGTGGCTTTCGGTGAAGTCCAAGTTCATTACTTTGCCAGCGTGGATGTCTTTTTCCAGGAAGAAGATTGCTGCGTTGGTGTTGTCGTGTAGTTGATCCTCGGTGGCAGCGTAACTGTACAAGAATGGGTTATACGTCGGGCTTACTCCGACGTAAACGGGCCTCTTTCCTTTTCCTCCTGTGTTTACTGATACTCCGCCTTTGCCTACTCCGACGTTTGTTCCGCCGTCGGGCTTTGCGGTGCTGACGCCAACACCACCTTTGCTTACGCCGACGTTTGTTCTGCCCCCAGGTTTACCGGCGTTGACAACCACTCCACCTTTGCCGACGTCGACGTTTGTTCGACTGCTGGGTTTCCCCTTGCCGGTGTTCACGTTCACGCCACTGCCCTTTCCAACGTTTACCGTAGTGCTCTTGTCTTCCAAGAAGTCTGCAAAACATGCCATGGTTAAAAACAGCTTTGAGAACGAATGATTTATATAGTCATCTGGCAGTCATCTGGTACGTTGCTATTCTCGTCTGTTTCAACTGTCCAGACTGCATGATATATACTTCTCTACCCTCTAGTTTGCATCATATTTAATGAATATAAAGAGGATGTGAATTCAGGAATCGTATACATATTTCATGGATGGAATATGATAAGAGGGAAAGCAGAGGTTTAGCAACTTTATGTAACGTTGTCCAAGTTTTTGCTTGCCAAATACTTTTCACATTGCACATTTTGTTGGCTTGGGAACTGGAGATTAGAATTTGGAAGCTAAAGTTGGGATCTTTTTTATTTCTCCTAGTGCAACACTTCGAAGTATGGAACGGTGCTAGCTAGCTGGCTAGCTTCAGTGGATAGGTTACCTGGTTCCAGAAGATCACTAACAGCTTTTGGCATGGGTGTGTTTGGCAGGACAGATTTCCAGTAGAGTTCAGGCGGCAAGGCAGCATGGCTAGCCACAAGTGCAACCTGCAACACAAGAAAAGGTAAACAACGCTGAGATATCTCATATGGCAATAATAAGCAAATAGGATCAGAGAATAGAAGTAGCATGAAACCATACAGTGAGAAAGCCGAGAATATAGAGGGGATTGGAGGACTTCATTGTTGTTTCCTCTTTTGCTCAGATGGGTATTGTTTGACTGATATGGGAGATGTAGTTTGAGAAGAAGGGTTAAGTGGGTGGAAATATTTATAGAATGTTTCTCTAGATCGTACGGGGCATCATCATAACAGCATTGCTATACACACCTATATTAGCTGCCACCGCTTTGAATTTCTCACTGCCAAACTGCGCCCCCCCCCCCCCCCCCCCCCCCCCCCAGCCACTGTCTCTTTCATTAATTAATGACGTCGTGGGACACGAGTTAAAAGAGGAGTAATGTGGTGATCAATGGTGGGCAGCATGAGACTAAGAGACTCCAAATGAAGAAGTAAAAGGACTTAATTCTGCAACGATGATCGTCTTAAGTTTTGGCTTTCTTGGTGACTTGGGAAGTACGGTATCAAGGTACGATTTGGACATCTTGTGCGGTTTTATACAGTCTCAAATTGGTTTCTGAGTTGGGTTTTTGGTAGCCAACTCTGTAGTTTCCTCTGCAGGTGATCATCCAACAGGCAGATTGCATAACGCCAGAGTGTATAGTACGTAGCGGCCATTAGTAAGATGCACACCTTTGATTGGGATGTTCAACTCATTCATATGTTCTGTGAGATGCTCTGCAACGTGTTAGCTTGTCCATCAATGCCCTTAAATCATCTTTTGTTTCTCATGTTATCGATTGCCACTAGATCCTTATCTACCTTATGACTTATGTATAACGTTATTACGATTCTACTTACGCATTTTAAGAAGGATAATGTAGTTTGTCATCATATGCAGGGATGTGTACTGATGAGCTATCAGAGGGGGAGACTTGTGATTTATGATGATGTTACACTGAACCAGGCGGTGATTAAGTTTGCATGGACTTTGTGGTTCCAAGTTAACAAGCAACTACCATATTAATGGAGGTTCAGTGACAGTTGAGGTAAGGGGCCGGCGATCTTCTTGGAATGAATGCATCAGCTGGTAGTTACAGCGGTGACATTTGGAGCTTACAGTACTGTTCTAGGTGTACGTTACAGTTCAGGCTTTGAATTGAAGCTTTCGATTTTAGGGTTCCAGAGAGTAGCCTTCCACTGAAGACAGCTCGTTTGAGCGCTTAAGATGAAGAAGCCCAACAAAATCGTATTCGAATTGGCTAATGGGTTCAGAATTTGGAGTTGGGCCTATTTTTTGGATCTAAGGGTCGTTTTGATGGATCAATTTAGAAATGAGTCAATTTGATCAATTGTCTCGTTTTATAAAGACAATTAAAACGAGTCAATTCGAATTACCTGCCCCACCCCAGGTAATTGAAATTGGCTCAAAACGGATCAATTCAAAATACCTCAGGCAGATTGATCCATCCAAATTTTTTGCTGGCAAACGAGACAATTTGGTACAATTGTCTCAAAACGAGACAATTGTGTCAAATTGATCCGTTACAATTCCTCATCCAAACGACCCATAAATGTAATGTTTTTCAAATGGTCCCAAATGAGCCCTTTGGCATGAAATTGGATTTGGGCTAAAATCGTATTCAATTTCGATCATTTGTCATTTGGATGGATTTGTATGACTGAAAATCATGTTTTGCATTCCTTTTTGTGAACTCGATGACAAATGTCATTAGCTCCGATAAATCATGCTTTAATAAATTTTTTTAAAATTTTGAACTTACCGGAAACTAATTAAGGATAACGTTGTTGGGGAAAGACTAGTTGAGCTCGTTGTCTTGAATCTTAATCTTCAAATCTATGTACCTTAATTTTCTAAATAGGATAAGAAAACTAAATTACATGTTGATTAATATTTGCATGCTTGGCAACTAAGCATTGGATTGGCGGTTTCCCTTTTGATCATGGGAATGATTGAGGAACCAACTTACCAAGTGAAAGTGCGCGCCTGTTAATCTGCAAAACCTATTATGCTTTAGTCATTTAACACTGATTAACCCTAAATTTTAATATTTTTTTACCCAAAAAGTCAAAAAGTTTTCACATAGGTTAAATTTTTTTTTGTTCAACAAAAAGTGATAGGATTTACTTGTATATTTTATTTCCTAAACCAAACACCACTTAATATCATTGTCTTGCTAGTTGAAACTATTGTGCTAATTTCAAGCTAGTTAATTGCTTAATTAAGTCTATTCATACTTGTATACAAGCTACACTCACTCAATCAGAGTGGAAGGAATTCCTACCATCTGTGCACATGTCAATGTACCATTGGTTTATATTTCATATTTTATTTTCTACATAATTCGAAGGTGAAAAAGGTTACGTCTCACAACCATTGAATATATATGTTTCACCATCTTAGTTTAGTTAAAATATTATGAAACTTATAAAGAATCATGTAATCATGACACTTGACGGGAGATTGCATGAAAAATTGATTGATTGTAGATAAAATTGGGATTTGTATGAGAAATCAGATTATGTGTAAAGATGAATGAAATTAAAAGTAATTGATTGAACATTTTGAGTAAGAAATATTCTTTGTAACCTAAATAATAAGAAAACTATTCACTCTAACTTGAATGTAATCAAAACTTATAAAACAGAAATGACTTTATCTCCTTATATAGACAATATTAAACTACAAACACGATTTTGATTGGAGGAATTTGTACAACTACAACCATACACATGTCAACTTATCAAGTTATTGTTGCATTACATTCATTAAAATGAGAACAATAAATATATATAAACCAATGATAAGTCGAAACGTAGTCATGGAGAATAAAAAAAATAACATAGTACTCATTTCCATTTCGGTGATTTATTTCCATTCTTCTATATATTTTTGCAATTAATTTGTGGTTGCAGGAATCTAGAAAAGCTTCAAATTAGGCAAATACCCACAGTTGAGAGAAGTGATGATTGGTTCTGTGCAATCCGGCGGCCGCTCACTTGAGAATCTCTTTCCATGATCCAAAGGTTACATTTAGTTTAAAAGCAAAAGAAAACATAAATAAATAAAAAGGACCAAAAATAATAAACAATTTCGTGCAGATTGACAAATTCAAATACGCTTACTATATTTTTCTCAATAAATGGTATCTTTTGGATGTTAAGGAAAGATAAGTGGGGTGGATTTCAGGACAATTATGCAAAAGTTAATCCCCACAAACTGTCTAATCAAACTTTTAATCAAATTTTTGTGTGTGTTTGAGTATATATAATTTTGGTACAGAACCATTTCAAGTACAAGAGAAAAGATTAATAAGGGCTTGGAGAAGTGGAGCTAGTGATCAGTTTGTGCCTATTTGTGACCCACTAATGATTCTGTGGTGTGTATTATCATTCATCAAATTGATCATTTTTTTTATGGGTCGTAATAGATGGAGATGCGGGTTGCTCCTTTGATACTATCGGAATGAAAATGCTAACTAAATCATGGCTATTATGTACCTAACAGTCAATGGTATTTGATCATCCATAAGTATTAACGACGGCGAACATAATGAACTCCTTTAAAAAAAATTAGTATTTGGTTTGATGTATATGTTCAATTTTCCTTTTTTCCCCCTTCATTTTCTGCTCTTTTCTTCCATATAGTTTGTTTATAATTATTTGATGCTGTTATTTCAGATCAATAATGTCATAATCAAAGGGATATCATATATCAATAGTGCACACAATCATACCTGATGGAAAATAAAGTCTTTGTTTTTGGTGTCACCATAGAAGGTTATGTCTCAAACTAATTATTTAATACAAAACTTTTGCCTCATATTGTAGCAAATGTATGCTTGCCAAACGAAGGACCGATGGAACTTTCTTATCACAAACAAAAATGGAATTCATACAACAAACAAGAAAGAAAAAGCTTTTCTTGACTACTTTAGTTTTAAATTTGGTACGAGTTTTCCATGTAATTTTACATATATTTCAAAGTTGAAGGCGCTATAACCCTTCCTAGTTTAACCAATTTCTGCCACTACTCAAGAGTCAACACCCACATTTATTATATACTATAAAATTATTGTAATTTCTTAGTTCCTAATCACTCTATATCCTAGTTTTGCCACTAAATCTACACTACAAGTAAAAAATATTTTGAAACTATAGTTTTCCATCCAATTTTCATCAAATGCTTGCTCTCGAATCACCATTAAAGTTTTCAGCAATTTAGGCCAGCAATTAAGGCACACTCTATGCCCGATTATCCTTCAAAGAAAGTCGGATGTGATCCATGTAAGGAAATAATATTGGACACATACTCGGGAAAAAGTATTGGACACTTGGCGTGAGAATTCTCTTCTGAAAATTCAAATTATTAAGACTAATTTGCACTCTATGATATCAAAGTCATTGATCAAGATGACTTTGTGGTTTTGAAATCTCACGACCTTCAACAATAACAACTAGTTTGAAGTATAAAATATGGCATGACAGTGTAAACTTCAATTCATTCAATCCCATGAATTGAAATTAACTTCATATATACACTTATTCTCACAACTCGATTTAACGAAACGAAAAATTAGAAAAAAATCTCCTAATACTTTGGGTGCATGAAACTAGCTAATATGACAACATGGAGAAAAATAGACATCACTACCTTGTCGATCTAGACATCATATGGGGCCACTCATATCATAAGCATTGGTGGATCGATGCTCAAAGACTTTTGAGTTGACAACATTGGCTAAGAGCTCTTTTTTTGTTAATGGGAAGAATAATAATTATATCCTAATTAGCAACTAATTATGAACTAATAGTCTAATCATAGGAGGAGCCAAATATTAATTAACGCTGTAAATCATCACGAGAATGATTTCGTATTATGCATGCTGATCGGTTACTTACTTGTAGGGTATATGAGATAAAAAGTTTTTTTTTTCTCTCCTTCTTCTAGACTTTAAAATAACTAAAGCAAAGATAATATTGGGCCAGCTAGTTAATCATATCATTACTACGTGATAACTATAAATTAATTGGTTATTACTCATCAATTCGTCGTCTTCAAAAGGTTATTATCTAGTGAGGCGGACCTAGGCTATGACACACCTCCGCCCGAAAATTTTGTGAAAGACCCTTAATTCGTCGGTACTAAAATTTTGATCTCGGGATTTCCGACACACCTCTGATCATTGTATCCGACACCACAACTCCATTGTGTTTATGGAAATTTATTGTCATAAGTTATCAAAATATATAATATAAGTTCAGGCTAGCGTACGTCCGACCACCGTACGCCAATTGGGTTTTGCTATTTAGATAAATAATTAACCGGACTTTGGGGCATGATCCTATATCCTAACCTCTAATGGGTGAACCCCAATCCCTAATTTTCTAACCCAAACTGCAAAATTTGTTCAATCTTAAAATGAAACTCAACAATAATTTCGACGAATCATTGATTTTCATTTTTCAAGATTAAATGAATCTTATGTTAGGTTAGTGAATTGGGGATTGCGGTTCACACATTGGGGGTTAGAGTATAATATCATTGTTTATAAATGATTGTTAAGTTGTGTATATTGAAAAATATTTGCTTTGCATCATAAGTGATGAATGTATTTTAGAGACATTTCAGCAGATGAAAAGTCGTCGTGATTCGTTGTAAAATGACATTGTGAACTTCATAAATTAATTTCTTTTAATTTTTACTTAATTTTTTTATTTAATTATTATTCTATGTTAGCGGCGACACACCTCTCCAACAATCCTAGGTCCGCCACACTAGTGGTTGCCAACCGAGTACTTCCCACTTCCAAGTGGCAAAGATAATATTAAGGCTACTTAATTAGCCTTTTCCCTTCTTTATTTCAAAGGGTGAAAGTTGAAACATGAGCTTAATTAAATGACCACAAACGGGCTTGGCTTTGGAGTGTCATTTCAATAAAAAATGGTTGAAGTTTTTGGACTTATGTAAACTTCTTTGATATTAACCGTGAATCAAGATATTTATCCATTTGATAATCTCTTAATCGCTAATTGTGATACTTCTTAACTTATAAGTTCACATATTTGTCAATTAATGAATCTTTGATTTTAAAATCAAGACATCAGAACCACTATATATTCTCGTTGCACTTCCTTTTTTTTATAAATGTTAACGTCCTCACTATTATTTCTTAATATTGCTATATTTATATATTCCTTGACCGGCGGTGGATTCAGGGGCCGCTCCGGGACACGACCCAGCTCTCTTCTAGATCTCGAGCTAGTATAGCACTTGTAATTTTCAATTTTTGGTATTCGTTTTCAGTGTTTTTCACGTTAAGACCCAACTCTCTCCGCCTTTTTTTAAAGGTGACCCAATGCTATACCCTGTCCTGGATTCGCCGCTGCTCTTCACCTCTTGACTTGATGTTGGTGGACATTGGCTTCAAGCTTGGGCTCGAAAGTGGTATAGCCATTTATTCTAGTAGATATTTTCTGTGTTCATTATTCACATCCCAACATCTACAAAGTGGGTTCTTTTTCCCCACTACACAAAATTTTAACTGTGATATCGAATAGTGTTTTGGTTTCCACTATCACTGAATCTTCCTTGACCATCAATTCATATAAACCTGAGAGAGAGATAGTCGAAATGCACATGAAATAATAAAAGGGTGAGGTATATATACAACGAGGAAGTAGGTCATTGAAATAATAAAAGGGTACATCATCATAATTGCCCAAATCAGATTTCACATGAGTGGGAAATCTCTCACGTTTAATTATTACCCTTTTCACGTCCCAAACCTTTTCCATATATCTTTGGTCTCACAATGTTAAGAGCAGAAGAAATAGTGCTTAGCACATACGAAGGAACAGCTAATATTTTTCATTAATTACCTAATATAAATTTATGTCACTTTACATATTGTGATCCTGTTTTATCGTTTTACTTGATTTGTAGTCGCGTAGAATAAGACATGCAGGAAAATGACAAATCTAGTAACTCGAGTCAAAATTTGTCATCCGCGCCATGTGACGACAATATAGTAAAATGGGGAGAAGAAATCTCATGTTCGGATTAGGACTTATGAAGTAGTGACTGATCTCTTTTTTTAAGGAGAGAAGACCTTTTCTTTTAGGTTTAAGAGAATAGTTTTTGTATAGAATTTCTCAACTTTTTCCGAGACATACGAATTACATGGAGTTAAGGGGTTTGATTTTTAAGTTATGATAATTTCGAGGATGTGGATTGTGATCCTGTTTTATCGTTTATTTGATTTATTGCAAGCGTAGAACAAGACATGCATGTAGGAAAAAAACAAATCTAGTAACTCGGGTCAAGATTTGTCGTCCGTGCCATGCGACGACAAGATAACCAAATGGGGAGAAGAGAACTCATGTTCGGATGAGGACTTATGTCGTAATGACTGATCTTTTTAATTTATGAGACAAGACTTTTTCTTCTTGGTTTAAGAGAATATTTTTTTTTTTACAAAAGATTCTATACTTTTTCTGAGACGGTCGCGATTTACATTTTTAGTTAAAGTGTCTGATTCTCTTTGTCCTCTCTCGCTTGACTCTTTCCAAGATATATGTGACCTAATTTTATAACTATACCTAAGTAAAAAAAAAATTAAGTGCCTTTGTTGGTTCCTCTCTTCATCCGAACCGAATGTTGGTCACCATCTCCTATCTAGTATTCTAGAATTCGAAACTTGTAACCAACTCTCAAAAATCATAAATCATGGGGGGAAAAAAGAAAAGAGAAAGGAAATAGGTGCTCTCCATTTTCTTTGTGTTAACATATATTGTTTTTTTCTAGTAGGTGGAAGACATCTAAATCTCCCATACAGGAGAAAGAGGCCCAAGTTGGTCCGGTCCAACACATTGCCAACCCAAAGTTTCAAAAGACATTTAAATCAATCGAACATCACTTCATTCCCTACACAACCCCATATTTGCGATAGTCACACTCATGAAATCAAACCAAAGCAAGATTTGTTTGTCTTTTATATGGCTAACCAAGCATTTTTAGGGTCAATCAATGAGCTCAATTAGTTTTTGCCGATGTTAACTTATTTGGTGCATTTATAGAATCTTGTTCTATAATTCTATTGGTTTAAGCTTTTAGTCTTTGTATTTAGTATACACACTAAATTATTTAGATAAAAAGTTAACCACGAAATTCATATTTCCTTGCTCTTGATTTTGACTTGAAAATATGATCATCTTCAATCATCTTGATTCTAAATAAGATTACCATCTAACCCATTCTCGAGTATTAATAGAACTCGATTCATACCTATTCAGATCCTTATGATCTAGTCACAGAAAGGCAGCAACAACAACAACCATTCGAGTGACAACCCATCCTAACCTTGAACCAGACTTGGATCACGCACGATCCCCTTGAATCAACATCTGCCTGACCTCAGAGTCTTTACATGCTTGTCCTACTCCCGCGCCTCCGACCCATAGCTTATCCTAACCCCAACTCGAAAAAAGAGTAAACTTCAATGACTCTAAACCATAATCATATGTCAACGCCTCAACGGTAAATTGGACTAAATCAGTCTCATAATCCTTTCAATCTGAAAACTAAATAGTTCACCGTTCTTCAAACTTTTTTTTTAAAAAAAATTGTAGAACGAACCGTTAAACACACAATTACATCAATTAAAATATCAATTAAAATACAAGGACCCTCACAATATTTCTTCTTTTTACTTACAAATCTTCCCCATATCCAAACACACATTCTTTTATATCTCCCATTTATTTATAATAAATCCATGGACAAAAAGAATAAAATTTAATAACTAGACACACATATATAAACCCATCTCTTTCAACCCTCTCTCTCTCTCTCTCTCTCTCTCTCTCACTGTCCATATACTTATCAAAATTCAATTCATTTGCAACTCATCATCTCTACAAAACTATCGCCTTCTTCCTTTCCTTTCCTTTCCTTTCCCTTCCCCTGCGATCACCCTTACATTCCGCTCACCCTTATAACTCGCCTCTTCCTTCGATCTCCGGCCAGACGAAATCTACTCTTTCCCCACAATCCTGGATATTCCCTCCCTTTGTACCCTTCTCTTCTCCTCCCAAAAACCAATATCTAAATTTACACCACCCCCTTTCCCTCTATATAAACCTGGTAATGCCCTTTTCTCTACCGTCACCAAAACAGGACGACACAGAGAAAAACAGGGCAACAACAAAACATCCACCACACTCTGCGTTCGAACAAGAAAAAAACATTTTTTTTTCATTAACAAAAAAAATGGAGCACAATTACCTGAGGGAAATGGAAGGCAAGCAAGTCCACGACCCACTCTACCACCGCAACCAGCGGAGGCAGGAGATCGTGATGGGCCCGGTGATCGTCGGAGCAGGCCCATCGGGCCTGGCGACGGCGGCCTGCCTGAAGGAAAAGGGGATCCCGAGCGTGATCCTCGAGCGGACCAGCTGCATCGCTTCCCTATGGAAGCACCGAACCTACGACCGGCTCTGCCTCCACCTGCCCAAGCAATTCTGCGAGCTCCCGGGCCTGCCTTTCCCGGCCCACTACCCCGAATACCCGACCCGGGCCCAGTTCGTCGACTACCTCGAATCCTACGTGTCCAAATTCGGCCTGCGCCCGAGGTTTGACGAGGCGGTGGAGAGCGCGGAGTACGACGAGGACGCCGGGATGTGGCGGGTGGCGACGGCGGCGAATGCGGAGTATCTCTGCCGGTGGCTGGTGGTGGCGACGGGGGAGAATGCGGAGGCGACGGTGCCGGAGATCGAGGGGATTGGGGAGTTCGTCGGGGAAGTGAAGCATTCGAGTTTGTACAAGTGTGGAGAAGAGTATAAGGGGAAGAAGGTTCTGGTGGTTGGGTGTGGGAATTCCGGGATGGAGGTGTGTTTGGATCTCGCCAATTTCGGTGCTTGTCCTTCTCTTGTCGTCCGTGATACCGTAAGCACCCTTTGCCAAACACTTCCTTAACTCACAAAAACCATGTTTTTTTTTTCTTAGCAATTTCGTTTCGAATGATTAAAGAGTCCGATCGTGGATATTGTTGAATCGTACAAATTTCGTGAGTTCAATTGTTATGTGTGTAATGACATTTCTATAAATAATGTCAATGCGGGTAACTGAAGATTGAATTTTGCGGATTGTATGTTTCAACGATGTCATTTCATACCAACATGAGTATCAGAATGTTTGCAAAATTCGTGTGTCGGGGACTTAAAGAGGGGTGGTTTATTTTTTTCTTTTTGTTTTCAAGAACCAAAAGGCTAAAGTTAAGTAAGGTTTAATTGGGTATTTTAGAAAAAGGGAAAGCGAGGCATCAAATGATGAGTTTTGGGGGGGCTTTTTTTAGTGTGTTTGGCTTGTTTTATTGGTATGTGTCTGAACCTTAAAAACCTAAACAATGGAGGAAAGCTGCTTTTTCCCTAAAACTGATATTTATTTTGTAGTCCAATGTGGAACTGATTCGTGCAGAAAAGAATGGTCTTTTTATAACTACAACAACTTTTATGACACAAAGCTAGGATTTAACAAATCCATGGTTTTTAAAATCCTTTTCTTTAATTCTCAGCTTTGGTAGAGTAGAGTACTATATATCCACTACCTAACTTCTGAAACTATTTGATTATTATTGAGTACTCTCTTTCTTGGGATTCTCAAGCATGCGCAAAATGCTATATATAATACATGTGTTTCAGAATCTCATTTCAATATATGTAATCTAGCCATCAACTACTGTCCCTACTTACATAAACAAACCATATATAACTCATCGTATTGGATGACAAATCTGTGTTAACAATATCGTTGAATTGTCGATTATATACATGATATGCTTTTTATTTCGACATTATATCACTTTTGTTTTTGTAAAATGACGCAATTACATCAATTTAACGATGAAAAAACACACGAGACCATTCAACGACATCAACACGGACGGATTAGAGTGTATGGGGTGGGTAGTGAGTGATGGCCTGAAAGCAGTTCAGCCCATACATGCAACTCATAATTAAAGAGGAAGCCTTTTTTAGGGTTTTGTTTTTGTTTATGGTTTTTGGAAGTAGCTAATGGATGGTGTGATGATTGATATGATCAGGTGCATGTTCTTCCACGAGAGATGCTAGGGAAGTCGACTTTCGGCCTGTCCATGTGGTTGATGAAGTGGCTGCCCATACGCCTGGTGGACCGGTTGCTACTGTTCGGGTCCTGGTTCACCCTCGGGGACACCAGCCGGTTCGGTCTGGGTCGCCCGAGCTTGGGTCCCTTGGAGCTCAAGACCGTCCATGGAAAGACCCCTGTTCTTGATGTTGGAACCCTGGCCAAGATTCGAAGTGGCCAAATTCAGGTACGCAATCATGCATGTTTCCATTTCTCTCATATTGCCTATTCTCTTTTTTGTATCTTTTTGAAAAAAAGGTTTATTTTTTGTGAAGAAAAGATATTTCTTAGTATTAAGTAATTCACGATCCAATAGAATTTATAAAACTAAAAGAAGTATATTATCGCAAAACTCGGATCTCAAAAGCATACCAAACTCTTTATTCGCAAGACCGTGCTATAACTAATTACTCGACAAATGACAAATCTATGACACCCGTTTAATTTTCTCTCCCTGATTTTGTTCTCTACATTACAGGTTCTCCCAGGGATTGAGAGGGTTCGAAGGCATACGGTGGAGTTCGTTGATGATAGAATAGAGAAGTTCGACGCTATTCTCTTGGCGACCGGGTACAAGAGCAATGTGCCATCTTGGTTAAAGGAAGGGGAGATGTTCTCAGAGAAAAATGGGTTCCCAAGAAGGCCATTCCCACATACTTGGAAAGGAGAGTTTGGGCTATATGCAGCAGGGTTTGCCAAACGTGGGTTAATGGGAGCATCCATGGATGCCCAGAAAATTGCTCAGGATATTGAAAAGTGTTGGTTTATTGACACTGAACCCAAATTAAAGACCAACCCTAATAATTCCATGCCCTTCACTAGGTCACCCATTTCTTTCTTCCCCAAAACTACTACTTCACAGTGATCAATTTTTCTCTCCAACAAACAAATTTTTTTTTTTTTGCCCTTTCCCAATAACAACACTCTCATCACAAAACAAATGTAAAGAGAAGAAAAAAAAAATTGGATGAGAGATTCAACAATTTTGATCCAGAAATTTTAGATTTTAGGGTTAGCTCTAGCTAGTGAGCTAATTGGTTTGCCCCATTTGAGAAGGCAACAAGGGATAAGGACTTTAGAAAAGAGTAATTAGTTAGCCTTTATCTGTTAGGTTTTCTTTTTTTGTTTTTTCGAATTTTATGATGAGCAAGTGAAGAATAGAGACAGCCAGGCAACCAACCAGCAATTTGGGGATTTATGGCACATTTGAGGGGGAGGCTGAAATGAGGTGGATGGGGTTGAGGGGACCTTCAAATCTTTACTATAGATTTTGGTACCATTTCTTTGCTGTAAATTCCTCAATTTTCTTTATGTAGCATTATTATTATTATTTTAATAATAAAAGTGTTTTGAGATAAAATGATGGGTGATCTCCAGAAGCAACGAAATTATCGATGTGATGTTATGTGATTATTTTGATGCATCTCATAATAAGTTTGACATGTTAGTGTAGCAGAGGTATATTTTTTTTTGTAGTGCTTGAAACTTCTCGTTGAATTTCGAAGAGGGAAATGGTGGGAGATGAGAGATGTAGCTAGGATAGGGATGGTGGTGGGTAGATTGTTTTGTGCTTTTGCTTGCTTGCTCTAATGAGGAGAATTAGTGTCCTTTGATTAATTAACTATTCTTTTCTTATAGGAAAGGGTTTAGTTGTGAGAGATTGCACATTGATTGGAGAGATATATAGTACTGATTAGAGATGCACGAAGAGAGCTTTTTGTCTCCAACTTTTTCTTTGGTGAATGTTTTCTCTAATCTTAAGCACTGTGCATCATTGATCTCAATGAAAATCTCTTTCATCTGCTCTCTTTATCCTCTTGTATGATGATTTTCCCAAATTAAACCCACTCTAATAATTTTATTACTAATCAAGAGGTTAAATAAATAACATCTCATTATCATACTTTAATCTTAATTAACTAATATATTACTTATCATTTAATAGAAGGGAACATGTTCGCTCGTCGGTTGAGTCGTCTCTATAGCAGTCCTTACACGGTTCACGTAATGTACGACATGACAAACTCGTAACTCCCACAAATGAATTAGTGAACGATGGAGTATCCAGAATGTCAAACGATAAGGAAATGTATATTATTTGTGAATTGATGAACTGCTTACTTGCTAGTTACACAAATCTTAACCGTCTCTTTCTTTCTGTAAGCATTTTATCATCTCCGTTATAAAAAATAATTGTATCGCTCTTCTCGTCTTCTACATATAGAATATTTCACACAAACTAAATTATTTTACAAGTCGTATATCTGTTTAATTTCGTACCAAAAAACCAACATTCAATTCAAAACACCCATGCCCACCCAGACAAACAAATCCACTCTACTTAAATCCCATCCATTCCTTTGAAATACATGATTGACAAGAGAAACCTAACAAGAAAATCAAGGAATTGAAGAAGGTTCGTTGGTGGGAATCCGAGAATGGAGAAGTGGTAGGGTAAGTCGTCCTACAACTATAATAATGATGATCAAATAAAATTCTGCCTTGGAATCTTTGGCTTCTGAAATGATCATCACGAGACCATAGATATGAACGATGAACAAATATGAGAGGCAGAGGTATCACCATCAACAATTCAACGTTCAACATTTTATCAGATACATATATGGGCTGTTATAAAAAAAAAGGGCTAATACCACTACAACACCCGAACTATCCGAAAAATGCCACTTGTGTCCTACTGTTTTCAATATTCCATCTGTGTCCTGAACTATTTTTCCGTTAGTGTTGACCAGCATTGACCGTTAGTATTTAACAGAAATCCTAGTCAGCGCTGATGTGGCATCTGACGTGGAATTTCAAATCAAAATTTTATTTATTTTTCTATCCAAAATTACTAAAATAAGAAGAAAAAAATTTCAAAAACAAAAACTTAAAGCAATTCTCTTTTTCCTCTCTGCAACTTCTCCGCCGCTTCTGAGCAGAGCCAGAGCCAGCTCCGCCGCTTCTCTTCCTCCTCCGACCACCGCGTTGCCATGGCCCCCACCGCTCTCCTCTCCTACCTCCTCGTCTTCTCCGCCATCTCCGCCGCTTGCTTCGCCTCCGACCCCGACATGCTCCAAGACGTCTGCGTCGCCGACACCTCCTCCGGTAATTCATCTCCCTCATTCACCAAATCTGAATCCGCCAAAACATCGAACCAAAATGAAGTAGTCAAACAACCAAATAATCTGCCCTAGCGATTCTGAATCCACCAAATACGAACAAAAACGAAGTTCCTACAAGCAAGAAGCAACAGAAGCAAACCAAGAGAAAGAAAATCAAATTCCTCTTCCTCGATGAAACCCCAACTTCCTCTCCCCGGATGGCTTGTCGCCGCTCTCCCGCTCCAAAACCTAAATCTGAACCAAATCTCCTCGCAGGCTCCCAACTTCTTCCTCTTCTCTCACCCTCAACTCCATCAAAATTACAGATCGGAGAGATCCGATTCCAGGGAGGAGAATTAGGGGAGCCAACTGGTTATTCGAGTGCTGGTTGGCGACGACGTGTGAGAAATCCACAGCCGGTGAGCATAAAAAGCCAGGCCGTGGCCGCCGAGATTTGGGGATTTCGGGACCATGGCAAAGGCGAAGTTGGTGAGAATCTCTCCAGCTCCGTCGAGCCTGAGCAGCTGCTGCTGGTTGCTGGTTCGATTGCTGAAGCCATGGAAGATGAATCTGTCTGATTGCTGGGTGGAGATGGTGAAGGCAAGTGTGGATAATAGAATAAGGAGAGGGATGAGAGAAAAGAAACTTTGGGGAACAGATCTGTAATCACAAACGAAGATTTGTTAGGTGGAAGGGATTTCTCGATCCGGGAAATTTTTTTTTTATGGGAAAATTTTGGGGAACAGATGCAATGATTTTTTTTATTTTAACTCAATTTTTATTTAATTTGAATTAAAAAAATCTGAGGTCAGTGACGTGGCATCTATGTGGCAGTCGCATTTTTTGCCACGTCAACAAAAGTCAACTTGGCGTTGACCACCGTTTGGTCAACCGTTATCTTTAACGGTCAACGAAATTGATAGGATACAGATGGCACAAAGTATCATAGTTGAGGACATGAATGGAATATTGAATAAAATAGGATACAAGTGGCATTTTGTCGATAGTTCGGGTGTTGTAGTGGTATTAGCCCAAAAAAAAACGATATTTATAGGCTGGCAATTTTCTGACCATGAAATGATAAGGGAGGAATTAATCCTGCAGCAGGTTCTTCCCTCTTCTTCTTCTGCCTGATAATGAGTAGCACATTGAAAGCCGATCGATCGAGTTAATTAGGGCAATTGGGCATCCAGTTCCAGTCCAGGGACACTTTCTGTCTTGTCTTGTAAGTGAAGCTTACTTTAAATGGGTTTGAAACAATGGGTTTTTCGTAGTCGAGGATCATATATAGTAGTTGAAGTTTACTTTAATTGGGTTTGAAACAATGGGTTTCTAGTAGTCGAGGATCATATATATGGAGAATCACCAACCGCGTGCATACCAACGTTCGCCGACAATGTTGATTACTTTCTGTGTGTTTCTACCTATTGGATGGGCACAATATCGTTATTTACACAAATACCAACGGAGTTGATTCAATGACCAAAAAATCTTACATATAAATGAGTGGTCCAACAACATTAATACACGTTGATCGCCTTTCGAGTATAGTATTCGGATTCTGAGAATCAGAATGCAATTCCAACTAGCTAACTTGGTCGGGTGGCAAAATCAATCCAAGTAACAATGTGGATTGGAGTATTAGTGATTCTACTTTTATGGAAGTTTTAGGTTTTGCTTGTTTTGTTGCATCATGCATGACCCTTAGAATAGGTCTAAGAACATTGGGCCACATCCCTTTGTTACTATCGACCGTCCTTTAATTTTGTAATTATTATACTTCACTTTCCTTTTCCTCCATCATTAGGTCAGGTCCAAATACGATGTCCTCCTAACCTAACTGACCTTTCGGCCGTTTGTTCATCGGCTAATTATCGAGCTTCCTTTTTTGGTTACCCTTTAATGCAGTCTTAAACCAAACCCTAGCCTATTGTAACCAAACCTTTTGTGTGATCCTACCAAAGGCTCTTTGGATCTACTTTGAGCTTAAATTAAGTACTTTGCCTTTCTTTTATACTTCCAAACTCCCCATTCTATCTTTGTCATGCTTTAACTCCAACCTAAAAATAAAGGTTGATTAAGTGCAATTCATATCATCATTAGTATGATCAAGTAATCATTTTGGATATGACATGCAACAACCACAATGTATGTGACTATACGAGTCGGCCCAATACTTGTAGTACCCCTTATAGGATGTGCAACGATTCGGTCCACACCGGATCAAATTGTATCGAATGGAATCATATGAAATATATTTCAATTTGATTTCCATTCTACAAATTAAGTATGAAATAAAAGTGCACCGAAATTGAACTTGGACCAGATCAAAGTTGAACCATATGAAACAAACATACTTTTGATTGGATTCTGGTCCTCAACATTTATTTGATTTTGGTCCGATCTTATCTCGATTAATTGATCCAATTTTAGACAGTATCGATTGATCTCCATCCCTTGATGCATGCTATTAATTATCCATGAAAACGAGTAAGTTTTATTATTGTAAAAAAAAAAATAGTAACGATAACTAATATTGTTATTAGAATATTTTAGTTACGATATACAAAAATTAATTAGATTCTTGGAATCCTTTGATAGCGTATGAAGAAGGGTACACGTACTTCTCTTCCAAGAAAATTGAGTTATTGGAACGACTTATTTGTTGTAAACATGATATGACGAGTTATACTGATTTATCAAGATGTCGTTGCCAAAATATTTTCTAAACATCACTGTAATGTTGAACTTAAGCACACGATATTCCGAGAACGTGCAAATTGAATAGGGGTGTTGCTGAAGGACCGCTTGCACAAATGGTACGACATTGGCCTCTTAAATATGGGGTATATATGTAGTTTTCTCCCTCTTGGTCTTGGTACAACTCATTGAGGCATGGCAATTTAAGGAGCTAAGGAGTGGTCCTTCTAACAAGGTGAATTATCATCCACAAGCTATTGATAGCTATAGAGTATAGAGAGAAGTCGCAATTTGTTCAACTTTCTTCTTCTTCTCTCTTTCAATTTGGACTATAATTTCTTTCGTTATCATAAGTTTTGGTACACATAATGCATGGTGCATGCAAATGCTGACTTAGCTGCCTTTACAGGATTGATTGGGCACCAAAGTGTTCTGTGATTGCTCAACCTCGTGAAAGCTCTCTCCGGCCCTTATTATTTTGGCCCAATTGAAAAGAGATTATCAACTCTCAAGCTTCATCATCATCATTCTTTCTCACTTCTGATTAGGGCTAGAAAAATAGATAAGATCGTTAGAAAATTTTGGACCAAACTGGACCACACCGTTTCATTTGACTATAGACCGTTAAGAATAATTTGGTATGCTCCATGGTTTATATATTATGAGATGTTTTGATCTCTTGATCCGGTATGGTCCAAGCCGTAGTATATCATACCAGACTATGGATCCAACCAACTTCACTATTCGTGTTAACAACATACTCGATCATTCTCTCCACTCCACTCAACGAGATCCAACCCTTAGCCTTAATTTTGCAAATACCATGCCCCTCATTCATTCACTATTCACACTCCACAGGAGAACAAAGAGTGTGTCATCTCCATATCAAATTATGTTGACATTGTATGACGTTACGGTGAAAGTTGGGTTGCTCTATTTTTCTGTCTTTCTCATTCAGTTGGATTTACGGTATCAAAGTTATGCATGTGTCATGTGTGCTTGAATTTATGTTTAAAGACAAAAAAAAAAAAATTGTATCTCAATTATTGATTCAAATTTTTTTTGTCTCGAATGTATGTATTGTATAGTATTTAGTCAGACCCCTGACTTGTACGACAACCTCTCGATCTAGACATAAATCGAATACATAATCGGATCTAGACCATACCACACCATTTCCCGATCCAACCCTCCTTCCAACTGTCGCCCCAATATCAATCTGACCATGGAATCACTAAATTCGTTGTAGATAGAACAGTATCGATCTATTCAGTAGATCAACAATATCCGAAATCTCATTTCAGGACCATGCATCTGATCTGATCCAATCTGATGGTGCTAGAAATGCTGCTGCAACTACCCTCTGCAATCGCCTCTCTGGTTTCTTAATTACCCTATATATGATTCATTATTGGTTTTTCATTGTGGTCCAATAAATCGAGGGGGAAATGCACAATATGTATGTAAGTATATATTGATTGCACCTCTTAACGGTTTTGATATTTACAGGTAATAATATAATATAATGGACCATTTTATTATATCTTTCTGGGCTCTTTTTATTTTATTTTATTTCAAAGGGTAAGTAATGGGGACTGCCGGCAGAAGTCAACATCTGTGCGTGGCTGAATCAGAGGGTGAAGGTGAAGATTCACTCCTAACTTTGTCAGCATAGCCAATGACTGTGATTGACTTGTGCTTTCGTTGTCAGATATGTGGTGATTGGATGTTAATTATTCGACTGTTTGTTTTGTCATATCTGAATTCTTCTTTCTTTTAATCAATAAAATCATTCAAACAGATTTAATTTTGTTGATGAGTCACATAAAAAGCCATATATTTGTTACAAATATTTGTGATACTATCTATATGTATTAATAGATCTTATTGATGGGAGATTGCATATTGGTGAGTAGGACAGCATAGTTTGATTTTGATCATCATTTATTCGTAACTTGATATACATCTACAATCAATTATCATTAGCCATTTTGTAAATTACAATATTGAAATTTCACAACAGACGTTAAATCATCAAAGTTGAAGGGTATAAAAGTTATGTTTCGTAGTTCAGGGACTCATTTGTCAAAGGGACATAGTCCAAGGGCTCAAACAGCTATTGACCCTATTTTGTAAACTGAATAGCTATTTGTAGCCCTAAATTTTAAATATTATCACCCTAAACCATATGAAAATGACATGGATACCCTTATCCCCAAATTCAAACGCTATTCGCTAAACCGTAAACAAACACAATCTCACTCCATCTCATCCTCTGCTCTTGTCATCCGTCACCTGCCGGATCCCGGCATGTGCTGCCGTTTCCCCAACCCGCCATGACTCCGATTCCCAAAACGAATAAGTTATTTTAGGACGACGAATAGCAATGTCCTTTTGTAAACTAAAACAGTCGGTTGGTCCCTTCAGGACAGGTTTCAGCAAAGATATGCATCTATTAACCATTTCCTTCTCCTTTGCGGATTACTCATACTCCAAAGAATCACAATCACGAATCATGATCACCTTCTCCACCTTGGACCTCCGAACAATCACCTCCGGCAACTTCCTCAACTTCGTGCAGCCGTCGAGCCGCAATGACCGAAGCCCGGGCATGAACAGCAACCCTCCTCCTTCTTCCCCATCATCGCCATCTCCATTAATCTCCTCCCACTCTTCCCACTCTGGGAAATCGATAAACCCAAGTTTCGTTAGCCTCGGAAACAACACCACCTTCTTGCTACTACTCCCTGTAAACTCAGAGCCAACCTTCTTCACACTAGGGAAGTTGCTCAAAATCAGAGCTTCTAGGCAGGGGAGCTTCCCTAAACATGGCAGTTCCACACAGTTGATGAAATCGGACAGCTTAATCTTCGTCACAAACTTCATTGACTCCATCCAACTAGGTGACATTGGCGCAGAACCTTGGTAGAACTCGACCACTAAGTAGTCCAAATTCGGTGGTGGCCTTAACGCTTCGATCACCTTCACATCCTCTGCCTCCCTTCTCTGCTGCTGCTGCTGCTCATCGCCATCGTTTCGCTCTTCTTTATCGACGCTAAATCGGAGCGAGAGAACGGTTAGTTTAGTTTTCTTGTCCAGTTCAGCATGCTCAGCTTCCTCAACATGTTCTGACGATCCTCCCAGGCCGATTATGGTCAGGCTGTCTTGAAGCCGGTTCAGCTGTTGTAAATCCTTGAGAGAAGCTGCTGATGACTCTGCACCATTCTCACGATGATTGTCGCGCCCCAATCTCAACTCGAGCAGCGTCTTCAGGCCTTGCAGTTTCCCGATCCCTTTAGGTATCAGCCCCCAGACTTGGGAGTTCGATAGGTGCGTCAAGTTGACTAGCTTCTCCATCCCGTTCGGCCACCTTTCCAGGCTTGTGCAGAAGTTCACGTCCAGAGTTTGCAGGTTGTAGAGGTCGGACAATGCGTCGGGGAGCTCTCTCAGGAAGTCGTTGTAGGACAAGTCCAACATCCTCAAGTGGATTAGCTTGTGTATTCCGGATGGAAGCTCTTCGATCCAGCAATCGCGGAGATCCAACGATCTTAGAGAAGTCAGTCGAGATAACAACTCGGTATCCATGTCTTCAAAGACGTAGCCCCAGCGTGGAAGAAACAGAAGGCTGCGCAGACCTCGCATCGCACAGATCGATTCGAATGGCAGACCATATACTGCTGATAGATGGCGCACCTTCACCTCGGTCAGGTTCGAACCATCAATTTGATCGGTTCCCATGCTGTAACATTCGTTGCTCGAGGCGAACTGTGCAAAATCATGTACCAAATCGTGCATCTTGAACCCAACCCGGCTGCCACACTGGTCTTTCACTGTCTGAAAATCTTGAAAGAAGGAGCGTATGACCAAGCTCTCGAAGTACTGCTCTCCGGTTCGCTCCAATTCATCTGTGTCGCTGCTGCTAGTGCTGCAGCCTGACACAACGAGGTAACCTTGAGCCATCCACAACTTGATCAACTTGTCCTTCTCGATCACGAAATTCTTGGGGAAAACTGAGCAGTAGGAGAAACATTGTCTCAATTGTGGTGTGAGATCGTAATAGCTCAACCACAAAGGAGCAAACAGATCCTTCTCCTTGCTCAGCTTCAGTTCCCATACCTTGCTATCCAGAACATTCTGCCACTGCATTCTACCGCCCTTCTTCGACCTCAGCAGACCTCCCAACGCTTTAGCAGAAAGAGGAATGCCGCAACACTTCTGCCTCACTACTTCCACCCCAATGTCCTTCACCATATCCACATCCCTCTCACTCCATCCCATGAACGCAAACCGACTGAAAATCGCGAAGCATGCCTCATCAGACAGCACTCCAAGCCGAATCACGCGAGGTTCCCCTCCTACGCCGCAGCCCAGAGCATTGGCAACATTCTGATTCCGCGTAGTCACCAGAACTCTACTTCCATACCGCGCGCTGCTCAATGCCCCCATAAGCAACTCCTGCCACTTCTCGGGATCTTCTTCCCAACAATCATCCAGCACTAGGAACAGCTTGATCATCCCTGCTGCAAGACGACCATGGATCCTCTCCAACACCTGACCGAACGACAGATCGTTATGGTACGGATCAACACTGCCATCATCAGACAAAGACACCAGGATCTCCTTTGCAATACGCAGCCGATCAAAAGGCTGAGAAACACACACCCAGATGCTCTTATCAAAATAGCTCCTCACCTCACCATACACCGATTTCGCGAGGGTCGTCTTACCCAAACCCCCCATCCCAATCAAGGAAACCACTTGCAGATTTCTCCGATTATCATCATCATCGTCATCCTCCGTCGTCTGGTCACCCAGCAGCACGGCTTCGAGCAACTGATCCAACTCCGCGTCTCTCCCTTCCATCACCGTATCCATTAGAGAGCTAGTTAACTCTCTCGACGGAGCATCAGCACTATTACTACCACTAGCAACCTCACTGCTAATTTCGAAAGTGAAAGTCTCCTTATCATTCGAGATATCATCAATCCTCTCCCTAATTCGCTTGATTCTGCTAGCGATATCGTACCTCAAGCAGATATCATTCACGGGGAAGAAGCAACAGGAAGCGGGATTGAAGAAGGGGCATACTCTGATTTGGAAGCTGGAGATCTGATACAGTGCGGTCTCGAACCAGTTGGGATCGACGTTTGACTCCTCTGCGGCGTCTTGGAGCTGGCGGCGGAGAATGGCGGTGCGCCACTCGTCGAGGACGTCGACCATGTCGTAGGAGGCGTCCTTGAGGTTGTGGATCCATAGCTTGACTGTTTCCTGGGTGAGCTGCTTCTGCTCTGCATCGGCGAGCAGGGCCTGTATGGCGGTCAACGTGTTGGTTAGCTTCTTGACGTCTCCCTCCGCGCCGATGACGAGCCTGGCCCGCTGCTTCAGCTCATCGACGAGGATCGGGGCCAGCTGCTGGATCGCCATGGAAACGATCCCGGCCATGGTTTTTTGGGGATGGGTTTCTTGCGTCCGAGCAGGATCTGCGTTGACTATATTGGGACGGACGGGAGAAGAAGACAATGAAATGATCCAGTGGAACCATCGAAGAGACAAAAGGCGTTCGCAAGAATTTACACTTGATACGTGTCCCATTGTAATAGGCCAATGAGTACGTCAACGATCAAATCAAAACATGGGCCGGTTCTGTGAGGGCCTGTGAAATGATCTCTTGGGCTTGTCGTTGAAATGCCAAACTGAGTTATTCAAAAATCCATTTGAACTGGGCTATTTGCTCGCAACTCAATCAAGGCCCAACACCAAGTCATTGACCTTCAAGCCCAAAATATGAACGCCAAATTGAAAAAAGAAAACCCACTAATGATCGATCACTGTACATGCAGACACATTTTACTGCACATACAGACTCAGTGGTACTGTTACAACTGGGATAGGAGTCGGCTGTGGGCGAGTGTATGGTGGACTCTGATCAGTTTCTGAAGCTGTGTTCTCTTTGGACCATGATGAGACATCTGGTTCGCTAATTGGTTAGTGGTCTGGTTGCATTTGTGTGATCCTGGTGAGTCTGCGTTGATCAGCGCGTCACCTTTTGCTTTTCTCGATGCCACTTGGGAGGGAAACAGAGGAAAGCAACTCTACTTGGTGAATTTCGTCAAAAAAAAAAAAAAACTCTACTTGGTGAGTTAGGAGCCACGTAACTCCTTCATTTTTGCCACTCATATCACCTAACTGGCTCAATTTTCTATGACTGCTTTTCTCATTGGTTTCCGTCTCCAGAGATGCACTCTCTCCATAGAAGTAGAGATGGTGAGAATCTCAATCACCACACTTGCCTTTTAGTTTTCTCTATCCTCCATCTCTCTTCCTATCCAATCCAACATGCTCTCCTTCTTCTCCTATAACTTGCAGGTGGAAAAAAACTCCTATTATCCCTCTCTTTCTCACCCCAGTTTCAAATCAGCAAACAAGGAGGTTGCCCAGACTGCAGAGCTAGGGGGTGGCCGTTTTCGTCACTTGAAGGTCGACTTGTGTAGTCAGATGGAGGATGTGGGAGAACATGACAACGTCAAGCAACTTGGTGAGCAGCTCAATGTCGTCTAGATCTCTTCAATTATGAACGCCTGCTGTGCCAAAGTTACAACTCCTAATCTCCGTGTTTCAACAACAGCCGCTGTGACAGCAATACCAGCAAATCCGAGCAGAGAAGGTGTAATAATTGGTTGTATGAACGTTTTTGTATATTATTTGACACCAGTTTTGTGGATCTGCCATTTTTGTAGGCTTGAGTTGCAGTTGGAACGACGATGGTGATGGTAGCCACGAGAATCATGTAGGTAGTGGTGGTGAAATCCCAGAGCGATGTGGCTAGGAATTCCGTTGGTCTCTATCACTTTTCCAGTTATTGTTTGTCCAGATCTACGGATATCCGGTGAGCCCCAATCTCATTTTTTATTCATTTGTTTCACCTTGGATTGTGATTCTCTTCTCTTTCCCCTTCAATATGCAGATCTGTCGGGCTGATTGAGGGTCCGCAGATAATCACCGTAACTTTGTCTTTGGCGGAGAATGACCAGAAACATTGATGAAGGTATTTCTCACTCTCTCTGATAGTTCCACTTATTTATTATATCCTCCACCCCACTCTGCCCCTGTTATGTATACCAGGTTTCTCTTTTCTGATCCATTGTTTTTGTTTGTTGGTGATCCTGTGTTTTGGAGTCGACAATCGCCTTGAACTACGGAGTGATTGAGGAGGGTAAGCAGACCCTGAGGCTACATCTTTCAATCAATGCAACCTGAATCAATTCCCGCCTCTTTGATTCACCTGAATCTTTCTTAGATTCTTGCTTTCCTTATTTGAAATCTCTTTTTCCGCGTCTCAATTTCATAACACGAGTTTTGGAGACCCGCTCGATTCACAAAGAGGTTTCAGTCATTCGCTCTCTTCCCTGAAATTTGTTTTTGGCAAATTCAGTCATGATATTTGGGTTCTTTGTTGGTCGTGTTTTAGTCTGCAATTTTTGCTTTTACGCTTTCTAGAACTCTAGATCTGTTACTCTCCTGCATTCTACTTCAGGCTGCTAATGTGTATTTTATCTGCAGATTTAATGGGTTACTAAACTCAATCTCTTTAAATTTTTAAGTTTTTAAATTCTATTCACGTGACAGTTGAAGTTGAATGTATCATTTTGTTTTTGGGTAGGGATGCATGATCTTTATTACATGTATATTGTTTTGTTTTTCTACATTAGTATCAGAGGACATGTCGGGGCATCAATGGATCATATGTTGTTACATATGTTCTGTTGATCTCTTTGGTCGCTCATCTTTGTGACTGTGTACATACATGCTGTTATATTTTGTGTGTGTGTGTGAGTTATAATATTTTCCATGATATAAGTGGCTCATTTGAGTTTTGAGGTGCCATAGCTTCTGGATCTTGGAGCACATTGGTTGACTTGATTTGGAACATGTTAATTGCTTCATCGCAGTACCCCCTCTGGCAATTGTCAATTCGCCAAAGCTTATTTACCCTCCATTTTGTTTGAGTGATGCACAGCGTAAGGAAGCACATTGCACGTTTGGAAGTAGAGAGGGGAGGGTTCAATTGTGGATTCAGACTCTTTACTTTTAGAGATTGGTTAATGTTAATTAAGCATTAAAATCGAAATAATGTATACCCATGAATGATTTCGTACAATATTAATGTTATACGTATGGTATGTCAATATTTGATCAAATTGGGATGAAATTCAAGACCTAAGAATTTTGATATGATTATGGACTAATTATAGAGTTCTGTAAATTTAACACAAGTCCCAGCGCGGAGCGCGGGCAATGAAGACTAGTGTGAAAGTAAAAGTGACATGATTTCATATGATCATCCATTAGTATCGAACATGGACTATAATCCCAAAACTTTGGCAGTTCATGAAAGAGCAGTCATTCAGACAAACAAAAAAACTGCAGAATGAACAGAGAAAGACATGGGGGGGCGTTTTAGGAGGAGGCTGCAGCTGTTCCTTTGGACCTTGGTGCTGCTTGCGTACCTACAATAATAACCAGAGTGTTGCCACCGATCATTCTATGATTCGACACCAAAAATTTTCATGGCAGCCCTAGTTCGTTCTGCGAAGCTGACTAGTTGTGGATTACTTTGCTTACCTTCTCTGAAATTGGTCTTGAAGCGTCGAGGCACATTGCGGAGATACCTCATCCTGCCCGTCCCTGTGGTCTTCCTGCGGATTGCTTTCTCGCTCCAGTTATCTGAGAAGCGCACACATCCATCCATGGCCGAATTAGGGTAAGAAAACCGATCTCAAATTCAAACCAATTCACTAACAAGAAAACTAGGAAGCTGGGCTCACATTTTCTGAGGCGGCTGGCGGGGTAAGCGCAAGCGGAGCAGCGGCTCTTCTGGAGGTGAAAGCTCCGGCGGCCACATCGGACGCAGAGGGTGTGGGTCTTGTTCCTTCGCTTCCCAAAGCTTCCTGTTCCTTTACCCTAAAGAAAGAAATATAATTAATAAAAAAAACGGCGTTAGAAACCCGATCGAATGATAGTAAGCATTTGCCTTCCCGAGCAGAGATGAAAAGGATCGAGGAGGAAAGAGAGAAGAAAAGGCTTTACCATTTTCTACTACTTCTTCTGTTACCGCCGCCGACGAGAATCCCGTCAGATTAGGTGCCCGGAGATTTGTTGGGAGAGACTGCTCGGTAGTCGGTATAAAATATCAATACATGAGTAGGGTTTCGGTCTCTTGTTGGCGCTTTCTGAGTTGGACTTGCGATGTGTTGGAGTGGGCTTTCTGACCCGGCCAAGTGATGGGCCTACCGCCTATTGCTTGTATTTGTAAAAGCAAAAACAAAACAAACAAACAAACAAACAGACTGAATTGCTCAAAAGTCAAATCAAAAGAACAAAAGAATCCATTAGCAAAATCCTTCAGAGACAAAAAAAAATTCCAATTTCCGCACTCCCTTCTACTCGGCCTGCCTACAAATTAGCTTTCTATCACACAGCTGCTCTGTACATCGAAATTAATACACGACTTTTTCTTACAAAAAAGGAAATAATCAACCGTAAGAATCTTGTCATAATGATTTGCTTAATCAATCACTTTACCTTAATTGAGGAAATTTAAGACAACCGCATCTCCCCCACCAATATTTCCCTTTCTATGCACATATATATATGAATCTTACAGTACAAGCAAAGATCAAGACAAAGAAGCTCCAGAGCTCGCTCTGCAACTCCAAAAACCCACCAAAGAAGTTGCCGTTTCTTTTGAATTTTGATCAGAATGGGGCACAAGAGGGTGAAGATGGAGCTGATAAAAAACGAGCGGAACCGTATCCAAACTTTCAAGAAACGGAAGGCCAACTTACTGAAGAAAATGTCAGAGTTCACCATCCTGTGCGGTGTGGAGGCATGTCTGATCATGTTCGGTCCGACGAGGACCCATAGCGATCCGGCCGCCGCGATGGAGGAGGAGGAAAATGAGCTGGAGACATGGCCGGCTGATCCGCAAGCCGTCAGGGCGATCATCCAGCGTTACAGGACCTCGGATGGCCCGAAGAGAACCTACCACCTCTCCGATTACTTCGCGGAGAAGAAGAAACGAGTCGACCTCGAGGTGGCCAACCTGAACAAGCAGATTTACCGGCACAAGTTCCCTGCCAGCTGGGACTCGAGGCTCGACGGCTTCTCCGCCGATCAGCTCACTGTCCTGCTGGGTCAGCTGGATTCCAAGCTCAAGCTTGCCGACCAGAAGCTCGCCGGTTTCAGCTTGGCTGCTGCAGCTAATCGCTCCAATCGGCTGGAGTTCGATTTCAGTCAGTTTCCGCCTGCTGTTCCTCCCGCTGTTGTCATTGATTCGGACAACAATATGGGTTTTGCTGGGGATATCCAGAAACTGGGATTCTGTAACGACTACGTGGAAGTCCAGCATAAGCAGTACTACAATCGTCCCCAGTCGACCCAGCAGTTTGATCATCATCCTCCACAGCCTCAGCAAGAGCAACAGCAGCAGAGTTCGTTTATGGCTATGTTGAATGCGAATTCCTCCGAAGCAAGCGATGAGATTCAGTTTACTAACCTACATTCCCACAGTGGGTTACAACAGCTTCTGCCGGATGTGAACAGCTTTGGTGGTTGCTACTCTGCAGCAGAGGAAGATTTGAGCCCGAAGGAGTTCAGCAAGGTCGGGTACTCGATCGATTTCGAGCTGTTCAACCATCATCAAGTGATGAAACCGGTACTTGATAGCCAAATGGTGATGATGAAGAGGTTTGGAGGTTACGGTCAGGACTCGGCTACATATGGTTCGTTTGGTGCTGCTAGTACTTATATGAAGCCATGGGGGTTGGATTCTTGTGGCGAGTTTGTGATCAATTATTCTCATGATTGGTCAATGATGAGTTATATGAACTCTCCATTAAGCAGCATTCAGCAAATTCTGCAGCAGCCGCATCAATTGCAGTTTCCGGCAAACGCAACTGCTGGATTCGCTGCTGCTCATTATCATCAGGGGCAGTTTTCTCAGCAAGTGGATGGTGGTGGTGGTGACGGTGGTAGTCATCATGCGCCGATGACAGGAAGCTCTGGTTTTAACCAGAACTGAAGTGCAATGGTCTCTTGATTTCTTCTTTCCTTGTAGGTTTCATTTTGGTGTCACAGGGTCTTGTGTTTTCTTTGAGTCAAAGTTCATTAGTTGTCAGTTATTAGCTCCTTCACTCTTCTATTGAACCTCGATCCAAGAGTATCTAGTAGATGATAATGAACTGTCAAGCTAATTCAATTTCTTATTGGTTAGGGTTTGTTGCTTCTCTTATTTGCAACTATCGATAGGTTTTTCAATGGAGAATTAGAAACGCGTTTCTTTATATGATATTGGGTTTTTCTTCTTCAAATGAATGCATAAATTACTAAAATTTCCTTTATAATTTAACTAGTGGGTAACTTTAATATTTTTCAGAAAGACGCTTAGCAGTTTGCATGGAAAAAAAAAAGGAATAGGATTAGCACGACTTGACAACCATATTTCTTTCTAATTCAACTTTGGTATTTAATCACACATTACTCCATAAGAGGAAAATTATATTTTAATTAGGAAAGAAAATCTGCACTATTAAGCATTATTACTTAATTGCCTATTCTTTTCCATTTACGAGAACCAATCAGGTGACAATTTTCAACCCACTCTAGAATTCAAACCGTGACCAACAACTGCACAGGAAGCTGCTCCTGTAACCTCAACACAGGAACCAGGGCCAGGAGAGAAAATTCTTCCATTGTTCCTGTAGTTCACTTTTCTGACTTCACCCTTTTTTGTAAGAAAAATTGCCCTTTACTTCCTCCTGAGCTTTCCAAACATCCATGACCAGAATACATTGAACTAGCCCAATTACCTGGTTTTCCCTTAGCTGGAGTTATGTGTCTCTTAAGGCAAAGAGGTTGATCTATCATAAAAAGGCTCTCTCTCTCTCTCTCTCTCTCTCTCTCTCTCTCTCTCTCTCTCATCATCTTCATCTTCACCACATGAACCCATGTGGGGACGAGATCTGGGTTTCAGAGCTCCGAGAACTCGGATTCATGGCGTTCAGAGGGCAGCAACCCCAAATCCCCCTATGCGAGGTATGTGTGAGGTTCTGTTTTTTTTCTTCTTCCAGTTTTGCATATATTATTATTATTTATTATAGTTTTAGGACCTCTCTTCTTGCTTCGTCGTCCCTTTATTTTGTTGCCTCGTTTTTCAAACAATTGAATTAGGACTTTGTTTTGTTGTGCAACCATCAGTAGATCAGTAGTGTTTTTAGTAGCAGAGTTCTCTTCTGTCTTCCTTTCCTACTAAAAAAAAGTAAACTAGAAAAATCTCCATTTTCCCATATTATAATAGCTAACTAGCATTATACTAGCACTTGCCCGATCATTATCATCCCTGGACCAACAGATCAGGTCGAAATCATCCTCTAAATGGTTCTCTATTAGTTTAGTTGACCAAAAATAATTTCATGATTCTTTTATCATAACTTTTAATCTATATTATCGTTAAAAAAACAACTTATAATCTACATTATCTGTAAAGAAGTCGGGAAATTAACAACAATATCAATATCCCGAAGTCAAAGACTAGCCAGTTAAGGACCAGTTCCCGCCATCATGCTATCACGAGAACTATAGAACACAGAAGAAAGAGTAGAAAAACCATCCTGAGTTTTCTATTTATGCATATTATCATTCCCTATGATCATAAAAGTAATAAACTACAAGGGGAGAGGGAGGAAAATGGGGATCTACGCGACTTTCCTTTCCTCAAACTCATCTACAGATTTATTTAAAAAATTGCATGCTAGTCCTAATTTCCTAAGCACCAGCTCAGTAGGTTCAACGGATTTGATTTGGCTATCTAGCCAATTTGAGTAGAAGTAACCATCATACTTGTACAGTTTATAAAGACAACATAGCCATTCGATCGGAGATCAGACGGTTGAGGAGGCGTAAGGGTTTAGAGCTACGACGTGGTATGGACTATGGACCTCTTGCTGGTAATGAGATAAGGGAGAGAGCTACATGGCGACTTTCAGGATTAGCTTCTGACTTTCACGGGTTTGGTCAACTGTATAGCTAATAATGTCGGCAGTCTTATACTATTATGCAGATTACTGATTGCTAATTTATTATAATAATGATTCAATCATGACCATTAAAATAATTTAAGTCAGACAAGGACACGCTTTGATAGCTCCTTGGGGACTGTAAGCATGGGAAAACGCATACTTAAAACAGGAAATAAGGCAGAGGAAGAGTACTAACCTTTGACCTTTCCCCGTTTCCAGTTTCCTCATTTGTATCTCTGAACTGTAATGTCAGAAACAAGGTCGCCGCTGCCGCTGCTGTTTCGCAGGAGGTCCAGCGGGCAGATCATCAGGAACATCGCCACAGTTTCGAGCAGCCTTCTGCCAGCTTTTGGAACTGTGATTGATGAAGGATACTTGAAGCTCAAGAAACATGTCATCGCACCTTATGACCACAGATACAGGTAATTGCTGATTAGTAGAGATCCCCAGCTCTTCCTATGCTTTGATTCAACCTGAGAAAAGTTGTTAGTTTCTCACCTTTTCGTTTTTTTATATATGGCAGGATGTGGCAAACTTTCCTGGTGGTGCTGGTGGTGTACTCAGCATGGGCATCAATCTTCGAGCTGGCTTTCAAGAAAGCAGCAACTGGGACGCTCTCCCATTTCGATCTGGCCGTGGATGCCTTCTTTGCCATCGACATCGTTCTCACTTTCTTCGTGGCTTATCTCGACACGACCACGTATCTTCTCGTTGATGATCACAAGAAGATAGCTACTAGGTCTGATATACATGCTTATCTTCTCATTTCCCCACCTTTCCTGTCTTCCGAATAAAGAAGCTGAAATCAGTTTAAACACAAAATTGATGCCAGGTATCTTACGAAACCATGGTTCATAATGGACGTTGCCTCGACCCTACCATTTCAGACCATATACAGAATCTTCAGTCGCAGAACAAGCCATGCAGACGTCTTTGGTTTCCTCAATCTGCTCCGACTCTGGAGACTTCGCCGAGTCAGCCAGCTCTTCACAAGGTAAATCCAACTGAATACCATTCCCTCCTTTTTGGTTAGCAAAGATTTTGACCCTATAAAAGATTCTGAAAATACTGCTTGTTGGATGAATGATTTGAGAGAAGGAATTTTGAAAATGTGGATCTCATACTGTAATAAATTGAAGGAAGTAAAAGAAAATCTTACATGTCATGGGGAGATTTGGGAAGAGAGACTTGAGGCTTTAAGATTTCCGAGTTCCATCAATTACAGATGTATTTCCGATTCCTTCAGCACTTTAGATTCCATCACTCAATTTCCACGGCCAAACAAACCCCTGAAATCAAGCACCACATATCTGAAAAAATTCTCGTGTGCCATCTCAGGCTGGAGAAAGACACACGATTCAGCTACTTCTGGACTAGGTACTTCAAGCTAGTAGGGGTAAGAGTTTAAAAACCTTGCCTCCACAAACACTCACCTGCTGAGCTATCCATTTTTTACCGAACTCTGATTTAATGACTGACGACTTTGGCAGGTTACACTATTAGCTGTGCACTCAGCAGCATGCGTCTACTACTGGCTGGCTTACCATCATCCACTAGAAGATGACACCTGGATTGGCTCTGAGGTCCACGGTTTCAAACACAGAAGTATTTGGCTGGGCTACACCTATTCCATGTACTGGTCGATAGTCACCCTCACCACGGTTGGTTATGGAGACCTGCATGCAGTAAACACAGGAGAGAAGGTTTTCAATATGTTTTATATGCTGTTCAACATTGGTCTTACAGCATATATAATCGGAAACATGACCAATCTTGTTGTCCACAGTGCGGTTCGAACTTTTGCAATGGTACGCAATCATTCATCTACTTTCTTTCTTCTTCTTCTTCTTTTTTTTTTTTGTTGAAATTCGTTCATCTACTTTCTATAAAACCTTATCAGACACTTTTTTCCGTGTTTTACTAGAACTTCAAAGAAATTTGTTTTTCTTTTTTCCGAAAAATCTGAAACATACACAATGTATTGTCAGAGAGATTCAATCAATGAAATATTGAGGTATGCAAACAAGAACCGGCTTCCTGAGAGCTTGAAAGAGCAAATGCTGGCACACATGCAACTCAGGTTCAAAACAGCAGAGCTAAAGCAAGAGGAAGTTCTGGAGGATCTTCCGAAGGCAATAAGATCTAGCATATCTCAGCATCTATTTCGTAATACAGTTGAGAATACTTACCTGTTCAAAGGAGTGTCAGAAGACCTTGTTACCCAGCTGGTATGTGATCTGCATGAAAACCTGCAACCAGTAATAATACCGTGAAAGTGAAAGAAGCAATGTTCTGAGGAACAATAAGTATTAAGCAGACTTGGTTGTTGCACTTCTTTTCCAGGTGTCAGAGATGAAAGCTGAGTACTTCCCGCCAAAGGTTGAGATCATACTGCAAAACGAAATCCCTACAGATTTTTATGTCCTGATTTCTGGAGCAGTGGTATGTCATCTCACTCCTCTTATTCAAATAAACTGACATTGCATTCGCGAACTTGTATCTGAGAACTACTTCAAACTGCAGGATGTGATGAGCTACAAGAATGGTACAGAACAGGTACTTATACGAAATAACACTTCTACTATCTTGTCAGGAAATTCTCAAAGAGCATCTAATGCATAAGCTTGTGATGAACTGCTAAAGGAGAACACACTTTTACTAAGCATGATTACAATAGAAACAATCCATGAAAAGAGTACATCTCAATAATAGCTAAACTTGGTCCGAACGCTGACAATTCTATCAAATAGGCCTTGGCTCTCTGAAAAGTGTGATCCCCACCCTCCAGCACTTGTATTCTGCAGCAACAAGACAAAATGCCAGTCAGCCTATCAAAATCTAAGAAGAACGGGAGCATGTATCATAAAACAAAACTACTCCAGATTATTCCACGTTTTAATCTAGCAATAACTAGACACATAATTCGAACCAGAAAATACTCATGCATGAAGAAGTACAAAACGTAAGCAGCAAGACATGCGCCACTAAGGAGAAGGAAAATAGAACAGTGAATTAGGATATCTGTGGTCATGACACCTCTATCTAGAACCGCCAAGGGTATCTAATTTTAAGAGCAAAATAATAAAATTTTAGGACTGATCGATTCATATCCTGAAAAAGTAGCTAAGCCCATTTCGATGCTTTCAGTTCTTGTCAAAACTAGGAGCTGGAGATTTGGCAGGAGAGATTGGGGTACTGTTCAACATTCCACAACCCTTTGTAGTGAGGACTAAGAGGCTTTCTCAAGTTGTGCGCCTGAGTCATCAACACTTCAAGCAAATAGTGCAGCCACATACAGAGGATGGCAAGAAGATCATCTCCAACTTCACACAGGTACAAACGAGACATTCTCTGGTGCAGTCACTATTTTATATCGCCATATAATATCAGTTACATGCAAATTTTGTAATGTGGTGGCATTATCATTCTCAGTACCTGAAGGAACTGAAAAAGGATATGCTGGACGAACTACCTTTCCTGACAGAATCACTAGAAGAAATGGATATACAGGTAAGTTCACTCGAGTGAATTCCATATGGAAAAAAAGAGACTTGCTAGGAGTTCAAAATTTTTTGTGTCAACTTCCATAGGGCACAAAAGGTTCTAATGCATCGGATCAACAGAAACCAGTTTGACACTTCCCTGCACCCTAGTTAGGCATAGCAGATGACTATTTACAGATTTCCCAGTTGAGCATGTAAACAATATATTTTTTGTTTATCTTCCAAATACCAACACCTCAATACATTGTGGTCACTGCTTCCTACAGGAAAGAATCCCAAATGATGATCAACGAGATGTTCAAGCACAGAATACCGTGGAAGATGAAAGTACAGAAGGTAAACTCAAGGCCCATATAACTTTTGTCAAAGAAACTAAGAAATTTATAATTTGATAGGAACAGAACAAGGGTTCTAAGCTTTAATCCATGTCTGTATTAAACTGGCATTTGGAAGATTTTCAGACGTAAAAGATTTTGGTACTGGATAAAAGTTGGGCTTGCCTTGGGACTTAAAGAACTAGGTATACTGCCTAGATCATCTCCTTAACTTTATTATCCAACCTGCTCTTTATGCGGGAGAAACTAAGGTCTTCCCTGCACATAATGCCTAAACAACCTGGTCGCCAGGAGCTGCTGCTTTCACTGTTCAAACATAACTAAGAAGAGACTAAGGTCTTCCCTCACTGGTCGCCAGGAGCTGCTGCTCAATGATCAAAATAATGATGTTTGCTCGGTTGATGACTCACAGCTGTGCCTTCAGCAGCTGAGTTAAAAGAGATTTGTTAGCTTTTCTTATTCACAATTCATTTTTCAGGAACACAGGAAAGTTCTGCTTCATTATCGACCAAGTCTATACGGGTAATAATCCACGGGCATCATCCAAAGGAACTTCCAACAGAGAAATATACCTTTGGGAAGCTAGTCTATCTACCAGATACAGTTGAAGAACTTCTAGGATTAGCAGGTAATACCATATTATAAATCCATAACAAGTAACATGTAAATAACTATGGCATCATTTCTCTTACACAAGCCTGGATACATATTTTTTTCAAAAACAATTTCTAACCAGAGGCAGTACTATTCCTTACGAACAATGGAAATCAGTGATCAAACATTTGCACAGACACTGAAATATGAAACACAACAAATTTCCATCCGTCATGCTCTAAGTATCTATAATGACAGGACTAAAGGCACTGACTACCAGCTTTAAGAAACACCACATACGGTTATACAACATGTTCTCGTAACCAGTACAGGGAATTGTAGACACGATAGGATGAGAAGTTAACCTTGTATTAACTTTTTTCCATGCAGAAAAGAAGTTTGGAAAAAGAGGAAACAAAATCGTCATGGAGAATGGCACACAGGTTGAAGATCTGGACGCCCTAAGAGAGAATGATCACTTGTTTATCATTTAGATTCTGGACTGTCATTCAGTACAACTAGTGGGCCTCTTCCAGATAGACTCTCAGACACAAGCTTACAAAAGGATTGTGAGCACATTATTGCATCTGTGTGTAATTCCCATCTTGTTTCTTCAATTCCAGTGATTGTGCTCATGTGAGTTAAACAATGCAATAGCCACAGGCACATTTGAATGTATAGTAAAGCTAGAACACTCGTTGAAGAATTAATGTTTCTTCAGAAAATATGTAATCTTACTCACCGTCATCAATGTCACCGGTTGAGCATCTCCAGAGCATAATAAGCAGCTTTCTGGAACTTCTCTTTCTCTTCGTCCAAAGCTTTCTTCCTCTCCATATCCGCTTCTTTCCATTTCCCAATCTCCTCCGTCACTCCAGCAGAGTTCTGGTCCATTTCACTGCAAACACAGGAATGTTACAGCGACAGAGAGGAAACTGGAATCCAAGTCCAACCTAGGGCTTTCTTATCCGTCCACCTTGCCATCTTAAGCCTATCCGCCATCGCGTTCTGGACCTGCTGCGACATATCTGCGAACACATAATAACAGGAGATCAATTTCCTCGGAAACATTCTTTGATTTCAACAATCAGCGAGAGCGAGACGCATCTTATCCGAGACTGAGCTAGACCTATCGAAACTTTCCACGAGAAAAATCCTTTTCGAGAAATCATAACCGACTGTTCTTAATCGGATTAAGATCAAAATTATCAAGGCATCAATGGAACCTGGAACGATTTCCGATCTAACTGAGTCTTCTGAGATAGAAAGTTCTCGCGAGCTTGAAATGCTTAACTTACGACTACGGAGGTTCGAGAGTGGAAAGGTGAAACGAACCATAGATGGTAGATGTGAGCTCCAATTCAGTTTCCCAAGACGGAGAGAACCATCGCAGAGGCGGATCCTGTAGGCGAAGCAGACATTGTTGATCGGAGTTGCTTGAGAGTGGAGAGTGGAATTGGAACATCTTGGAACATCTTGAACGCGAGCTGGCGGGAGCGCAAGTTTTCGCGTGCCTTTTATATCTGTAGTTTCCCGGAAAGGAGTCGCAGTGCCCCCGAAATGGCAGAGCAAATTGTGAACAATTTCATTTTGAGTCACCTATTTCTTGTTGTTTTCATACTGATACCTAATTAATTCTGTCCATCCGGATTTCATCAAAATCATGTTCAAATTCTTCTCTCTAAGGCCTAAGCCTGCTCGCGCACAAATTCTCGGGGATTCATCAGATGCACGCCAATTATCTGGTTGCTTTACGTCTATGGTTTTTGTTGGGGAAATGAAATTATTCATATAATTTTTTTCCTGTTCATAAACAAAGTATAATAATTATTTGTCGCATTTTTATAAATTAATTTTTTATAAATGGAAAATATGTATTTGCATCTCTACCAAGTACAATCACAATAATTATTTGACGTCTTTCTATAAATGAATTCTATAAATTCGCTTATTTGAATTGATGGTTGGAACCTCCTTTCGAGTATCAGTATTCATTTGCATGGAGGGACTCATTGGAGGAACACTCTTTCCGATATATATGCAACTATGCAAGGTCCAAATTTTTTTTTTTTTTTTTACAGTATAAAGTCCAAATCCATGGGGTTGTTTTTCTGCAATTCAAATCCAAAAACAGCAAGAGCAAAAGTTATAGAAAATTAGAAATATCAAGCTCTTGTATAAACCATTGAGCATTCATCATGCGCCCGGATTCTTAGTGCCTACCCAACATGAGTTCCGTCGAACGTCGATATATCTTCACTTCGAATTCAAGTGCTCAAAACAAGTCAATTTGTGAATTAACCTCAACATTCACTGAATCGAATTGTCTCGCGAGCCTGTAAAGTTTGGGTTGGGCTTGAAAGCCGTTCGGCTCGTTTGCACAAATACATACCCTGCATAATCAGTTCACTGTCCGATCTGCTTTCAGCTCCCCTCAATAAAGCGATTAAACTTTGTTGTCTGCAACCTCTAATGCTTTCGAGGCTGCTGCTGTTTATGCAGTTTTCCCCCACGCTTAACCTTGCTTTAACTTGTAGTTGTTTTATTTAATTAATAAAATGAGGTCGCCATTTTCAAAAAAAATTGTTCTCTTCTTGGTTGTTTTTGCATGCTTAACGTAATATTCGTACTTCGGCCCACAAATTGGAGCAGAGAATGATACACCCTATACTATAATCTATTATTGTATTTTTGTCGTCACTTTCTTTGAGATTTATCATCTGAGATTCCCCATCTCAAATAATGTCCTTGGGCCATTCAATCAAGTAACTATGAGGGGCTCGAAAGAATATGGGAAGTGGGAGAACTATTGCACTGGATGGTGACCCGTGGATTCCGGGCATTAGCAATTTTAAACTTCAACCTATCCAACGCCAACAATTATGGGCTTTCCAGTGGGTTATGGAGGATGAATGGGAATGGAATTTGGACATCATTAGACAGAGTTGTTCGGAGGAAGAAGTGGCAGCCATTAGAAGAATCCCTATTGGTCCGCAGTACTCAGATGACACTTGGGTTTGGCATCACGAGAAGTCAGGTATCTTCTCAGTCAAGACTGCTTATCACAGTTTTAGAGTTGCGGAAATGAACAGGCTTGGGACTGGAAATCCAAATCACCCGAGCTGCTCGACTAAAGCGTGGAAATGGTTATGGAGCTTATCACTTCCTCCAAAGATCCGGTCTTTCATTTGGAGACTGTCGAGGAATGCGGTTGCTACAAAGAGAAATCTTTGGTTCAGAAGATGCAATCCTTCCCCTGTTTGTTCGATTTGTGAAGTGGAGGTTGATGACATTAGACACTGTCTCTTCCAGTGTCCGCATGCTGCGAGGGTTTGGCATTCTAACTTTCCCTCTCTCATTCTCCCCCACGACTCCACCCCGATTGTGATGTGGTTACTTGGGATCTCTGAAAGTATCCCTCTGATTCCTATTCCGGCAGTTGTGGCTTGCCTCTGGGCAATTTGGCTGGTGAGGAACGAGAGGGTGTTTAAAGGAGTTAGCCCTAGTACTTATGGTACTTCTCTGAAAGCAGTGAGTTTTTTCTCGGTTTGGACGAGTCAAGGTGGACTGTCCCTCCCTACTTCTCGTGACCAGCATGCTCCCCGTCATCCTACACTCAGCCTACCGCCTTGTCTTAACCATTGGGTTATTCACTGTGATGGAACTTTCAGTTCGGAATCTCAGTTGGCGGCTTATGGAGTGGTAATCAAAAACCCTCTTGGCCAAGTTGTAGATGGCTTTGCTGGTACTCTATTCTGCTCGGCGGCGATTGTAGCGGAAGCTAAGGCTATTCTGATTGCAATGCAGCATGTGGTTTCAGTCGGCATCTCTGCTACCATCTACTCTGACTGTAAGGTCTTGGTCGATACGATTCTTAATACAAGCAAAGCTGGACCTTGGCAAGTTAGGGCGTGGATTCAATGGATGAGGCAAATCCTCCATGCGAATGGTGGGATCAAGATTGCTTTTTTGTCCAAGGAAGGAGAACAAATGTGCGGACTGGGTTGCAAAAGAAGCTGCTAAAGGGTCACTTCACCAGGAGTGGATTCAAGTTCTTAACATCATTTACCCTATGTTGTAATACGATTAGTTTGTACTATTTTCACCGTTGAAATGAATGGAATTCAATCTTTGTCAAAAAAAAATTAAGCATTGTCATTTGCCAACTGGCCTTAATCGTGAATTCATAACCATGAAAATGAGGATTGCTTCCAAGTCCCAAATATTCGCATCAGGAGTAGTTGACAAACACAAGAGGAGCTTTTACCAAACCAAACACACGACGAAAAGAGAATCTATATAGACGATTGAACTATTATATTTTCGAGCCCAAATTTAGTTTTTCTTGAAATTTAGTATATTTTTTTTTTACAAATAGGCCCATAAATTTGCTGAATCGCTAAATTTGATGGTAGAATTACATTTTTTATCCAATTTTTCAAACAATATAGTCCTCAACTTTTAGAATTTTACAAACAAGTTCAATGTATTGGTAAGATGAATTTCATATCACTAATTGTTACTAAGGGTCAGAGGGTCGAAAAGTGATCTGGCACTAAGTTGACCCGACCCTAAACTGGCCTCGTAGACAAAATGGCAAGGGCAGATCCTCAAGATTAGGGCGGATCAGTATATCTTTAGAGTCAAGCTTACACTCTTAAATAAGAATGCAATTTTTGAATAGGGATGGCAACAAAACCCTATCCACGGATACCCTGCTCGAACTAACCCGATCAAAGCGGGTAAAACTCATGTTGAAGGATTACGGGCTGAGTTCGGATTTAAACCGGTTCTACTATTTAGCGGGTTGGGTTCAAGTTTAGTCATATCAAACCCGTTCCAACCCGTACCTGTCTAATTTGTTCTTTCTAATTGTGTAGAATTAAATTGATATTGTGGAGTGGAGAGTGAAGAAGCCTAGTTGACAAGGAGGAAAAAACTTTCAATTAATTATATTATTTTTATGGATGTTTATCTTTAATGTTGAACAATTTGTATGGATAAGTTGTGGTTTGCTTGTATGTTGTAGATTGGTGTTTTTTTGTACGAATAATTTGTATGGAAAGATTGATGTTAGACTTTTATTTTGACATAAAGTTATTGTGCATTTATAGAACACATGGGTATCCATGAACACGCGGATACCCAACGGGTTGGGTTTGAGTTTTCTAAACCCGTTGGATTTTACTCTGGATTTTTTTGATGGACATACCCATGGGTTTGGGTTCGAGGTTGACAAAACCCAACCAAGATATTGTCCGCTTTGGGCCTCGACCCTCACGGTTTTCGACTTGGGGTGCAATTCAAGGTGATTTCTCATAAGGTCACTCATCCTTGTTGTACTCCACACTAAGCACGTTTAACTTCGGAGTTCTCACAAGAACTCCTCCATTGTAGCCCAAAACGCGTCTCCTCAGTTAAAGCTGATTTCTTACTTATGAACCATGAATCTCTCCCGTGCTTTGTTAATGTGGGATTTGCTTCAAGTGTTACCGTTTCAGTGTATTTCTCTTTGTTTTTTTTTTAATTCCTGGCCCGATGATCTCTTGGTGAGCTATTGGTCCGCGGCATATGTTTGTTTTGTTTTGTTGTTTTTTCCCAGTAATTTTGTTGCTTAGCATTTGATGATTGTGAAGCTGTTCATTTTCATTACGAGGAATGAAGAATATTAAGGTTGTTTGGTTTACGTGTTTTGCTATAATTGTGATAGGGACAATTATTCATCTTGAATTAATACAGGAATTAGACAAGGGTATTACTCATATGTTACTTTGGTGTAATGTTATATGTTATTACTCATATGTTGGATCTAAGTACGACATGTTACTTTGGTGTAATGTTATATGTTATTACTCATATGTTAGATGACATTTGATATAATTTATCAGAATTAGTACAATATAATGACTCTTTCCATATTTCCGGATTAAAACGAGTAACTCGTTAATCCTTAACCCACTAGCTCGACCGGTTTGGGTAACCACTTCCAATTATTCTTTTGTGCTCATTTCCGCTCTTACAAAGTTACAAAAGCCTTTTTAAAGTCTTTAATTCATTGCTCATCAGGTTTTGGGCTTTGTGGGTATATTGAAAGGCGAGGCGGCAGGCCAATTCCAAAGCCCAACGAAACAACTCCTTTTGGGATATGGACGCCAACTTTGGCTTGGGCTTTTGACTGCGAGCGTCACAGACGAACTAGTAGTCAATGTCTTGAATCTTGATGCAGTTTTCGCTAATTAGCTGATGCAGCCACCGTCGAGGGAACCTCTCCTCGCAATGACAACTACTACTACACCAACCAGAAGAAATTCGCACTACTCATTTGAATTTCCTCAGTATATCTCACCGAGATTCGGTAGGTGCATGCATGGATTCATTCGCTCTCTTTCATTTTCTCCCATGCATCATGACGAAGTTTGGCCACATGGAGTGGTTGGACTGAGAAATGTGTGGAAGCTCCTATATATACACGAAGAGGTGGGTAAGATAAGAAGAAGAAAAAAACGGAGCAATCACATAATAAGATGTCGGAAGATTTGTAGGGCATGATTAATGCGTACATTTTAATTTGGAAAACGGGTTGACACCCCGTATCAAAAGGTAGTTGGTGAGAGGGGAGAGCCAGACGTGATTAAAAATACATTAAAATTTTTATAATAAATTCGGTGATTAGAGTTTAAGATATTTTTGCTCCAAAATTATGGTTCATCGTTTAAGGCAAAGCGAAATATTAAGAAATTTCAATAAATAATTATTATATGTCTACTTCTTCATTCCCGCATACAACACTAGTCTCGATAGAGACACGAGGAAATAATAGAATAGAACCTTTTGTTTCTTAGTTTTTATTTTTACAATAATAATTGATCCATCATGTACTGTTGCAGTGAGCTTTTTTATTTTGATTTTCCAGAAGGGGAATTTGTACTGTTGTTGGTTGTTTTGGCATTCTTATCCCAAATATTCGTGCTTCGGCCCACAAATTGGAGCAGACCACCAACTACTACAAAATCCGATTATAACACCTAATATTATATTTTTATTGTCACTTTCTTTGAGATTTATCAATAAAATTAAATCCTTTTAGATTCTAACAACACTTTTCGACAAGTGAGTAATTATATTATAGCGCATTACCATTTGCCAACGGGCCTCAATCATGAATTCATCAGCAGGAAGTTACTTTCCAACAAGCCAGCCCCAATATTCTCAGCAGAAGTAATTGGCAAATACAAGAGTAGAGAAGTAGAATCTATAGACGATTGAACAAACTAGCTATCTAGCATATAAACCCCCCCGTCGTCGGCCAATATATATATGCCTCCGGCCGGCAATACGTACGGCGCATCTGGGCAGCATATATGTAAGACGACAAGAAAAAGGGCTAACAATTGGGTTAAATCATGAAATGGAATAAGAATTATCATTATGTATTGAACCCTAAATTATGGAAATATGAAACACCATGATTTCCATCCAATTAACGAGCATAACATGAGTTTCATATTGGGATTAAAAAATTATGTAAGCAAAGCAATGAACCACCAACCAAAAGTGACCAACCTTGACAAAAGAGGAGCAGGCCATTGCTGGCTGCATGTGCTGCCAAAGAAGTGGGTTGGTAATGGTAATCGTAAGAGAAAGAGCAAAAAAGGGCAGGCGGCGGCAGCACAGTAGCCAGCCGGTCACTGAATTCCACTTCCGTCAGTCAAAAATGGTGTCCCGACTCCCAACTTATTATTAGCTAAGCGTAGTGGTGGTGTGTGAGCCCACGGCAGTCGCCGGTCGGAATCGGACGACCCTGCACGCCAAGCCAATGTAGAATCGGTAGACCACACATTTTGCTGGCTGCACGATGTCTATGTTCATTCATTTTATTTCTAAAAAGTACTCCGCACTTTGTCACCAGGTTAACCGTTACTTCTGTTTTACCGGGAAGGGGAGCGGATCAGGTCAGTAACTTTATGGTCAGTAACCATGAGTAATATGTCCACATCATCATGACATCAGTATCCTCTCTCTCCTAAAAAGTCTTTTTATTTTTTCCCTTTAATCTTTAACGAATGATTTCTCTAATATTTTAAGTCGAAATTCAACATTTTTTGCACAGATAAATCAGATTAAATGTGCTCTTTAAAATGATATCCACTTTGATATATTTTTAGTACAAAATAATTGAATAATTTTTTACCAGTCATTACCATATGGCATGCTCCAATTTAATACCATATGGTAAGAAATGGTACCATGATGGTATGAACATACCAATATGGTAAGAAAGTTGAATATATGATAGTAGGAGTATATTAACTGTCATTTACGACTTTCATCATTGTTTACTACAAGTTACCACGCACATACCATAGTGGTAAAGTATGGTAATTTTTTATCTAGTATTTTTTTTACCCAGAAATTTATAGATCCAATAGATCATGATGAACTCGTTCCATCTGAACAAACGTTTTCAAAAACGACTTAAAAACGAAGAAGTTACCATATGGTATGTAGTTGGTAAAAAAAGGTTTCTCGAAATATATTGAAAATTGATATCATTTTGTAGAGCACAACGAACTCGTTCCATCTGTGCAAAATTGAAATCCGAGTTAGAACGAAGAAGATAAGAACCAATTAAGAAAACTATGAAAAATAAAATGTCTTTAATTGACAATCCTTAAATTTGAATTTACTGGACCCACTTAAATCTAAAGGTTCGGATTTATTTAGTCATTGGAAAATAATTCTCTGCAACAAATTTTGTCGAGCAGTGAGCCAGCAAAGATGGGTTTAATTTGTTCTGCCTACTGCAGCTTTGTGTGGCAGACATAACGTGCAAAAAAAAAAAAAAAAAGAAAGGAACGCAAAAACAGACTTACAAAAAACCCACCTTAGATGATAGAAATCCATTGATTAAATAATACCCAAAATTCCAATCCAATACAAAGTGTTAAAGACCACCAAAAGAAAGAAAAGAAAAGAAAACAAGTCAATACTTGCCAACTGATCATCACAAACTTAACCCACCACCAGCCTCTCTCCACTATAAAAAAGCCCATCATCCACCAAGCACACTTACAAACCCAAACCCAAACACACTCATCACACTTCCCCTTCTTCAACTCATCTTCTCCCTTTCAAAATGAAGGCAAGAAGCTATACTGCCATCTTCTTCATCCTCCTCATCATCTCCATCTCCTCTTCTTATGCAAAGATGAGGAAAGAATACAAGCCATGCAAAGAGCTGGTCCTCTTCTTCCACGACATCATCTACAACGGCCACAACAAGGCCAACGCCACGTCGGCCATCGTGGCGGCACCCGAGGGCGCCAACCGGACCATCCTGGCCGGCGAGTTCCACTTCGGAAACGTCGCCGTTTTCGACGACCCCATCACCCTCGACAACAACCTCCACTCGCCGCCCGTGGGCCGGGCCCAGGGGATGTACCTGTACGACACCAAGAACACGTACACGGCCTGGCTCGGGTTCAGCTTCAGCCTCAACAGCACCGACCACCAGGGGAGCATTAATTTTGTCGGTGCCGACCCGCTGATGAACAAGACGAGGGATATTTCGATCGTCGGCGGGACGGGGGATTTCTTCATGCACAGAGGTGTCGCCACCGTGATGACGGATGCGTATGAAGGGGAAGTCTACTTTAGGCTGAGAGTGGATATGAAGTTCTATGAGTGCTGGTGATGATGATTCTCTGTTTTTTATTTGGGTTGGTGTGGTGGTGTGGGGTTGTTTTGTCTTGGTTTTTGGTTTTGGTTTTGGTCTTTTTTCTGAATTGATGTTTCTGTAGTACTGTCATTGAGGTGGTGACACATTTTATGTCATAAGATTCCAGAATAAATGAAAGCAACCGATTTTGTGTACTTTGCTTACTTAATTAGTTGGTTCAGCTTTCTGCTACCAACCTTTCATGCAATCCGTTGCCACTAAACAGTATAACATCCCATCCCAAATATTGTCGGTTTTTTAATTAATCTATTTTCTCGTAGTTTTGCTTTTGAAATGAATCATGATAAATTTTCTAGAGGTCATTATTTTTTAACACGTTTAATTTCAAGTTCCCGCAAGAAATCCTTCATTTTACTCCAAAATACGTGTTATTATCAATTAAAAATTGATATTCCTTATAAATTATATATATCCTACGTGATTGATCGATATGAAATTTATTAAACACACACAACACATAAACATTGACTCAAACGAAAAAACCCAAGAAGCAACAAAAAAAGGCCTAGATTTGGATATGATTGCCATAACACGGCGCTAAGAATTGGAACTTGTGACTCATTTAGCTTATAGTTAAGCATTTTTTAAACGTTGATATACTTCCGTGCAGTTTTCCATTCGTACATAGACTTGTTGATTAATATATTCTTATTTTTATACAAAAAAAAAAATTGTCCAAGAGGAGAAAGATAACCTAAACAATAAAACATGGTGCTTGGTGAGCCAAGACACCACTACAACCGCAAGCAGTGGAAACGAGTAAAAAGAACAAATATATTGCACAGGAGGGGAAATGTAGAAGAAAAGGAGGGAGGGAACTGGGAAGAAGTAGTAGAACTCGTTTAATTCAAGTTTTAGATACATGGTTAATTAATCTTTTCGTCTCAAAAAAAAAAAAATTTTTGAGAGATTTTCGTCTCAAAATTGATTGATTGATAACAAGATTTTCTATACATACAGACAAAAGTCAACCCACCAGAAAAAAAAGTTGTTAAACTAATTAAACATAATGGTGGGGAAAAGTTACCACCTAAATCATATTTCCTCGGCCCTCTTTTCCACCACACCACTCCCTCCAGTTCCACAGTCTCTACCATATGTTTATTCTTCTTCTTCATCATCTTCTTTTGTTTCTGTTTTTGTAACGGTGAGCATTTTATTCAAACACACAAACCAAAAATTTCAAGAAAAGATTCTACATGCGAGGCCAAACCATAAAACCCCATACGGATCCCTGACTTGATACATGAGTTGGTTAAACAGAAGAAGAAGAAAGAGAACTTGGTCACTACGGGAAAGTGCTGTGTTAGTCATATAATGACAATTTTTTTTGTTGCTTATTAGATAGTTTACGCATCTGAAATTATTTTTATATGTTGCATTTGTTTTATATACGCAACAGAAGTTATTTATATGATGATCAGTAAATTGTATGGATGTAGCTAAGAAGTCATTTGTCATCATATCTATTCAATATTCACAGAGCCCCTATTGTCACCATAGCAAAATTGCCTAGTTAGACAAAGAGAAGCTTAGGTATCTGACAAATTAGTGGGATGCTTTCAATTATCTCAACTATTGAGTTCATCTAGTGAACGAAAGTTTCACGTCATAAAGTGTTAATCGATGTCATCCGATAAAATAAATGAAAATCATCACCAAACCCTAACTATCTCATTCGGCCCTATAAATATCTATATCCTCCAATCCTAAAGGCCAAAAGTGAATCACCCTCCTCCACCTCTCTACTTCTTGTAATTTCTCATATCCATCTGACTTAATCCTGGATGAACTTCTTTCCAAACTTCATGAACTCGTATATATAACTTGCTAAAGGTAACAGTACTGTCCTGCCAATGCCAAAGCTTAACCTAGCTAGATGATGAAAGGTCCTCTCTTCACTCCTACTCATCTCTCTCTTTTTCACAAAAAGTCGCCCACCAGCTTCTCATTTGATTGTCCAGAAGACAAGAACCACTAGCTAGCCACGAAAAGCCAAATTGAGCCAATTAATTATGAAGCATCTCTAACCCAAATCACTAACAAATCCCGAACTTTAGTTAGTTTATAAATGAACCGTTGACCATCTTGTAAGTGAAGATATTAGATCAAAACCAGCCAACTAGATCGCTTAGTGCGCAGTACAGCTTCTCCTTTCACCAAATGATATGCCAAAAATCCATAATCTATCTCAAATAATATCATAAACCAACTTTTCTCAATACTTCGAGTTGTTCATATATGAATCTTAACCATTATATACCTTAAGACAACAATTAATATTAGGGATCGTGAGCATTTGAACATGTGACCTCAATAACAAACCAACTCAGATACTATGTTATAAACTAACCGATCCCAATAATTCGAGTTGGAAGAGATCCATGTATGAATTTTAAATATTCTCTTACAAATAAGATTTGGAAACCTTAAATTTATGCTCAAAATAGAGTATTCTAATTGGCAGAACCATATCGAACCGAATTTAATATGGCCCGATCTTTGGTCCCGAATTGGCATTTGGACAAAGATCAAACCTGGCTGAATGTACTATTTGATCCGACTTGGTTCTAAAATATCTGTCATAATCAGACTACAATTTTCATCAGTTTAATCAGCTCGCGGTTGCACACCTTACATACTCCCATATAGTTCTAATCCTTCCCCACGATTTTGCTACATTAATGTGCCAATGTTATCATCCAACAAAAAATGTTCCAATCGTCTCAGCAGTATCAATCAAGCTATAGCTAACCAATGTGCTTTTTCATGATCATATATGCACACAAAAGTCAGACTTTTCATTAATATTCTTCACCTAAACTTCCTTAATTATGACGACTGGGTTGGAACAACACGGCCAGTAGGCTAAGTGGGTAGAACATGTACAACATCCCAAAAGGAAATGGCCCCATTCTCCATCTAAATTGTAGAATGACGTTAATTCTTAATTGGTCATGACTTGGATGAAAAGCGAATCAATCCCCTCTGGCCACCACCATTGGATGAGGCAGCCATTTTGGCTATGTCGGAGAAAAAATATTAAATATTGGGAAAGTAGATACAAAAATAAAATAAAATTAGAGAAACATATCGAAAATAATCATTTGCGAGTATGAAAAAAGAAAAAAAATTGCAACTTTTTCATGATATGAAAATTGAAAATGAGACACAATAAAACTTGGTATTGGTTGTTCTTTTTATGAATGAATTACTCTGTTTCCAATTTTGAAAATTGTATATTTTTTTTATATATATCATATAAAAGGAAACACCCAATTCAATCTTTCTGACTCCTTCACTATAACAACCTGTAATAACTTCAAACCCAAGCCAACATTACACCAAGAATATCGATCACCATCCATATAACGATTCTCTCTCTATATAAGCAAACCCAATAAGCACTACTTCTCCACCAAACCAACAACAATGGAAGCCAAAGCACCATCATCAACCCTACTAGCTCTCTCCTTCCTCCTCCTCTTCATCTCCTTCCTCTCCCATTCTCAAGCTTCCCACGGCAACCACATTCGAAAACCCCGTCCCAAGCCATGCAAGGAAATGGTGTTCTACTTCCACGACATCATCTACAACGGCAGGAACATGAAGAACGCCACGTCAGCGATCGTCGGAGCCCCAGCTTGGGGCAACATGACCATATTGGCCGGTCAGAACCACTTCGGCGATGTGGTCGTGTTCGACGATCCCATCACGTTGGACAACAACTTGCGCTCGCCGGCGGTGGGGCGAGCCCAGGGGATCTACTTGTACGACAAGAAGGAGATATTCACGTCGTGGCTGGCGTTCTCGTTCGTGTTCAACTCGACGGAGCACGTCGGGACGCTGACGTTCGCCGGAGCCGACCCGCTGATGAACAAGACGAGGGACGTGTCGGTGGTGGGAGGCACGGGGGATTTCTTCATGGCCAGAGGGGTTGCTACGCTGATGACGGATGCTTTTGAAGGGGAGGTTTACTTTCGGCTAAGGGTTGATATTAAGCTTTACGAGTGCTGGTAAAAAAAAAAAAAAAAAAAAAAAAGGGAAAGGTTTTCGCCTTTTCGGGCCGGCTTGTTTGCGTATTTTGGGCCGAATGGGCCCAAAAGATTGCTTGAGCAGATTTTTCTCTGTGTCTTTTTCGATTCTTGGCCCAATTCTCATGGTGAGTTATTGGTCCGCGGCAGGTGTTTTTTTTTATTTTCTTTTCTGTTTGGAATGCTTAGCACGTGATGATTGTGAAGCTGTTCAATTTCATTATGAGGAATGAAGAATGTTAACTTTTTTTTTTTTGTTTATTTGATTGTTTGGTTAAGATTGTATTTATATATGTATTCGTTGGAAGTTTTTTTTTGTTGTTATGAATGATGTATATTATATGTATTTTTTTAATGATTGTATAATCTCAAAAGCTGAAATAGTTGAAATTATTTTCTCCTTTATTGTTCCGATTTTATGGCATGATACTTCTATTTACAGGTGACTTGACCTTTTTAAAAATTTATTGACAAACAAATAAATCTAACATTATAATCTTACAATGCAACCTTTATAATCTTACATGGTAAGTGTGGTAATAAATATAGATCATTGATATTTCATGAAATGTGGAAAAGCCTCCTTGTTTTGCCTTGCAGTTCTTGGCGATCCGGAGATGCAGCCCTTGGCGAGGATCCGGATAGGAGAGCTTGAAGACTGGTGTATTCTAACTCTCTGCCTCCGCCGGCCGTCCGGTTATTCTGCTCGGTTCTCGTGGTAATCGGCGAGAAGTGCGTGGCGATCGGCTCGGGACGAGATGTTTCAGTGGTTGTTTCCTCCTCATCTTGCCTTCCGGGTCTGGTGGGTACCCAAACAATTCCTTGGCTCACGGCGACGCTCAAAGGATGGGTGGCGGCGACTTGTCGGGAGCGGTGGTGGTGCTTGCAGCGGCGGTGGATGTTCAGAGGGGGCACGTTGGCGACTAGGGTTTGGGAATGCTCTTGTTCGGGCTTTTTCTTTTCCTTTCTGCTTTTGTTGCTTGTACACTTCCTTTGTGAGCTCGGCCCAGTCGTTTATCCTAATGAACTCATCTTTAAAAAAAAAAAAAAAAAAAAAGAACACTGGTATCTAGCTACAGAAAACTACTCACCGGTCGCCACCTACCAATCATATCTCAGAGCTGTGTGTGTTTTTCCCCCTTCTATCTTGAATCATCCACCTACCACGATCTCATTCTCATCTTCTAACATGTGCTATTACTGGTCCTCAGTCCTCACCTACCTACTATTATGAATTTACATTCCCACGTACAAAAAGACAACACAGAAAAGGATAAATAAAAGCAGCAACCCAGAACTTTTTCTGATACTGATAGCAGGAACCCAAAACTTATCTTCAGTTCATCCAATCTGGCTATAGTACTAACAGGGTTTTGTTAGCACTGATAGCACGTATTAACAAGTTCCTATTACTGAGAAATTTTATAATACTATATAGTATTTGTGTTATAGGTTTTTACTTTTATGGTACAACTTAAAATTGTACATTTATGTTATTGTACAACTTCATATTGATCCTGTACTTTTTGTACAAATTCTTTTATGGTACAACTTGAACTTGTACCTTTATGTGATGGTACAACTTCAAATTGTAAAGTTGTACCATAACATAAGGGTACAAATTGCTTTATGGTACAACCTAAACATTATACATTTAATGTTATGATACAACTTTAAGTTGTACATTAAAATACCAATACTATATAGCATAGTAGAAGTGCTCCCTATTACTACCATATTGTATGGTGAGTAACATTTTGGAGCAAATAAACGCGAGAGTGATGAATCGCAATACGATTATTGTCTGATTGCCATTCATGATCGTAACGGTCGTTTATATTTTGTTTGATTTTACTTATCATAATTTTTTTTAAGTAATAACGCAAATGGTTTTGCATTTTGTGAAATATTATTTGAATAAATATTGACGGTTTGCTGAGGGCTAGAATAGTTTTTTTTATAAGATTAACATTACTATACTGAAGTCGATGAAACTTCAATCTAGCGCCTTATCTTTATATTCACGAGGGTGGAGAAAAAAATGAGTTGAATTGACTATAATCTACACAATGATATTTATTTTGATATATTTCAAAATTTATAAATTGATTTTACAAACGGGTGAACAACTATTACTATGTGTTGGAATAACTACTACTATTATATGAATAAAATAAACACAAAAATGCGTAAATTATGTGTTGGTGACACTCTGCAAAGACAACAAACCTTCTTCATCACGAGCGTACCATATCTACTGTACAAATGAGGAAAATATGAGGCCCCTTGACTAATCTTGTGCTAAACTTTACTCCAGCAATCATTTCAGTGTTAGTAAACGGTATATGATCCACGATTGAACCTCTTCCAACAATTCGAGTTATTGGGACCAACTAGTTCTTGACATGGTATCAGAGCCTTCTGTGACCGTGAGGTCTTCTGTTCGATTCCCGGTGACCCCCATCTGTTTCTGTTAAGCACACGGTGTCCAGACCTGTGCCTATCCAAACTATATGATCCACGATTGAACCTCTTCCAACAACTCGAGTTATTGGGACTAACTGGTTCTTGACATTCAGTATCAAGAGCATACTTCTGTTAACAAAGATCTGTCTCACGAGGTTTACATGTACAACAGGCTGATGCATGATACAGCCATTGTCACCCAATACGCTCTGGCGCTCCCTAAAATTGATACTTATGGAACGGAACGGACATTACTTGTCTTTTCCACAAACTATTAACCAGTCGTGGATTTAGTATTTACAAAAAGCCAGACTCTGTATGGAAAAAGCCATATATCTGAAAAGGATTGGTCCTAACTCCTACGTACTTAACTTTATGAACAATAATGCATCCATCCACCACTAGATTTTCACTATAAAAAGCCCCCGGCCATGCATGTCAAATCTACAGCCAAAATACTCGATAGAAGTACACACCAAAAGACAACCAAAAAAATAAAATAAAAAAATCTCACGAGATGAAGAAAACCCATATTACCCATGATTCCCTCCTCCTTATCCTCCTCGTTGCCGCCACCTTCTTCTTCACCTCATCCTCCGCCACGTCCCGCAACACCGACTCCAAGAAGAAACCTTTAGTCCCATGCAAGAAGCTCGACCTCTACTTCCACGACATCCTCTACGACGGCCACAACGCGGCCAACGCGACCTCCAGCATCGTCGCCAGCCCGGTCGGCGGCTCGGGCACCCGAACCGCCCTGTCCCCGAGCTTCCACTTCGGCGACGTCATCGTGTTCGACGACCCCGTCACGTTGGACAAGAACATCCACTCGACCCCTGTGGGCCGGGCCCAAGGCTCGTACATCTTCGACGCCAAGTCCACGTACTCGGTGTGGCTGGGCTTCGCGTTCGTGCTGAATAGTGCGGACTACAAGGGCTGCATCACGTTCGCCGGGGCCGAGCCCGTGACGCTGAAGACCCGCGACGTGCCGGTGGTGGGCGGGACCGGGGACTTCTTCATGCACCGTGGGATTGCGACGACTAGTGATGAGGTTGTGGACGGTCACCTTTGTGTTCGGGTCCAGATCAGGTTTTATGAGTGTTACTAAGTGGGGTTTTGGGCCGGGCCTGTCATGGGCTTTTAATTAGCACTTGTTTAAAAGAAAACAGTGTGGTTTGCCTGCGAGGCCTGTAAGAGTTAAGAAGCGAGATTGAGTTTCGGAGAGAGCCCATGTTGGCGTTTGGTTAAGAATCGAAAATAAGTTTCAAGAGACCATATTGCTGTTTGAATAATCATGTGGCTTTGTACTTTTCCCCCACTCTACGATGCGGGGATACTTGTAGGTATTTTTGTGTTGGTTTGTTTGACAGTTAGCTCATCTTACCGTGAAAAATGCTCTTTGTTGATTTCTTGATCTCGTTTTGATTGTTAATCTAAGGAAGAAAGAAGAAAAAAAAAACACAATTGTTGGTTGCAATGTAGTCAAAATCGCGCTTTAAAACTTAAAAACTTACGATTTTACGTTTCTAGATCACTAAAACGCTTCTACACAAAAACTCAGTTTTTATACCTTATGTAGTTAAAAAATCCGCTTTAAAATTTAAAAACTTACAATTTTATGCTTCCAGATCACCAAAATGTTTCTACATAGAAACTCGGTTCTGACTACATTGGTTGGATGTTGCTCCAAGTTGTTAGAGTGTGGTATAAGATCCAGCATAACCTTCTTCTAACAACTCGAGTTATTAGGATCAACTGGTTCTTGACATGTTATCAGAACTGGTTTGACCAAGTAGTCTTGTGTTCGAATCTCCACGACCCCAATAAAGTTCACCTTGTTCTTCTTCTTTCGGCCCACATATTGGGCTTCGGTCACCATATCTTTGTTATTGGGCCTGAAAGAACCTTCATCCTGCCTTGCGCTTCGGCCCATCAAATTTCTAGGTAATTTATATGCTCGCAACCGCCGACGAGTGAAAAAAGGCGGCAAGTTCCCCCGACGAGCGAGCGAGCATGCTAACGGCTCTCTTGGATTCCCGATCGTCCTCTCCGTCTCCAATCGTCTTCTCCAATCAAAGGGTATTCGCATTGGTCGCTGGCAGTTCCGGAATCAACACTTTCAGACCATTACTTCGTAAGCGCTTTCTTGATTTCCCCCCTTACCTTACTTCTCCGAGCTCTAGTTACGACTTACGACGCGTTCTCCGACTTGCAATTCGTCCATCTCATTCTTCTTACTTGTTGTTCGGGAAATTAGGTTTACATATGTATTGTTTACCAAAAAGCCAATCCTTCCATTTGAATATGTTTTCGTTTACCAGAGAACATTTCATTTTCTATGTATAAATTGGCCCCAAAATTTGAGCTAAAAAATGGTGAAGGATGCTATCATTTGCTCCACCTCTTTGCAGATAGCAATCAGTTCTCTTAGATCATAAGAACACAACAGACCACCCTACCTCCACACCATAGTAGCACATAATTATAAAAAATAATAGATCAAACCTAGGGAACCAGAATACTCAAAATTCATTCACTCAGTTTGTTTCTCTCATCAGTTGTTGGTAGAGTGAGACCAGTACTCATGAACGAGCTGGCGAAAGAGAGATCCTTCCTCTTTCATCAGATTTCCCGGTTCATCATACTCTGCCAACTCCCCTGTAACAAACAAACAAACCAACCAATGGTTTAATGTTCTATGTAAATCCTAATGAGTTCAGGATTTTAGGCGGACCCAAATAGAGAGAAAAATAATGTTAGATAACTATGTATTAATATTTGGTCACATACCGTCGGCCATGGCGAGAACCTTGGTACTGTCCATGACAGTGGGGATTCTGTGAGCTACGGTGATGACGGTGCACTCTGCAAACTCTGTCCTAATGATCCTCTGAAGGATTGCATCTGTGGTATTGTCAATGGAAGCTGTTGCTTCATCCAGCACCAAAATCTTGCTTCGCTTTAGCAGTGCTCGCCCCAGACAGAATAGCTGCCTCTGCCCCATGCTCCAGTTTGATCCATCTTCTGCAACTGCAAAGCCAATATGAATGTTGGTAGCAATAGCATTACTTTTCTTTCCCTTTCTCTTTTTAAATACCAACCACAAGTCATTTAGTAACTTTTTGGTTCAAGTTACCTACATTTCATATCTAAAGCTTAAGAACCCTTAAATTTGGTATTTGATATCAACATACGTTGTTCAATATTGATGAGTCTACCACAGTATAATCAACTCTAGTAGAAGGTTATCCTTGTGAAGACGAATGAATGTATTCTGAAAGCATAATGATATAGCTATTCCATTACCTGATGTGTCAAGGCCTTCTTCCTTCTGCAGAATGGCTTCCCGTAGCTGGCATTTCTCCAGAACTTCCCATATTTCTGGGTCAGTATGCCGAGACAAAGGGTCCAGATTGTACCGCACCGTGCCACAGAAGAGGGTTGGATCTTGTGGGATGATTCCGAAGTGTGATCTTAGGTCATGTAGTCCTATTGTGGAGATGTCAATCCCATCTATTATGATTCTTCCTTCCGTGGGTTCCACCAGCCTGAACAATGTGCTGATGAGAGTTGTCTTCCCACTCCCAGTCCTTCCAACTATCCCAATCTTGCTCCCTCCCTCGACCCTGCAGCTTATGCCATGCAGAACCAGTGGACTGTTCTTTTGATACCTCACCTTTAAGTTACAGATCTCCACTTGGCCATGACTTGGCCAGTTGGCTGGAGGCCTTACACTCTCAATCACAGGTGGAGCTTCACTAGGAATATGCATATACTGTTCTAGCCTCTCTACTGAAATGATTGATTCTGCTGTGAAGCACTGGTACTGAATTGATAATATGAGGAATACATTTAGTGATAGACCATATGACAGTGCCATACCAACAAACCCTGCAGTGAAAGCAAATCATGTGAACATACACCACAGTTGAGATTGCTAAACCTTAATGTCTTCACTATTGAATTTTAAGGATTGTTACCTGAAGCAGAATCACCAAGAGGTAGCAAAATCATGGTGAGTGCTGCAGCTGAGAGAACAATTGCACAAGGAATCTCGAGTCGTTGGATCAGCCACTGGCTCGCTGAGAAGTTGTGGAAGTAAGTGCTTGCATTTTTGTCAATAAGACCAAGGTTCTTAGCTAAGAATCTTTGTTCCTCCTCGAAAGCTCTGATCGTCATGGCTCCAGCGATGGATTCGGCGAGATGGCTCACAACGGATGACTTTGTTGTCCCGTTGATCCTCATTAGCTCTTTTGCCGTATTGTAGTAGTATCTCTGTGTGAAGAAATACATCTTGAAGTACAAGAGAGGTAAAAACTTTCATGATTCGGGCAAAAGTTCGTAGTAAGTACCTGTAAGACCATGATTAGATAAAGGATGGGCATGATTATGAACAAGACAGGCCATGCTAGAATAGCTAATATGGCCAAGCTAGTGTATGCATTCAGAGTTGATCCCAGTGATACTGTTAACTTAAATGCCAGCTCAAGGTCTATGATGCTTAAATCAGAAGAAACCTGTTGAGCCACAGAAGAAAAAAGAGGGAATTGGCTTCATCAATATCATGAACTTTGAACAGATTTTAAAGCTGATTTTCCGTAGATTTCTTACCCGGCTGAGTATTCTTCCCAGAGGGGTAGAGTCATAGAAAGACATCGGTGCCCTGAACAGGGAGTTCATGAGTGTGGAAAAGATTGATTCTGAAGCATCACAGCCGAGTCTAACTATGGAAAGACTCCTCAAGAACATGAAGAATGGCAATGTGCATCCAATGGCAGTGTATAGACTGAACAGTGTCACTCTACTCACTCCAGGATTCTGAATGTTAGCAGCTAATAGATAGTTCTGTGACAGTTGCCCGACGATGAACAAGAATTGGAAAAGGACTGTCAAGAAGCAGAACATGAATCCATTCTTCTTGCTCAAGTAATCTATGTAAGGCTTGAAACCAGTATCCCCTGTTTCCCTTTCTTCCTTCTTTATCAACTGATGATCTCCTGATGCTGCTAAATTGGGTTCTTGCTTATCAACCTGCTTTATCTCTGTGGTTGAAATATCAGCTGTAGTCTCTCCACTAGCATCATGCTGGCTTTTTCTCCCTTCAGTTGTTGCGTTCTTGTGGGCATTGACCAGTTCATTGAACTCTTGACAGGATTCTAGCATCTCATCGTAAGTGCCGGTTCGCAAGATTTCACCTGAAGACATTAACTGCCAGAATGGACCCAATATGAAACATTTAAAGTCAGGAAAACAAAACCAGGGTTTTGGTTCATTCATGTAAGTTTCAAGGATCTGATTACCAGGATCAAGTTGAATGTTGGAAGGAAGTCAACTTGATGGGTCACTAGTAAAACAGTCTTCCCTAATAGAGCTTCCATCACATATTCCTGCCAGCTGAATCATTTTAGTTTCTACGAGAGAGACAAAGACTACGGTGAGGAGTAAGTGAAGTGAGTTTACATTGAACAGACTGGTTGCAGTATGTGCATCAACAGCACTAAATGGATCATCCAACAGGTATACATCTGCATCCTGATATAAAGCTCTAGCAAGTTGAACCCTTTGCTTCTGTCCTCCGCTAAGGTTAACTCCTCTTTCTCCGATTTCAGTTAAGTCCCCATTTGGAAGCATTTCCAGATCCTTCACCAGGGAGCACCTCTTCACCACCTCTTGGTATCTAACCGGGTCCATGGAAGACCCAAACAAGATGTTCTCTCTTATTGTTGCAGTTTGAATCCATGCCGTTTGAGAAACATATGCTATTCTTCCATAAACGTTGATTGTACCATTGATTGTGGGAACTTCTCCCAGGACCGCAGCCAACAGTGTTGATTTCCCTGATCCAACTTCTCCACAAATGGCCACCTTCTTTCCCAGTCCAACCACCAAGTTTATGTTCCTCAATGTAGCCTTAGATGACGTAGTCTCCATGCTCCATGAAATTTCAGTAGATTGGATGAAGATGGGATTTATGCTTCTGTTGTTGTTGTCCTTTTGCCTAATGCTCCTGTGCTGCAACTCAGGTGCCTCGAGAAACTTTCCTATTCGATCCAACGACACTTTAGCTTCTATGTACATAGTAGCCACGTCAGGCAACATTCTAATTGGTTCCTGAACAATTCTCAATGTTGCTAAGAATGTGAAGACATTGCTAGCATTGAGTGGAATGCTGAGCAAGTAGCAAGCCCAGAAAGTAATTGCTGAAACTATCACAGGAGATGACCAAAACAGGATCATTATGCAGCCTCTCTGGAAAAGCACCATGGAAATGGAAACAAGCTCTTCTCTCCTAATTTTCTCTATGACTCCCCTGAAATGATTCTCCCAAGCATACAGCTTCAATACCTTCATGTTTGCAAGCGCCTCGGTTATCGCCTTCAGCCTCCTGTCTTGCTGTTGGGTGAGCCTTGTTTGATATGTAAGCTGTGATTTGGTCAAGGGGGAGCTTCCAATGACTGTTAACACAATGGCGACAAAAGCTGCTATTGTTGCCATTCCGATGGAGTAGTAGACGATGAGCAATGCGAGGAATAGCTGGAGGCCGGTGGTCCAAATCTTATGAAACCAATATGAAAACTCTCCTACTCTATATGCATCTATGGTGACGTAGCTCATAATCTCACCTGGGGAGTGTGTGATCCTAGCAGCATTTGAAAGAACTAGTTGCTTCTGGTAGATGGCTGCTGATAATAGAGACCTCACTCGAACCCCAACTGATCTAATTTGGAATTCGTATTGCCTCTCCGAGATTGACTCAATGCATTTGGCTGTGAGGAGTGCTAATGTGAGCACATAGACCTCATGTTTGAAAGCTGGCTTGTGCTCAGCGACATCAATGAAGGACTTTAGGAGCAAAGGGCCGGTGGAGAGAGTGAGTAGCTTGAGCAATGCAAAGAAGCCAGATAGCAGAATTTCTTTCTTGTAGCAAGAAAGTAGTGTTGACCATAATGCAGGTGGTGGCTCATTAGTTGATCCTGTTTTGACTTTCCATTTTCTTAATCTCTCCAAGTAAGTTGAGTAGCATGTTTCGGCTTGGTCTTGCTCTCTGAGGAATGGGATGTCCTCATCTTGAAGAACTTTCTCTTTGCCTTTTTTCATCAATGGATTCAGCCACCAGAATGAAAGCCTGCTGAAGAATCCAGCTTTGGCAAAAGGGCTGACCTTTTCATCATCATCAGTAGAACCCATGGACATTTCTTCTTTGCCAAGCAGAGGTGTATGGTAGGATTGAGAAGTGATCTTTCTTCTTAGGGCACAGGAAAGAAGCAGAGCTGCCCCTGGAAGCGACAAGATATCTATAACCATTTTAGCAGACACAGTCTTGTTCTCCATAACTATGGCTTGCCAAAGAGAAGTGAAGCAGAGAAAGGCGGAGAGAAGAGAGAAGGCCAAAGCTGAACACAACTTCATGGCAGCTGAAACTTGAAAATTGGTTTGTTTGTTACTACTGCTACTGCTACTACCACCGCCACCATTCAGGCTTACACACAAATTCAGCATCAAGAGTGCCAAGCCTTGGAAGAGCAATACCATCCATCTTTGTAGTGGCAAGATAATGTTAGAGAGTTCCCATAAACCAAACCCGAAATAGAGCATGCTCACGAGGCTATTGAAGATGGCCGAGGATATCAACAGTTTGGAGAAGGCATCTGAGAGCGGTTCATGAGCTGCGGTGAATTTCTTCCAGATGCTTGCTGCTGCTGACTTGTTGCAGATGAAGATGAATGAGGTGGTGAGCAGTAAAACGAGGTCTATGCAAAGTGTGATGACATGATCAAGACACGAGTCTGGATTGATAAGGTCGATGCTGGCTGACCAACATTCTTTTCCAAAGCCATCTGAGCATCCTGAAGCTCTGCAGAACATGGTCCAGAGACCAACCTCTTCCTCCATCGTATACCTCTATTTCAATGAAGCAGGATGACAAACTTGATGATAGTTCTTGATAAGGGAAAAGACAGTCAAAGTGAACTGTTCATATGACGATCTCCGTCCTGGTTTTTCTAAGATAATGAAAACTGCAGCAGCAGCATGGTTTCCAAATGTCCAACTTGAGAGATGATGATTGTTGTTGAAGAAAGGTTGTAGTGTTTTATAAAGTAAAAGTAATAACATAGATATCAAATGCACTCAACTCATCAAAAAGTTGCTCAAAGGAATATATTTGGGGATCTGTGTGTTTCACACCATGTCCATGGCAGAATCAAGAGCAAGAAAAGCATGCAGAGAGCACAAAACCTCGACTAAAACCTCCTTAAATCATTGTTTAATCCTACCAACCCACAACACAAACTAACCTCGACAAACGAATGTTATGCTTGACTTGCTGCTCCTGGTTGGTTGTCTTGCCTCTTCCTTCCCTTCTTTGGTTTTTTCTTAGTATCTACTCTCTAATGTTGTAATTGTTGTAATTAACATGTCCTGACCTGATGAGGATCATTATTGTTGTATAAATAATTGAAAGAAACAGGAAAGGAAGAACCTTTTTTTCTTTTGCTTTCTTTTCAGTCGTCTTTTACCCTGTGCGTGTCTAGTGGGAAAGTAACTAACCTAAGTAAGCTTCTGTGTTCCACACTAATAATGGTTTTCGTGTCTGGTTAGAATTTGTTTTGACCATCCAATTTTTCTAATGGATAGATAGTCAGCCCTGCCGGCTAGCCTTAAGTTTGGAGGGTGAAACTGAAACATCAAAGATCCCTTCATTCAGCCGTCCTTGTCCTTCGTCGACTCCATGCAGCATTGGTCTTCTCACATATCAACTTCATCAGTCATTTCTCTTTTCTTGGTACTTTCTCGCTCATGAAGGTTGTCAAGACGTAAAAGCCACTAATTTGTCTGGTACAAACTCTGATACAGTTTCGCGACCTTGCATTCGATACAATTTCACAAACCATGACGTAAAAGGATGTGGTTCATCTGCTGCTTATTGCATGGTGCAACACAGGACGAGTTCTCCAGCTTTCGTAATCCGCATACAGAGAATGTCCCCTAAAAAGGATTTTCAGAATCCTTTGCTTCCCTATAATAGATGAAATGAAGTTCCCTTCTCGCAATGTACAACAACAAAAAAATAATATGGTGTGTTGATTAATTCTCAAGCACTTCTCCATCAAAACTTCTTTGCAGGCTGCAAACTAGGAGGAAGAATAATAGTAAGCAACCCCCATATGCTCGAGGGTGTGTGTCAGCATTCAATCCGAACAGCGCCACTCTGTGAAGAAACGAACTTGGGCTTCCGAACGACTTGCTCCAAGCACTGGATCACATCTCCAACACGGTAATCTTGGCAATCACGGAGCATCATTCCGCACTCGCTCCCTTTACCGACTGCATCCACGTCCTGTGTCTCTCGTTTGAGGGACGAGCAGCATCCTTCGAACACGACTTCACCGCTCCTAAGGAGCCTCATCGTTGATGCTCTGCTGACTCGGCCATCTATCACCTTGCAGCCCGCAATCTTCATGTCTCCTCCTGCGGCTTTGCTCCTCCCCTTCAGTTCGAAGATGCTAAGGACTTCGGCCTCTCCGGCTACTTGAGTCTCAGAAGTCCCGGGAGCTTTCTCTACTATCATGTTGCCCACGTCCTCTAAAAGGCGGTAGATAACTCGATGCAGCATGATCTGCATATTCATTCGACCGACCCATTTAAAGAACAAACGATTCAAGAATTGCTGAAGAATCCGGATAAAGAAAACAATCAGAAGTTACGTACCTTTATGCCGGATTTAGTTGCTGCAAGACTGACTGAACCAGGTGGAGTTTTGACATTGAATCCAATTATGCACGCACCACATGCCTGAGCTAGATCGATATCCGACTGACTGATTGGACCCACGCCTAAATGGACTACATTCACGAAAACCTGGTAGCACCATCCCAAAGAACAAGATATTAACCAACAAGTGACACAAGAAGATAGCTATGAGAAGTCAGAGACTGTTTTAGTTTTTTTAATGTTATCACCGACTCTGGCTCATGAATGCTGATCCCACTACAGCTACAATGTGCGAATAAAGAAGTTGCTTGACTTTTTAAGTTTGAATCGATGCTAGTCATGAGACCAGATATAATACTGTTAAGCATATAATACCTGAGGACTGTTTAAAGTCTTCAAAGCATCAGTGACAGCCTGGACAGTTCCTTGAACATCTGCTTTCACTACAATCGGCATCTCAACCCTTACAGCTACAGGCCCATCTTCTTCTGATGGTTCCTCAACCATAGGCCTGTCCTCCATAATCTGTCTCAGCCGATCTTTCTCGAACTTTTTTTTCCTACCAGCACTCAGCATTCTAGCTCTCTCCTCGGATTCCACAACAACGATATCGTCTCCAGCCATAGGAAGCCCCTTCAGCCCTTCAAGCACAACTGGCATTGCAGGTGTCGCCTGCTGTGCCAACTTCCCTACCATATCCCTTATAGCTCTTATTCTCCCCCACTCTGACCCCACCACAATGTGCTGCCCAGAGACCAAGGTTCCTGCCTTCACTATTGCTGTAGCCAGTGGTCCACGACCTTTGTCGAGTTTTGCCTCCACGACATAAGCTTGAGCTGGACCATCGACACGAGCTTTCAGGTTCATCAACTCTGCTTGAAGAAGCAAGCATTCCTCCAAGTCATCCAACCCAGTTTTCTTAACAGCGGAGACTTCAACTACCTGGACATCACCGCCCATTTCCTCTAGCTGCAAACCCTCTGATGCTAACTGAACTTTGACTCTCTCTGGGTCCGCAGCTGGCTTGTCACATTTGTTGATAGCAACCACAATTGGCACATTGGCTAATTTTGCATGGGACACAGCTTCCAATGTTTGAGGCATCACCCCATCATCAGCAGCAACTACAAGAACAACAATGTCGGTGACTGCTGCACCTCTTGCTCGCATCGCACTGAATGCAGCATGGCCTGGCGTGTCGAGAAATGTGATTGATGCCCCAGATGTCATCCCTACCACGAAAGCACCAAGGTGCTGAGTTATTCCACCAGCTTCAGTGGCAGCCACTGCTGTTTGGCGCAGGGCATCCAGGAGAGATGTCTTTCCGTGGTCAACATGACCCATGACTGTAACAACTGGAGGTCGTGGAAGGATTTGTGAGCCTTCGGATGAATGTTGCCTCTTGACATTAACCCCAACCTCCTGCAAGAACCAATATGAAGCCATTTCCTGTAAGCTTCTAAACAGGCAAAAAGTATTTTGGTCTAAGAAAGATGGTGATGATGATGAAATAGAACTACTATCTTGTAAGAGTCCTAACAACCCTAGCCCTAGAGTCTATGTGGAGCATTGATCATGAACTGCCACCCAGAAAAGTATTGATAATCAAATAACTGAAATTATTCAAATTCTGTCGGTAGTATACTAGAGATTACAGAAGTATTTGTTCCCACTCTGTTAGCTAGCATGGTTATGCTTTTCTTTGAGGCATAATGAGAAAAGAGAAGTACCATAGCAATGAGCTCCGCAACATCAATGCTGAGAGGATCAAACTCTGACCCGGGCTTTTCCCCAACATTAAGAAGAACATCCTGTAAGGTGCTGATTGACTCACCAGTACGCTTGGCAAGTTCAACGATGGTCATGCCTTCAAATATGTCGACCATTTTAGCTTGAGAGGACTTCATATATTGTTTTAGTTTAGGGGGCACGTATTTAGCTTCAACAGGAGGTTTCATCTGTGCCTTGTCCCTTCTCTTAAACTTCCCTTTCCTTTCTGTCTTTAAACCCAAGGCCTCATCAACTGCTTTTCTGCTATATAGGGCCGGAGTGTTATGAAAGTACCTGTTCAAGATAACAAAATGGTTTCCTCATTCCAGGCCGAAAGTAGAAAATGTTATCACAAACAAAGATAAATGAAACACAAGAAAAGTCTAAAAGGAAAAGGGGAAAGACAGCACCAGAAAGGAAGATCGAGATATCAAAAGTAGCCCAGAGTTTTTTTGCTATACGCTTGTAAAATTCAGTTAAACATATTCCTTTTTATGCCTCCTTTGACTAACCAAATGCCTGGTTAGAGAAGGACTGTAGAGCAAGATGATGCTACCACTATACTACAACATCAAAACCGAAGTAGCTTCTCCTCGCTTCTAACTCTAATTACACAAAGTCCAACGGGAAAATCCAGAAGATTGAATCAGAAGAAACAGAAAAGGTGGTAGAATCACTAATAATCTTGTAGCCAAAGAACAGAGGCGAGGGATTGCAAGAGAGTAGTGAAACTATGATCCACATGAAAGATGAATATAAACGTACCGGATGAAGGATTCTTTAGTCAGAACATTGCCATGAGAAGCGCCAGGTAAAAGAGAGCCACTAGTAAAGCCTGCAACTCATATGTTATACAAGTGAGCCATGATAGTGAAACAAAACTTTCTTAACCACAGCTCCAGAACACCAACACAAGCACTACCCTTGAGGATTAAGATCGTCATTTATAGAAGAAAATCAAGTCAATTGATATCCTAGATTAAGAGTTGCCGTGCAGTTAATGCCTTATACTGCCGCTCGGGCAAGCTTTTACAAAATGATTCAGTACAGTAGACAAGATAAACTCACTAAACTGGAAAGGCAGAACTTCTGCTAGTAAGATATGATAATGAACCAAACAAGAAAGCAGACAATAGGCTTTTGTCAAAACATATCATTGAAGCAAGTGAATATCCAGATTGCAGGTTACCTTGTCTACAATTAGCAGCTGAAACTGATCTCACTGTGAAGTCAAGGTTAACTTTAGAGGTTGACCCAACTATATGTTCTTGAGATGACAAAATGACGCGTCTGCCAAGAGGAGACCGAATACCCTGAAAAACAGAGAGTAAGATATAACTTTATCAATGCCAGACCTACCATTACAGAGTTCCACATTCGAAACCATATCTATGGATAATAAATTGACAAATACAATACATCAGCTAGGTATCCCGTTTTTGGGACCGAGGAAAGGAAGTACAATGCTGATAGGAAGTACAATGATAGGAGATCTCTTCCTAAAAGGTATAATATCACCATAACCAGAATGAATCTGAAAAGTCGAGGGCAAAGCCGAGAACTTAATGCATAACCAAGGGATTTATGTAATCAGCAATATCAAGCATAATATTGCACTTTATGGTCCCAAGATATAAGCCAATATGAGGGATTGAGTTACCTAAGCCAATAGTTCTTAGTTCAAAAGAACAGTAATCATATAATTTACGATTAAGGCATCAATGATAAGTGTTTCAACTGAAATCTCATAAGCTCAAACACAGTCCATCATCTCAATTGAAATCTCATAAGCTCGGCAATGCTTTGTGAAACTCCTATATAAGGTAAGGTTCAAGAACACAATCTACCTTATCACGAATCGCTCTCCAAGCCATTGACAAGCTTCTGCAACTCTGCACAAACCATCAGGAAGAAAACATTCAGTTAGAAATCATCGAGCACCAACACCCCCAATAGAAAAAGGGAAAGACACACAAGCTTGTGGCCCTATCGGCTTCCAAGATACCATTGATTTCTTGAGAAGACAACTATTGCCCTTTACACTCCATAACCAATGTGCTTTTTCTCGTTATAAAACTTGTTACATAAACCAGAACACAGAACTCAAAATTCCATATCCAATACCTTATTCTAGTCCCACCCCATCTTAGTAAGCAGGCAAAAGAACCAAACTTTCTATCCATCTTCCGTAAATTATAAACAACCCAAGAGGAAGGCGCCAACCCAAACTGAACCCTTCTCATTGATACACAAGCTACAATGCTTACCTTCCGGCAACAAAAACAAACAGCGCCACAGAAGAATCAATGCCGCAACCCGCAAGCCAATTACGAACTACGGAACGAATCCTTAACGAAGAGCTCGCAATTCATGAACCAAACTAGTCCGCTTCGCATCAATGAGATCGTCAACGACCGAAAGCTGTCTCCGCTGCCCCGTGTATCCAAAAGATTCAAACTTGGAAGCTGTGTTTATGAAATTTAGCGGAGAACAGGGACAGGCGGGAGCCGAGGTTCTCCCGGCCGCAACTGCTACTCCGGAAAGACGGTCCGGTCCGGGTTTGAGGTATGATGTGAAGCTGCGAGTGGGGAAGGGATTATCTCACAAGTCGTAACACATTTTTAAGGAGTATCAAACAAGCCCTCTGCTTTAGGTCATATACAAACTAACACCTCTACTTTAATTTTGTAACTAAAAACGTGAAACGCCCCCTCCATTTTCCATATGATATGAGTGATTGATTATAAAAAAAGAAATTTCCATATGGGTCCTTGGTTATAAATAACTAAAAATTTCATATGGGTGAGTGACTCTGTCTAAGGATGCCCTAAAATTAATGATGGCAATGGGGCGGGCAGGTATTTTAGTACATACTCGTCTGAATTAAGTAGGATTGAGTAATATCAGCGCGAGTACGGACAGATAGGCCAATCATTGTTATGTATTATTGAAAAAAATTCTGTTATTTGATGATGCGGAATTTAAACGAACACACGAAACAAAGGATTTTACGTGGTATCCTTGATCGATTGATTGATCGAGACTAATCCACGGTGAGCTCATAAGAGCTCACGACTGATCTCTTATTAGGATTACATCTTGACGGCTTGCTTACGACAATCTCGTAGCTAAGCTTATATAGACGTAGGGTTAAAACCCTAATGACAACCAAGTTTCCTTCTTTGACAAGGACAAGGAAACAAGGGATTTTGAGGACAAGGAATTAATTATTTTTGACTAAATAATTAATATCCTCAACAAATAGTACACATGCTCGCCCCAAGTAGTCGGATATTAATCACTCAGTATGGATCAAGCCGAGTAATACCCGACAGAGCGAAATCGAATTAGCATAACTACCTAAAACGTAAGAAAGTTTATTATGGGCGTAGTTGTAAACAAATTTCATCCAACTTGAGCAATCAAATCCATTGAAGCAATCTCTTGGAGACATAACTTTATTAAGAAATCGAGTGAGATTTTTTACATTAAGGTGACAAAAGAATTTTTATAGTTAGCTGTGGGAACATTTTGTTGAATGGGGAAAAAGATGGATCAAGGACAGGCTCTAAATAGAGTGCCAGATCAAGGGACTAGCTTGTTTTACGATTAATTTGAACATCAATTTGTATCACATTAGACTTGTTATGTGGATTGCGGTTTTAACAAAAGCAGCTTCTTCTTGGAGCTTCCAAGAAAAAAACAATTGTTTGATGGAATAACTACGTTCCTTTTCACATAGAAAATCTTTGTTCAGCATGAAAAGCAATTGAGTGTACACAGACATTAGGCATACACCAAATGCAAAAAGGATCAATCACAAAAGTCACCACTTGAATTCCACAAACATTTTTTTCGTTCTGTTTATTATTGCATACACTAACGAAAACAACAGAATTCTCTACGAATAGCAAGTTATTTGGCAAACACGAAAACAAATACACAACCCCAAACAATCGGTGATATGTTCTACAAAACCATCGAGTTTCTGGACATAAGAGGTGGCAATTCATAATACGTGAAAACAATTATACAATCACGGACATCAAGCAGCAACCTGGCTGAAGAGTAACTTGCGGATCTGCAACACACAACAAGAACAAGCAAAGAATTCAGTTCAGGTTTGAAAGGTAATCCACATTAATCCACACCGAACAGTTTTCAACAGTCATCGACATGCGAATCTATTTCAGGAATGGAGGTGAACAGGAACGTTCATCCTAAGATTCAACTTTCAGGAATCCCAATAGCTGGGAAGCAAGAGTTCTATTATCAAGCGCTAATGGAAGAAAGGCAGAGGCAGGGTAAGGGTAAAACGTTAGACGAAAACGCTCTATGGGGAGGAAGTTGAAGCATGGAGTGCTTGTTCCTGCTCTAGAAAAGAAGTGAATGGGAAAAGGTTTGATTTAATCAATGAAACAAGTACACATTTTACATTCCAAATTTAGCAACAATTCGTCCTATTCCTCACAGCTTACTCAAATCCCAAAGTCATCAATAAATTAAAACTCGTTTCCAACTTTGTTCCTTTATAACAAGAATCTACTTGCCTATAATAGTTACTGCCTAACGCCTGTTAATTTTTTTATTATTATACCGTTGTTAAACACACACACCCATCCTGTTAGTTACTTTGCATTGCTGTAAACATTTCATAGCCATCAATTCTACTTTTTCTAGAACTCGATCAAATCCTAATCGGAAAAGAAAATGAACTCAGCCAATCCTGATTCATTTCTTCTACCAAACATAATAGTGTCAACTCTCTGTTGCAAGAATGTAAAAATAGAGAGAATAACAGTGTTCATACCACGGGGAGCTTCTGACGGAACACAACATCCAGACGTGCATCGAGGGTATTCTCAAACACGATCTTCCCATCTCGGGACGCTAGGACCACACCTCCAGAGCTAAGCCAGAAAACATTGAAAGTTATCAGGAGAAGGATTTGATTGATCTGCAAACCTCTAAACAAACCCAGTACTATACTAGTAAATTTAATGTTAACCATAAACTTACCAAGAAAGAGCATGAACATTGTGGTGGCTAGGAGCAGGTGGCAGATAGATTTGATGGTCCAACAGAATTTCTGGTGCATGAACCTGTGCCTTTTCAGCATATTCCTCTTTGGCGGATTCCAAGACAGATTCTACCAGATTGACGTCCGCCTCACGGCAACGCAGCAAGACAGCAGGTTCCTTCAGTCTAAGCAAGCTCTGTAACCAGCCAAAAAGTTGCATAGCAATATCAGAACCGAAGACAACTAAAGTCTCATATGACCATATGTAGGCAATATTTTCTCCAACCGCACCAAGGAAAGCAACCCCATGTGTGGTAACAAATCAGGAACAATGTAGGTTTATGGTCTACAAAGAATAAACATTCACAAGATGTTGACACATCAAACAGGAGAGTAATTCATTATAAAAAAAGGTATCGTTCCGGTCTCAATGATGTATTCTGGTCATCTCTCATAACCCAGTATATGACTGCACGTGTATTGCTCACCTGAACTATGAGATCCTGCAGAAGCTTCTTGTACTTATAATCATCACCGCTCACATTCAGAAGATCCTTAGCTGCTGACTCTTTCATGGAATTGACCACATCATCTTGGGCCTGAAGAACTTTGATCCGGGAAGCATTAAGCTGCATTGAGTACTCACTGCCAAACGAAAATGTAAAGCCCATTTAACACAACAAACCACTTCTTGAACTTCAGTAAACAAAGGGATCATAGGCACAGCAATTGTCAGGCAATCAGGAGCAGGTTCTCAACAGAGAAGATAACCATAGCATCAAATCCTTCCATTCTGAATCAGATACGCACTAAACTTAGCAGTTCAAACATTTCTTACCGTTTTTAAGATTTGGAATCAGACCAAGAAACTTACATTTTTTTACGAACATCGACTTGCTTCTCCTTACGCTCATACTCCTGCCTGATCTTCTTCTTCTCCGCTTCTAACAGCTGCAACTTCTCGATGTTGAATTCCTGAAACACAAGCGACGAGAAATTGTGTATCTCAAAACCACATCCATTCCCATCTCCGCCACAGCATTCACAGAGCAGCAGACCAATCAAATCCAAAAACCCCGGAATCCGACAATCGGACCAGATTCTAAACCACGGCAGTCAAATCAAAATGAAAGAAAACAAAATTCACAAGAGAGATCGATTTTCTGAAAGAAAAGTAGAGAGCATAAAGGTTGAGGGGCGTACCTCTTCGGCAGAGACGGAGATCTCGTTGGCCTTCTCTTCGGCTTCTTGCCGAATGAATCGGCACATCTGCTGGATCTGCTTGGGGACATCGGCATCATTCATGATTGCTTCCGGCCGGCGACTGTGATGGACAGAAGAGATTGGAGAGACAGTGCCAATGGATTGCGATCGGAAGCGATGAGACGGGAGAAGAGAGACTGTCTGTGTGTGGATGAATGAAGAGTTTATAGAGTCCGTGCGTGATTTGAGTAAACTATGGACGCACAGTTTTTTACCTTCTCCTTTTTTTCCCCCTTCGTTCGGCAGTTTTTGGGTTATATATTTCCTCTTGATTTTTAACTTCTTGGTCTATAATATTTGCTAAGCTGCTGATTTTAGGTTTGTATATTGAAGATTTTAGCATAAAATTAGTTGTACTGATCGCATTTGAAAGATTTAGGTTTGTTTCGTATGATAATGTAGAATTACAGCTACCCAATGAAGTTTATTAATAGATTTATTTTTTATAAGAATTATCGGACGAATTTCTAAAATTACATCGAGTAAGTTTCAAAAATACTTAAAATAAAGCAAAGAGTAAATAAATTTGCTCAATTTAATTTATTTAAGTCAAGAATTTCCATAGAGTAAACATGGTGTGGGACTTTGCTACTGCGAATCAGGTTAAACTCCAAGTAAAGTTTACTTGGACCATTTAATCGAATGAATTTGTTTCGTTGATCAATAAAAATGACAGATTACATGTTAGTTCTGTAAATACACTCGACCAGTAACCATTATGTGTACAAGGTCGATCGTACGATACTCCAATTGACATTTATCAGTCTTATAGAAACACAACTACGATTTCTTGTTGATGTAGACATTTTCAATTAAAAAATAGTTGATTTAGATAACAATAAGATTGACCGTTATAAGTTAAGGAAAGGACAATCACATATTTGTACTAAATTGATATTACCAATTAACTGCAAAATCGAGTGAATTTGTTTGTAAGATTCCCAATAATTGATGGTTAGACCAAATTTACTCGGAAATTTTGAAAATAACATGATTTTATTTCAAATAAACAGTCAATTTCTTTCCCCACCATAACAATGTAACAAATTGAGGGTCTCAAAGTAACAATTAGCCTTGTGCAGTTGTGAATTGATTTCAAATATATCCAGCTCATCCTCCAAAGTCTATACACTATACTGGGCCGGGATTCCTCCTTAATGGAAGGATACACTCTGTGTTGCTATTGATGCTCATGTACCAGGCTTGTAACCCTCTTCTAAATCGGGCCTGGGCCCCGGCCCCCAAACTCCCTTCCACCCACATGAATTCGGGCCTCGAATCAATCCACCCCGACCCCTTCCCAGAATTTGGGCCTCCGTCCAAACAAAGACAACCATTGGAACTTGGAAGGAGTTGTTTTCTTTAATCACAGTGAACTGCCATAAGAATAATAGGTTGGTGAATCAAAGCCATCGTACGCTTAAGGAACAAAGGAAATGTGTGCCGAGGAAGCCCTTCCCTAGTGAGCCAAACCAGAATAATCCCAAAGGGTCCACGCTACTGGGCAGTCAAGAAAGAGATGATCCATGGTTTCCGAACAGGCCCAACACACAGTGCATCTGGGAAGCACAAGAACCCGCTTCTCAATAAGGGCCTCAGTAGTAGGCAGGGTCCGATTAAGAATCTGCCAGAGAAAGACTTTTAACTTAAGAGGAATATTGGCTTCCTACAAACGAATCCAACTCGACCTATCCATTCAACTGACCATAGACTTCCAACCCCCACGACGCTTACCAAGAGAGACTGCTAAGTGATAGGCCGATTTACGACATGTTTGCATTGTCGATATCAAAAGGCTCATAAAAGGAAGGGTTGCACATAATAAACATCCTCTGAATCGCGAGGATTTACATGTAGTACCGATCTAAGTTTTAAAATGTAACAGATCCAAAAGTCAAGTAAACTAAAAACTCCCTGATTAAGAACTGTATCTATCACCGGGAAACTTCCCAAATTATATTTTCTTTTCTTATGACGGTACCTTCATTTCTTAATTCTGTGGGGGCTGTGTGGAATCTGTTGGAATATCTTTCAATCCAACTGACCTTTCTTCTTCAATCCCTTTTCCCCCCACAATGCTGCTTCCTATTTCCATCCCCAGTCCCCACATCCTGTTTACCTGAATATTCAATTCAAAGCTCGTACCAAGTTGTGGATAAATCATCAATGGTTCCCAATTCCCATCCCCATTGTTTTTTACGACTTCTTCAGAACGGTGGGAAATTAAAAAGGAAGTTTTTTTTTGTTTTTTTTTTATATCTCATGTGCGCTTGTGCTCCAATGTTGACCCGACCCTCCCCTGCCCACCAATTCCGCCCCTTTTCCTTCCCTTTTGTCCCCTTTTCAAACTTCGCTGCTACCCATAAATGGTTCGATTCAGGGCTCCTGTCATTGGCTGGGAAGTTAAAAGCCGTTTCTTTCTGTTGGTCATCTGGGTACCAGTTCGTGAGGAATTCAAAGCTTTCTTGTCCGTTTCCAGAGAGGATTCAGTCTCGTTTTCACACCCGAGTTGGCTCGTTCGGTCCATAGATATACAAACAACTGAAGGGTTGCAGGGAATCAAGTTTACGGAGAAGAAACCTTTTAAAAGTAAAGGGTAGTCGAGAGATCTGTGATTGCTCGGAGATTTTGTTGGTTTGCTCGTCACGGGAAGTCTCACAAGTTCGTTGTTTCTTTCTTCCTTTGCTCCTCCGCCTTTTTGGTTTCTCTTTCTCACAAGACAAGTGCTGTGGAGAAGTAAAAGCAGGAAAGGGGAAGGCTTGTGGAAGGAAAAAGATCCAATCTTTAGCACATATTTCTCTGATTGAAGCAATCTGGTCTTCTGGGTAGTATATAACAGAGAGCAAAGCAAGTCCAGAAGCATAGAAGAAAGAAGGAAAGGAAGGGAGTATTTGAAGTTGGTCTTCTCCTCTGTTTTGCAAATCTGGTTTTCTCTTCGCCATGGACTATTCTGGAGTAGTTGAAGTTAGCAGGGATAAAAATGGGATTGATGAGATTCTACTTCGCAACCCTCGAGGAGCCTCAACTAGGGTCAGTCATTACTACCTTTGTTCTTTCCCTTCCTTTCCCTCTTCTTCTTCTGTAACTGCAGTTAGGGTGTTGTTTACATTCCTCAGTGGAATAACAAAATCTCCATTTACAGGTAAGCTTGTATGGAGGACAGGTTCTTTCCTGGAGAACTGACCAAGGAGAAGAATTGCTCTTCACTAGCAGCAAGGTGATGATGAATCAAAATCAGATTGGTGGTGTTTGTTTTTTCCCCCAACGCCATGGGAGGGACCCTTTTTCTTCTTTTGGAACGATCTGTTGCTTAAAATTGATGTTTGGTTGCAGGCAATATTCAAGCCACCCAATCCAGTTAGAGGAGGAATCCCAATCTGCTTCCCTCAGGTACTTCACTTTCATGCCATACTTGGACATTTCTGATTAAAATCAGTACTGTACTGTGAATTGGAACCTGAAATTTCAATGTTTCTCTAGTTTGGCAATAGAGGAGCTTTGGAGCATCATGGATTTGCTAGGAAGAAAGTGTGGATAATTGATGACAACCCGCCCCCATTACAGCCTAATGACTCCAATGGCAAGTCCTACGTCGATTTGCTTCTGAAGCCATCTGAAGATGATCTCAAGTTGTGGCCTCACAGGTAAACAACAAGGAAAAAGGAAAAGATTGAAGCTTTTCTTGATAAATATGAACAACCCTTCACCAGAACATGGCTTGATTGTTGGTATGTTGTGGGATTTTCAGCTTCGAGTTTCGCCTGAGGGTAGCGATAACAGCAGAAGGGAACCTGGCCATGGTTTCACGCATCAGGAACATTAACTGCAAGCCTTTCAGTTTCTCAATTGCATACCATACCTATTTCTCCATTTCAGACATCAAGTAAGTTTGCAGGATCTGCAGATTACTGCAGTAAATCTTCTCTCATCCAATGATTTCCCAAACTGACATGAATCATTTTGCCTTCTGGTGACAGTGAGGTGAGGGTGGAAGGACTGGAAACTCTTGATTACCTCGACAACCTTTGCGAAAGGGAACGATTCACAGAACAAGGGGACGCCTTGACTTTTGAATCTGAGGTCATTTTTTGGCCCTTCACTACTTCCCAATCTTTAATCTTCCTTCATTTTTCAGGTTGAATATGGAATTTTAGAATATGTGGACTTGTGGCTTCATGATATTGAAAGGAATCAATTTCTGAATCCCTTTCTTTATTATTTCCCTTAGGTGGACCGTGTTTATCTGAGTTCATCAGATGTGATTGCTGTCTTCGATCACCAAAGGAAGAGAACATTTCAAATCAGAAAGGAAGGGCTCCCTGATGTTGGTAAAAACAGTCTATTCCATTCCCAACCCACTTCTTCCTTTCTTTTCTTTCTGCCTTCTGAGAATTTCAACCATCATTCTCCACTTTGAAATTTCAAACTCCTGCTACAGTTAGAAGCTAGTTTGGTAGGCACGGCAGAAGACACTTGTACTCTAAGCAATCATCTATATCTTATTGTATCCTTTCAAAACCTGTCTGCTGCAGTGGTATGGAATCCATGGGAGAAGAAAGCAAAGGCAATGGCAGATCTTGGAGATGAAGAGTACAAGCAGATGCTGTGCGTTGATGGTGCTGCAATTGAGAAGCCAATCACGTTGAAGCCTGGTGAGGAATGGACCGGCCGTTTAGAACTCTCCCTCATCCCTTCAAGTTGATTGGTATGCTGCTGGTGGACCATCAAAAACACTGATAAAGTAACCTTCTTTATCTAATTCAACCAAATACAAATGGACAGAGATGGCCAAACAAGTAAACCTAATTTTTTGCTTGCTTTGCTTTATTTCCACAACTAAAGTGATTGCTGAAGGTGATAGTTACCTTAGTTGTGGAAATAGACATGTATTCATATATAGCTGCCTCTTTGACTTTTCTTTCTATAATGGTGGCATGACCAATTTTAGGGGTCTCTGCTAAGATAGAGAGAGAAAGTGGAGAAGAGGGTGTTTACAATAAAGTTAGAGAGAGAGAGAATATGGGTTAGTCTGCTTGGATGGAGATAATATGAGGTTTTTATTTCTGGTGTTCTCCATGTTAGCAGCAAGCAGGGAGGAGGAAGAAGAGTGTTATATTATTAGAGCATTTCTTTCTTCCCTTGTGTTATGATTTTTTGGTTGATTTCTTCGGTTTTTATTTATGTAATTTGGGGTTCTTTTGGCCTAATTGTAAGTGTATGTATATGGATCTGTCCATGATTGTGTGCCAATTGAGACATGCTTTTCTGATAAATAAATTGTTTGATTATTTAGTGTTCCATGCTCACAAGGTTTTGTGTTGTTTTATGGTAGTTTTAATTTAATTATTTGTTATGTTAATATTACCCATTTTAATTTATAATATGGAGATCCCAAATTTAACTTATAAAAGTTTACTATAATATATTTTTTTATGGGAATTTAGTATAATATATTTCAACCCGCTGATTGTGGTGTGGATCAACAAAAAGCTAATTGCAACAAAAATAAAGACATTATCCACAGGGCCCAAAAGCATTAATGGACCAGTAAGGCCCGGATATGGTCATAACGAAACGCGCATTAGCCCACTTGTAAATTGGGGTGGTCTACATGCCCACATGCCCTCGGGCTCACTTTTCCCAAGATACCCGCCCGCCTCACTTCACATCTTTAAATTTTCTCCATTGCATGCATTTTGCCACATTGGTAAAAATGCAAGATAGTAGATTTGCATTTAAAGGATGGTTTAGGAAACCGTACAGGAGGTTATACCACAAAAGTGAATGGTATGGTAACTGTGATTGAACTGTTTCCTACTGTTAAAACTGCCTACCGTTTCGAGTCTGGTATCCGATATTTCCTGTCCAACCGACCGGTACGGTAGGGTTTTCTAAACCTTGATTTAAACCATTGTGGTTTCTTTTTATATATATAGAATTTGTGATGAAACGAGAGATCACACTGGAAAAATGTACATTGATAATCAGTAATCACACTAGTCCATCTTCGTCTCCCTTTTCCCGCTCTCCTCTTCGTGCCCCAACATCGCCTCTCTCTTTCATCGTTTTGTAGTATGTGTCTCATTGCCTTCTATTTTAGTTGTTCCGTCATCCAACACTCGCACAATTAGTTCAGTTTTTTCCATGACTAACAACAAATAGGGATGGCAATGGGTCGGGTCGGGGACGGATAGTGCATATCCGTTACCCTACCCAAAGTAGTTCGAGTTTTACCCAGATCCATACCCACATATGAAACGGGTAGAAAATTAAAACCATGCCCATACCCGTTCGGGTTTCGGGTATCCACGGTTATCCATGGGTAATGATTTCTCTTCATAACTCCAACTAATATATTAACATTCACACGTATTCTCACATTACGCAAGAGGAAAAGTATGACAATAATTCACTAGAATGAAGAAAATTAATTAAAACAACACAATTTCATGAAAATATTATATTTATATGCTAAATATAAAATATGTTAGAGAAAAATAATGACTATTTCTAGACAAAATACATATGTATGTGTATAATTGGACGGGTTCGGGTTGGATACTGAGAAACCCATGCCCACCCATTACCCGCAATATTCGGGTTCGGGTTTTACCCGTACCCACTCAATGTCCTTCGGGTTCGGGTTTTACCCTACCCGATTAGGCCGGGTTCAGACGGATATCCACGATTACGGATATTTTTGTCATCCCTAACAACAAAATATCACAAATCACAATCACTTTGCGATTTCTCGATTCAACAGACAAATTCTATAAAATATTGTTGTGGTTGCTCGTCCCACCCCACGTGCAGGTGCAGTTAGCCAACTAATCTGGTGTCACTAACCACAACTGCATCGTATCCTAACCTTGATGGTAAGTATCCAACTTTCATTTCCAATCTTATTCAAATTCAAATTATACGTATGTATTGTTAGTGAATGGTATATGATCCACGATTGAACCTCTCTCAACAACTCGAGTTATTGGGACCAACTGGTTCTTGACATGGTATCAGAGCCATATGTGACAGAAATGTCTTGTGTTCGAATCCCGGTGACCCCCGTTTGTGAAGCACATGGTATCTTGTATTCAGACCTGTGCAAATGAAAGCCCTTATAAGGTGACTGACTTTCATTTGAGGGGATGTGTTAGTAAATAGTATATGATTCACAATTGAACCTCTCCCAACAACTCGAGTTATTGGGACCAACTGGTTCGTAAAATCAAACAACCCACAAACCTAACTTTGCTTGCCTTTCTACTATTCCGTTGTGGAAGTGGAATTATACCTATTTGCCTCCTAAGAATCGACTAGTTTTATGACTTCTCTATTGTGTTTACTTTTCCTCTATAAATGGTGATGGCACGAAACTAGCCTTTGTATGGGTGGCGAATGGCGAATGGCGATTGGGACATCAGTAGATAAGCAACGCCAACTTGTGTGGTGGGTGTTGGGCCTTTTTAATTCTTGGCCCTTAGCAACAAAATTAAGATCCGGTCTGGTTATGGACTTCAATTCCATCGATTCTCAGTGGCAAGTGCAATGCATGAACCACACTTCATTAATTAAGAGATGCATTTATAACTTACAAGCTGTAGTTTAATGACGACTGCGACATGGATTACGACCAATCTCAAACATTCTCTCATCTCATCTACTTCGTTGCCTTTACTCAAACGTACAAGACTCCAAGGAGTCGTTTGGATGTGGAAATTTGAAAACGTTGGAATTTATCTGAATTTTCATGTTTTACAAAACCAAGGAATTGACTTATGGAAATTGAAAAAAAATTCACGTTTGGATAGGGTTTAGTTTTGTGGGAATTGATGGTGTGGAATTTGGAAAAAGAAGTAAAAAAATGTGGTAATGTCAAATTACTAGGGGGTAGGTGTAGTATTCTCAATTACCATGAATGTGGTAATTGAAGCTAATTTCCATGGTCCAATTCCCATACCCTTTTTGCCCTCCCAAACGTGGGTTTTAAACCCAATTACTACATTATGTGGTAATTGGGTCCAATTACTGCATTGCATTTCCACATCCAAACGACCCCCAAATACAAAATCATCATTTTGAAGATATTCAAGAGAGAGTTCTAAAAGTTTCATGACAAATAAACAAAACAAAAAAAGGCAAGTCAAGAGTAAGTATGCACTTGATATCGGACTCTCCACATTAGTACAATATTGTTTGTTCTTTTATCAAGTCTCGAAATGTGTCGTATTATTTGAGTTTGGTGGACACTTATAACATGTATGAAAATTTCGTTTTTTTCTTCTTCCGATTATTTGGCACTCGAATTACTACTCTACATGACTATATATATTAGGTTGGTTAGTGAAACTTTATGACAAAATAAGTTTTAACAATTGATTTATTGGCAACTCCAAAAATACGTGTTTATTTAATGTATTTTACCATTAGAAGAATAAATTCAAATCTCAATCCAATTTAGGGGAGAAATCGATTGATGGTCCTTGGTAGAACTAGAATGTAGAAACCCTAAGTAATTGTTGTCATGAGTTTTATGAGTTGTATGCATCTAGATTTTTTGTTCTTAAAATAATTAATTCTTGATATAAGTTGTAACTAGTAAGTGCCAATATGTGATTAATCCTTGACTTTTTTTTAATTACTTGTTCTTTAATCATTTTGACTCTTCCATTTACTTTTGTTTTTTTTCTAGTAATCACTCAGGGGAAAAAACAGTAAAAAAAAAATCCACCTATCGTATCCAACGGTCCAAAACCCCCATCTCGTCCGAATCCTACTCCAATCCTACGGCCACATTCGCCGCAGCGGACCCCACCAGTACAACACTCGCCCAAAAGCAAAACGACATCATTCACGTTATTTCACGACAACGAGACATCCCTTTCCCTAATCCAAACCCCAAAACAGAGGTCAACAACAAAGTTTTAATTTGTTGGGCCCCAATTGTCACTTTCTCCAAGCCCATCGGGTCCGCCAGGATCCGCCCCGGAGGCCCAGAATCCGACTCCCTTGTTTGTTCATTGTTCTCCCTTCCTTCTTTCCCCTTTCTCCTTCATCCAAGCTCTCATCCATCATCAAAGCTCGTTTCTTCGTAGCCGTTTTGTTTCAGTTACCTTGTTCCACCGAACCGCCATCATAGCCGTTGTTTCGAGCTCACTTGCAACAATCCCACCACCTCTCCACATCTGCTCATCAGTATTACACACTGCTCCATACCTTTTCTTTACCTCCACTTTCTCGGGAAAAATTCACTTCCCCTTTGTTGGTTTTCCACTTTTCGCAGCTGGAACTCATCACTAATCAGAGCTACCAATTTTCCCAGTTCCCACTCTCCAATTAACCATCATATTTGGTAAGTCTCAACTCTCAACCACTATTTTTTCCCCCTTTCATCTCTCTCTCTGATTACTTTATAATTTTCAATTTGGGTCTGCAATGCATTGAGCAGAAGGTTTTGGTGGGTGCAATGTGAAAGTGGCATGAGCAATCATGCAACTTCCACTCTGGGTTTGAGCTTTTTGTTTTTTTTTTTCTCTTTCCCTTTTTTTTTGGCGAGGAAGAAGATAGATAACTAACAGAGTCTTCACCTCCAGCTCCAGTTAGATTTTCCGAGTATTTTAATGGTGTGTGCCAAATTTGTTATTTTACCCTTTCCCTATCCAAATTGATTCCTGACAACATTGAGTGCTGTTGTTTGTCTAGTTTATTAGCTTAATTCCTTGACTCTTGCTACATTATATGTGTGGGTTCACCTTCAAATTGAGCTGGATTTTTGTTTTGTTTTGGTTGTTCGCTTTCAGATCTGAAAGAAGAGAGTTAGTAAGTAATCTCTTCTTTTCAGCACTAGTTTAGGCTGGCTGGCGGCTTTGATTGATTTCTTTATTGAGGCCATTAAAGTGGCGAAGTAAGAAAAGCAGCAGGCCATGGAAGGAAAGGAAGGAACAAAAAGAGAGAAACCTCGATTCCTGTTGTGGTAGAAGAAGCACAGCGAGAGAGAGATTTTTGAATTACAAAATTCACATATTTTCTTTTTGACCCATTTATTATTCAAATCCAGCAACCCAAAAAGCTTCATCCTTTGGTGTTTTCTAAACACCAGCCTGCTGCACAGAGTGACAGAGAGATGTTTTAGCTTCTGCTTTTGTCGACATTTATCTTGGAATCTCCCTTTCCTTTCCTTTATTTCTTTACTTCTCATTCTGTGTTTAAATTTGGGATCTTTCCCCTTTTTTCTCCCTTTTTGTACTGTATTTTTAGTTGTTTCCACCTCGTCATAAAATTCATTCTTGTTACAGGGGAGAGGGTGAGAGAACTGTGGGAAAGAAGCAGAAGAAAACAGCTCGTTTTTTCGGCCTTCTCCGAATTTTTCCTCTCCAATGGAAGACGCTAACGCTAGTAAGGCTATTGTTCTGTTCTACTTGGTGGGTCTGATCCTGCTGGGAGCAAATGCAGACCCAGTTGAAGATAAACAAGCTTTACTAGACTTCATCGCCAAATTCCACCACTCCAGAGCACTAAACTGGAACGAGAGCTCCTCACTCTGCAACGAATGGACTGGAATCACTTGCAACGAAGATGGCTCTCGAGTGATCTCCGTTAGGCTCCCCGGCGTCGGCTTCCAAGGCCCCATTCCTCCCAACACTCTCAGCCGTCTCTCTGCGTTGCAGGTTTTGAGCCTTAGATCCAATGGGATTACTGGGGAATTCCCTTCTGATCTCTATACTCTAAAGAACTTGTCTTTTCTCTACTTGCAATACAACAACTTATCTGGGTCGTTGCCAGCTGATTTCACTGTCTGGAGCAACCTCACCATTGTGAATTTCTCCAACAATAGGTTTAGTGGCACTATCCCTAGCTCACTTAAGCAATTGACCCGACTCGCTGCTTTGAATCTCGCAAACAATACCCTCTCCGGTGAAATCCCTGACCTTGGTTCACCAGCTCTGCAGCAGATCAACTTGTCCTACAATTACCTCTCTGGTGCCATCCCTAACTCTCTCAGGAGATTCCCAATCTCAGTGTTTGCTGGTAACAGCAACGTTTCGGCTGAAGAAGGTGGTTTCAATCCACATTCCTCTCCATTTCCTACACCATCACCGCCACATTCGGTTCTTCCTTCGTCCAAACCCGGGAAGCGTCTCAGTGAAGCAGCATTGCTCGGGATTATAGTTGCTGTTGGGGTGTTAGTATTGGTGGCTTTTGCTCTATTGCTCGTTGTTTGTTGCTCGAGGAAGAAAGGAAGTGGTGAAGATGTGTATTCGATTTCGACAAAGTTGCAAAAGGGTGGAATGTCCCCTGAGAAGATGGTCTCAAGGAGCCAGGATGCTAGCAACAAGCTGGTGTTCTTCGATGGATGTAACTACGCATTCGATTTGGAAGACTTGTTGAGAGCTTCTGCTGAGGTTTTGGGGAAGGGCACGTTCGGAATGGCTTATAAGGCGATATTGGAGGATGCTACTACAGTGGTGGTGAAGAGGTTGAAGGAAGTGGGTGCTGGGAAGAGAGATTTCGAGCAGCAGATGGATATCGTCGGTGGGATTAGGCACGAGAATGTGGTTGAGCTCAAGGCTTATTACTTCTCCAAGGATGAGAAGCTTATGGTGTGTGATTACTACGCCCGGGGGAGTGTCTCAGCTATGCTTCATGGTAATGCTTTGCTCTACTCTCTGTGTTTTTACTTAAAGTCTTTTATTTCAACGTCTTACCTGCCTTGATTAGTACTAATTAATCCTTTGGCTTACCCCATTATGCTTTTTTCTTGAGGGGTTTTGCTGGGTTGATAGATTTCCATATTGATGGGTCTGGATTCTGAAAAGTAAGATGCATTTAGTTAATAATAGAATCTGAAATCTTGCTGGTACTTTTTCTGTAAATTTAGGTATGTGGATTGCCTAATTGTGTGATTGCTCTTTACTACAAGTGGGTTGATGATTTTTTAGCCGTCATTTATATATCCATCAAGTCGATGATTTGTTTTGTATATTCATCACTTCCACTCTTTGTGAAACAAACACAAATTCCTGAAATTTGAACACAATGGATCACAGTAAATCCATCAGCCAAAATGATTCTCTTAGTAGTATTCAAGAGTTGCAATTTCATGGTTGAAAAAACATTATGATCCCTGACCATCTGATCTTCACCTTGCAGCCAAAAGAGGGCACGAGAGAGTGCCATTGGACTGGGAAACGAGGATGCAGATCGCCCTAGGTGCAGCACGCGGCATCTCATGTATTCACCAAGCAAATGGAGGGAAATTTGTCCATGGCAACATCAAGTCCTCCAACATATTCCTGAACCCCACCACCGGCTACGGATGTGTCTCCGATGTCGGTTTATCAGCCGTGATGAGCGCACTTGCCCCTCCGATCTCTCGTGCAGCTGGCTACCGAGCACCGGAGGTCACCGACACGAGGAAAGCAACACAAGCTTCCGATGTCTACAGCTTCGGCGTGGTCCTGCTTGAGCTTCTGACTGGGAAGTCTCCAATTCACACCACGGGTGGGGACGAGATCATACATTTGGTGAGGTGGGTTCATTCGGTTGTGCGAGAGGAGTGGACAGCCGAAGTCTTCGATGTGGAGCTGCTGAGGTACCCGAACATCGAGGAAGAGATGGTCGAGATGCTGCAAATCGCAATGTCTTGCGTGGTGAGGGTTCCTGATCAGAGGCCGAAGATGGACGAGGTTGTGAAGCTGTTGGAGGGTGTTCGAGCTAGGGATACCGAGAACCGGGGATCTACGGGAACTTCAACTCCACAGATGGCGTCAACACCGGTAGCAGCTCCTGCTGCAACTTCGCCACCGCCTCTAGAATCATGAAGATGATTGATGTATTAGCGAAGTCCGTCGTAGTCCTTCGTTATTCGTTGTCCTTTTGATTTTAGCCATTGATCATTCTGATTGTGATTTTAGTTGAGTGTTGAATGAATGGCTTATTTGACACTTCCTTGTGATCTCAATGTTGCTGTCAAATTTGTCATTTGTTCATTATGTTTAGTAGTGATGGTTGTCAAGTTGTGATCTTTGTTGAAGTAATTCAGAGTTGAAAAGCAAGTCTCTGTCTACCTCTGAGGATCTGATTTCGTTTATTTTATTTTATTGAATCTTAATACTCTTTTTCTTTCACCAAAAGTGAACTGAAATGTCTGCTTTGGGGAATTCAAGCTTTTAATTCAGCCTTTATTTTGAAAATGCATCCGTCTTACTTCTTGTATACACAAGCTTTATTGATAATACTCGGCTGCATTAAACTGAAAAACAACTAAACAAGCGCGACAAGCAAAGCTTACGAACTGAATACCAGAAAGTAACGGGCCATTCATAGAAGCCCACCCGAAGCTTCATGAACAGTACAAACCAGAAAAGCCCAACATTTATAGGCCCAACATTGATGAACACATGCCTAAACCCTTTGTAGAATTTAAACACCACAAAGAAATTTTCCACTGTTGCCACTTAACGCCGGCCACCGCTTTATCGTTTTGGGCAAGGTTGTCAACCCGCGGGTTGACCCACTTTGACCCTGACTCAGTGAGAAAAACGGGCCGCACGTACCCGCTGGGTCGACCGCCACAAGGTACAGGGTTAGAGGTCAAATTGTGTCATTTTTTTCTTTGTTTTGCGAAATGCGCCTATTTTCCGATTTTTCTTTTCGCCTAACTCAATATTTGGAATCCTAAGTTGAACATTTGAATATTAATGTTATATAAGTGTGTGTGAATTTTCACTATATGTTGAATCTAAGTACGAAATGTTATTTTGGTGTAATATTATATGTTATAACTCATATGTTAGATGAGATTTGATATAATTTATCAGGACAAGTACAATATAATGACGCTTTCCATATTTCCGGGCTAAAACGGCTGATCCATTAACCCTTGACCCACTAGCTCAACCGGGTCCGGGTCAACCTGCAGGTTGACAACCTTGGTTTTGGGTCTTAAGTGAGTAGGTTATTAATAGCATGTTCGATAGTTAGAATTTTCTAAATCTATGAATTGATTAATTTATGTATTCTAATAGTTCCTAAGAAAATGAGAAAGAAAAAGTAAGAGATTGACAATCTCACATTTTAGTTGCATTTACACTAATACATAATAATAATTTTGGTGGACTAATTTTTTCATTTAGGATAATAAACGACTGATACCCCTAATTACAAATATTTGTCTAAATATATCATATGAATATCAACTCCGAAACAACTCCTAAAGCACAAAAACCTAGTAATAAATCTAGTAAACATATCATAACATACCCTTTAAATCAAGAGATAAGAATATTTTCGTTTTAAATCAAATTGATAATCATCTTATTGAAACTTTATATAATTCTTAAGGTAAGTCAACTCTCATTATGCATAAGAATATACAATGCAACATCATTTAAACAATGCCCAAAACTTCTTATCCAACGACGCCAAAACATTATATACGCAAGTGGATAAAAGCAATTTCTATCTATGAGTCAAGAATTGTAAACACAAAGATGATGAGAACGAATCTGATGTGTTTATCACTATATCAATCAAACTAATCACTAATCAATCACTCTAATTATATAAATTCAAAATAATGACAAAGGAATAAAACAAAGTATATGTTTGGCCCTGCTTTTAGAAGTGCTTTTCGACTTCAAAAGCTGAAGCAGGGCCAAACACCTCTAAAAGCTCGGCTTTTGAAAAGCCTAAAAGCGCTTTTGTATAACATAAAAGCAGAAGCTCCGATTTGGAGCTTCTGCGAAAAGCTGTTTTGAAAATACAAAATTATCCTTACCATATTTTAATTTTATTTCAGAAAATATAATTTTTCTTCATTTATATCATTTTAAAAATAAAATAAAATATAAAATCATATTATTTAATATAAAAAAAATTTAACAAGATTCATTTTTACTACTTTTTATTGTTTAAAATTTTTATTCGTATTTTATATTATAAGTCCTTTATAGTCATTTTACACAACCGCTCATATTAAAAAGCACTTTTAATAGTTTTCCAGCCAAATACTAAACTGTTTTTTTTTTTGAAAAATGCTTATCTAAAAGCTCCCGTCAGAAGCTGCTTCTGCAAAAGCTACAGCAGGGCCAAACTAAGCTAAACTGTTGGTCGAAGGTGATAGAATCTAAAAAGAAAAGGAACCAATCAGGAGCAAGGAAACACAGTAGAGAACCTGCTCCTGATCACGTAAAATAAAATCTCAATCTCTCTCCTTTCACAATTTCGTTGAGAAACAAAAAAAAAAAAAAAAAAAAAAATCAAATCGTTTCTCTTGCTCACAGTCACAAGTTTCTTCCCTTCAGTTTCCCTTTCCCGTAAACAATTTAGTTGTTGGTTTCTCCTTTTCCCTACCGTTTCCCGCTGCCAGAAGTCCAAAACACGAAACCGTAGCCGGCCGAGGATCGCTCTCAGCTCAGGTGCGTGTTTCCCTCTATCATTTCCTCGCCTGCTATGCTTTGGTTATCTCAGATTTCTGTTGTTTCTTATCAGTCTCGCGCTGCTTTTTTGAATTTGGTAGAAGGGAGGCTCAGAACGATCTAGGGTTTCGTTTTTTCCTTTGGTTCGGCGGCGATGGCGTCGAAGCGGATTTTGAAGGAGCTCAAGGATCTGCAGAAGGATCCTCCTACCTCTTGCAGCGCAGGTCTGTGTTCGATTCTTGCTGCTGTGCTTTTTGACGGATCTATCTGCTACTTGCTTGTATCGTTGATTTCTGTCGGTGACATGATATGTTGGTGTTTTGAGAATTATATATTTTGCTAGTGGGTTTGCTTCCTTGTTGAGTGTATTTATTTGTTTATTGTGGTAAGTAGGGATTGAAGATTCTTAGGACGATCTTTCAGCTGAGTGAAAAAGGATTGGTTGTAGTTGGAGATGAAAAAGGTGTAGCGTGTTTTCTTTTCACTCTGAATTTTGATGATTGACAAATTAGATATTGCACTTTCATAGGCTTCTATCCGTGATATGATGAGGGACTGTTTGGCGTCCTCAATGTAGCATCTTCTACAGGGATGTTGTTTGTGCAATTGTGCGTTTAAAGCAAGCTCTTTGTCTCTGCTTATTTTTCATTTAAGGTAATAAAATTCAGTCAGTTGGAATTGTCTTTACTTCCGCTAAGCTGAGCCAGAAGAGAAGTGCCCTCTTTCAGTAATTTGACAGTAGCACCATATTAGGAAGGAGTTTGTGAAGTTACCACCTTTCAGATTGCTGTTTTTATTTTGCTATGGGACATTTTAACTCACCTCTGGTTGAGTTGTCATGGCGTGCAGGTCCTGTTGCTGAAGACATGTTCCATTGGCAAGCAACGATAATGGGTCCTCCAGATAGTCCCTATTCCGGTGGTGTGTTTCTAGTCAGTATTCATTTCCCGCCAGACTATCCGTTCAAACCGCCAAAGGTGCTTCACTGAACTTGGTCGTATATTGTCATTCCCATCCTAATCTTATTATCGTCCTTTATATCGCTTCACAGCAGAAAGTTCAAGCAGTATGACCCTTTGTTATTCTGCTGTATGATGCATCCTGGCTTTCGTGATACATGCTTTTAATAGTCACTCTACATATTTATATTGTTGGAGTGAATCTGATAATATCCCTGCTACTGTAATGAATATACATGTGCAGGTTGCCTTCCGTACTAAGGTCTTTCACCCCAATATCAATAGCAACGGTAGCATTTGCCTTGATATTTTGAAGGAGCAATGGAGCCCTGCACTCACCATATCCAAGGTCATTGTCTCAACTGCTTACCAATATTTGGAAATGATCAAACCTCTTCTTGTGGACATGTTCTGTGCTGTGTACTTTGGCAGCAGGGCTTATGTCGGAACCGGTTTCCATTACTCAGTATCTGGCAGTAGTACTTGTTCCATGGCTTAATCCAAAGGAGCAGTAGTGTAGGCAGCAAATCAATCTCTATGTAGATAGCAATCGGAAGCAAGCAGTGTGCTTCAAACTTGTGCTCTACTTTTTTCTCGTATCTGTTATATATTTGCGTCCAATCAGTACTAAATAATCATGGAATCAACTTCTGCAGGTGTTGCTTTCGATCTGTTCCCTACTGACAGACCCCAACCCGGATGACCCTTTGGTGCCGGAGATCGCCCACATGTACAAGACTGATCGGAGCAAGTACGAGACGACGGCTAGGAGCTGGACTCAGAAGTACGCGATGGGCTAGCATAATCTGCCGATGCGCGTTCTCTGGGAAAGGGAAAACTTTCTTTACTTTTGTGCCATTACTTCATGAAAGAAAATTGTTGTGTATGAAAGTAAAAGTATGATATTGCTGTGCGTCTTATGAACGGGACCTTGAAAGACAAAAAGGTCAGGTCTGTCTAGACAGACTTGTGCCCTGTTCTCTCTGAAATCAAACACATCGGTTATGTATTAATTGTCTATCAGAATCTATCTATACAAAATTTCCTTAAGATAACAGTTCTACTACAATCATCGCCCCACTCGCGTCGTCTAGCTCGATCTTTTCCTTATGGTTTCTCTCTTACATGAGAATGATAGACTTCAACATTGTTCGTATGGTCGTTTTTAATGCGAGCCTAATTCTATGTGCATTGTAATCGTCCGATTTCAGTTGAATTGTTAGAAACACAGAACTATGGTTCTTACTTTTTGCCATTATGCCTCAGTTGAGTAGCGTGCACCAAAGAGAAACAAACAATTATGACAAATGTCAATTAACAAAGTAATTACATTCTTTATCTATTTATAGGTGCGGTGTGTGTGTCTACATGTCGTGTACAAACTAATCAAGTCCTGATTGCTCTGTATTTAGGATTAGGATAAGTGCAAATCAGCCCTCATAATCATATCCAACCTTTCCTTAATCTATCATAATCTTATTTGTCCTAGTAGTACTAACCGAGTCTAAAACTCTAGGGCAGCGCTCTTTCTTTCCATGTCGGATTGCACCAATTCGGTACCTAGAAAAAAGGTACAAGGACCGAAACGTCAAAAATAATAATTTGAAAGAGTAATATGATTGTAAAGGTCGGTACAGGGAGTAATTGTGTAATTTATTTTCCTTCCAGCGAAAGGAGGGCGGGGCGCCGTTGTTGCCCTGTGGAATGTTGATATCTATATATATCAAGCGTGCGTCTGGGTTTTTGTTTTCTACAGAATCTAATTCTCTGACGATCAGTCTCAGGTAATCTCGCGTTTTCGTTCCTTCCTCTCTTTCTATCTTGCTTTCGGTGCACGCTTCGGTTTCTGGTTCTTATAATACTGTTGATTTCGAGAGCTGTGTTTGGATTGAAACCGATTGTGACCTACCTCCTCTGTAGGGTTTGCTGCTAGGAGAGGGGGGGAAGAGAGAGTTGGAGCTGTGCTCTCTTTCTGTGCGCTTCGGGTGCTATTTTAGCTTCGGCCATGGCTTCCAAGAGGATCTTGAAGGAGCTCAAGGATCTCCAGAAGGATCCGCCTGTCTCTTGCAGCGCAGGTTCATGATCTATACGCTGCTTTGATTAGCTCTTGTCCTATTTCTATTTTTGTTGATCGTAGCATCGTAATATATGCTCTACTAGAATTGCGATTGTTGTAGCCTTGCTGATGATTCCCTGCCTACCGATTAGGGGAATTCAGTTACTATACGTGTGTGTGTGTACTGTGTATTGCAACTATGTTTTGGGACTCTGGGACGTGATCGATGAATTTCGTTGTTTGTATATAGTGATCCTCTCTGTGGATTGTCGTGCTTGAGTTTTGAGCTAGTTTGTTGGTAACAATTCGTGGAATGTTTCGTTCAGACTAAGAGTGCTCTCGAAACTGTGATGGATAGTCACAAATCACACTGCTCTCGTGCAGCCGTAGCTACTGTTGATCTTGGTAGACTAATTAGAAGCGCTTGGTCACCAGCACCGTGATAGTCCTAGCTTTACCCCGTTATGTTTGTACGCTTCGGTTAAGTTTAGTCTCTTTAGTTTGTTTGCTTGGGTAGTCTTCCCTCATCTTCCTTGTTCGAAATTGTTATGGTTTGAGAAAAGGAGACTGGCTGAGTAACCTCATTGAATAGGAAGTAAACAGTAGAGAGGATCAACTGATTCTTATTGAACCAAGTTTATGCTAGTAACATGTGGATTACTACCAGGAGGTTGGTAGGAATTGATGGACATGTCCCTTAACCTAGGCAGGGCTACCAAAAAAAGCAATTGGGATGAGCCAGGGGTGCTTTGCTTCCATGTTAGATCCTTGCAGTGGGAGTAGGCACAAGGCAGTTTCGTTGAAGGGTTCATTTGAAGTTGATTGAAGGAGTTGGCATCCAAAACTTATAGGCTTTTACCTCACTGAACAACTGGTCACTTCTATTCTGTGATAATAATGTGTTCATCTGCTTAGATAGTGGTCTAAATTTTAAGTATGCACCTTCAACTTCTGCTTTCCTCAGCTGTATCTTGATTCTTCTAGAGCTATTACTGTGAATGACTCTTTTGTGTTGATATATTATCCGACTACTTCTAAATAAGACATGAAAGGTGTTCACCTGACTGGTTATAGTAAAGGGTAAAGTTTAGCGAATTTGAATCCACTGCTCGCTTTTGGTCTTGTTATCCTCGATATGTTGAATTGTCTTGCGCCATATGTAGTGAGATTGTTCGGGAGACATGGTCCAAGGTCGGTAGAGAGAGAAATTTACTCGAAGCTTTTTCATCTCCATATTCTCACTTCATTATTTGCATGAATTGTACATACACGAAGTACCTCTATTTTGGAGAAGTCTGGTATCTTCATCTGCATCTTCAATCTTCACCAATATTGAACTGGATTTTTATTTTCTCCTGCTTTGGGTGACTTTAGGTCCTGTTGCCGAAGACATGTTCCATTGGCAAGCAACAATTATGGGCCCTCCTGAGAGCCCATACACTGGCGGAGTGTTTCTAGTCAGTATTCACTTTCCACCAGACTACCCATTCAAGCCACCTAAGGTATGTTAATCCAAGAAGTGGTAGATTTTTGTACAAATCTATGTTTCATTTGGTTGCTTGGAATTAGAACTGCTGGTGAGATGTTATTTTAGAAATGAATGGGTGTGGAAGGTAGGCTTTTCGCAAATATCAGAAGTTGGATTTATTCATCCTTATCAGAAAAAAAAATACTTGGTTTCCTGTTCAACACTCCATGGGAATTGGGAGCAGACGTTCTCCATCCTTACCCTTCTTTCTTCAGTGGAATCTTTACATGTTGGATGGTGAAATCTCAAATCATGCTTTCTGTTCGTACAGGGAGTGATTTTGTTGACATTCTCCTCTTTGCAAAGACACTATTCAGTTTCATTACTATTCTAATTTGCGAATGTTTCCCAAATTTTTCCCCAAAACTTTGTCAATTTGGTCATCATATTTTCCCCTCCCTCTGTCTTCATCTTGGCACAGGTTGCATTCAGGACAAAGGTCTTCCACCCCAATATCAACAGCAACGGCAGCATCTGCCTTGATATTTTGAAGGAGCAGTGGAGCCCAGCGTTGACCATATCAAAGGTTGGTCGACTTACACCTTAATGACAATGTGCCTCATTTGCTTTTCAAGAGCTTCCACACCCTGCCATGTTAAGACTTGCTCATGTTTTCCCCCCTGGTACTCTTTCAGGTTTTGCTCTCCATCTGTTCACTATTGACAGACCCAAACCCCGACGACCCGTTGGTGCCAGAGATTGCCCACATGTACAAGACCGATAGGAACAAGTACGAAACAACCGCTAGGAGCTGGACTCAGAAGTACGCGATGGGTTGATGAACTGCAGCTGCTGTTCTATTGCTATGTGTTATATTATAAACTCAGAAGTACTTAACTGCTTTGCGTCTTTTGGTCTATGAATGGAAGTTGAGCGAGTTCGTGTGTCTTCTCGTTGTAAGTGGATCAATTACAAGTCGTCGATCAATTACTAGTCGTGGTGTTTAATAACTGTTTCTTCTAGACTTCGGTGAACCTGGAGTATACGATACTCCTGGTGAGGCATTATGATTTATGAATGATGCAAAGTATATAGATCGAACTCCCCCGAATCACTACCTTAACCTAAACTCTTTCATCTTGTTGCTGTTCTTCATTAAACCCTTTGTGGGTAGTGTTTCTGGAATAAAACTCAGAAGTCAAAATTGGAGGAATTCCATTCTTCAGGTCGCCGTGCAAGTTGCACTGACACCTGCAGAGATTGAGAGAGAGAGAAAGGGGGGAAAAGGAAAAGGAAAAGGAAAGGCTATGGTGGTTTGTGGCAACTTGCAAGTGTCGAATAGAAGATTTGCAGGTTTTGTTTGTTTTCGTTCAGCTGGCAGGCTGGCAGGCCACCCAAACCAAAAAGACTATAAGGGGATAAGTTTCAGACTCGTGAAAAAAAGCCGAATAACAAACGGTCCATTTACACTTTTTCTTCAGGCTTTTAAAGGTTCCTTCTTTCTCCTTTTCTTCTCTAGCTTTTGACAAATCTCTGATTGATTGGGCTGCCAACAAAATCTCTACCACTGAGGGCCGTTTGTCGGCCCTGCCATTGATACTCCCTACCGGCCCCTACCCACTTCGCCCTCAAGCCCTATATCCCCTGCTTAATATACCACTCTCCGTAATGACAACAACTCATTTCGTTGTATAACTATGCGATTAGATATTTGTTTTTCGTTCATTTGAATTATATCACAGGCAGTGGATATCCTATTTATACTCCACATCGAAAGAAATTTGACCCAATTTTATACATATATGTGTTTAAGAGTTCGTGTGCAATCGCATTTGCAGTATCTGTGATCTCGTTTGTTTCAAAACCAGATGAATCTATGAAGGAATGCATCAAATATCAGATAACCATCCAAACAGGGCTTGAAATGGTTGGCCTGAAAGGGATTGAAATCTTTTTGAATCAAGGTAGGGCAAAGAGACTCTGCAAATTGGCTCTCTCTCTGTCTCTTGAAGGAGCTTCTCAGCCAATCCCGAGTAGAGGACAAGAGTGAGTGAATTGGAATTGGGCTTTTTTCCCAGTCCAGGCACAGCAGATAGCTTCCAAACCATTCAACTCTCTGCAACTTGGCTGTCCTTTCGTTCTTCTTCTTTTTACTCAAAATTAAGTGATGTAAATAAAACAACAACAAGAAGAAGAAACAAACACATTGGCATTAATTATTTTGACAGTCCAAGTTGAAACTTTGAATGGTTAAACACACACGCAGAGACGATATCATACCATATGCAGACAAATCTGATGATTTCAAATCAGATCTTGATGGTAACATTACATTTACTCTCAGTCTCACAGAAATGGAAAAATCAGGCAGCTGCAGCCAACCCTTCGTTTAACAACCAAAACCCACCAAGGAAAACAGAGTTGTTCGTCCCAACTAGAAATTGTCAAAACCCACCAAGGAAAACAGAGTTGTTCGTCCCAACTAGAAATTGTTAAGGCCATTATTGTGAGGAGATCTTTTTGTCTCTGGAGTACCCACTGTTTCACCAGTGGCAGGTGGCAGCCTTTGATTTCAATGGGGGGTTACTGTTGATGCAGCTGCCTGCCCACCAAAAAATCTACATAGAATTTGGGGTAGCTGTAAATTTTGTGTTGGGTAATCTTGGGTTATTGCTCCATTTTCATGATCTCTATCTAACCCCAAAAATTTTATGTCGTGACTCTCTCAAGAATAAGTTGATGCCAATGGTTCAAGATATTGAAAGTTTAAGTAAGATTTTATAATAAATCTTATACAACACATTATTTTATAGGATTGACTCTATTACTTTTACTAGTGTCTTGCACGACCATTGGTCAGACCCACAGCACAGGGCCTCAACTTTTCGGGGGCCTCATAAGTCACAATCCATTAAACCGGACTTCGGAGGCATATCCAACTTGGGCTTCGACGTGGGCCTCATAATCGCAGGCGGAGCACACCCCTTGGGCTTGCAAAGCGGCCCACATAAAAACAGACATGCACAAGAGTATCTTGTGACGGGATGGAGAATCGAACCGCTGACCTCCATTTCATTAAAAAGAGAACCAACCACTTAGCTGAAAGTCATTTGATGAAACAAAATTAACAGTAAAGATCTTTAACGTCTCTCTTCTTCTATTCCCCAAAAATTTTCAACTTTTTTAAACCATCCAACGCCTAAATATTAATTATTCACACTCAATTCTAATGAACTTCTAATCAATGTCCATCCCTATTATCCAAGCACATAATCGACTTATCTTAATTTTTAAGTTCTTTTTTCTTTCTCTTTTGCAGGGAACTTAATATTGATTGGAAATTTGGAATCACTAATCTTTGGTTATAATTTTTAGTTATGTGAACCCAAAATTTTGAAAAAGGTAGTTCTAACAGTAAAAGAAAACAGAGAATTAAGGAGTCTGGATACATGTGATTCGAAAATTAGAAGTGAAGCTAAATCATTGGATTGTTAATGTTTAGTAACCGAATTTTTGGGGCCACATTTTAAATTCTTGAACAGGGCCTCCAAATATCATGGGATGGCCCTGTCTGGTCCAAGATATATGTCATATCGATAGCCCTGTGGAGTTGAAAGATGCTATGGGAGTCTAGGGCTAGCTGCTGCTGAAAAGAACGGGTGGACATGACATTGAACCACAACTGAGAAAACAGATCATGGATCAAGACAACCGTTGAAGCATTGAACTCGTTGAGGCACATTTCGTTTTCACCTGAAAACAAAAGGTCTAGACAAGTTGGGCTACTATGGATAGAGAGCCTAATAGCCATTGCATGTTCCTTTGGGAGATTAAAGGCTATAATTGGGTGCATATATCGATCAGGAAGATTTTGTGCTTGGACGTATCTGTATAGCTTCCTCAGCTTTTTTCTACAGGCCTCCTCTCCATCCATGCAATGCAAATGCAACCCATTGGCCAAAACCATTCAAATTTGGCATAGCCGCTTTCTGTACAGTCGTCGTCGTCGGCTGGGGTTTCCGTACTTTGAGGCATATGGAAAATGATGTCTAAATGGAACCCTAGCTAGCTCACTCCCTTCCCTAGCCAGCCAGCCCTCACGAGGATAAATATCAAGCTACAGTAGACGAAAAAAGGGTATCGGTAATACGACTAGTTTTGAATATGTAGGTCTCGATTTCGAATCCTTTATGTAGTATCTAACCAGAAAAAGTAAACATAGATTACTTTTATCTAAAAAAATATCAAGCTCCAGTAGTATACAACGTCCTTTTCATCTAATTTGAATCAGTAAAAAAAAAAATCATTTGAAAGTTGTTTTGTTCGTCTTGTTCGATTATTATTTTAAAGCTTTTTTATTTTATTTTAGTGAACTATTTCTCTCCTTAATGAAGGAATTGATATATGGCTGCTTTTACGTAACTGTACCATATCAAGCTGATTATCATGGTCTGAAGTCTATCAACTACATTAACTCTAAGCCATAAGATTACAATGCTAAGTCAAAAGCTTGATTACTAGCTTTAGAAACCATCATCATGTAAAAAGCTACACAGAAAGTTATTAGAACATGAGAAAAGGGCTCTACCCTTACTAGCTAATTAACTAGAGTGGGCATGCAAATGAAGTTAGTAGTAACACTAAGTGTGTAGTTTTATTATCCACTTGTTGTGTATATGGGTCTCAATAGTCAATTCGATCGATTTAGGGTTTTGTTTGTATGTTCTTTAATTGGGGCAACGTGAGAACCGTGTCCTTTTCCATATGTCGGGCTAACGTTGCCCTTTCCCTTGGCTTGGAATTAATAACACTATTACACTTCCTAGCCTCACTGCTATGATGAAATGAATAGCCAACCGAAATCATAAAGAGGATAACAAACATATCATGACCAATATCTCACTTCTAGATTCTCTCTCTCTCTCTCTCTCTCTAGCAGTAGCTACTTGTTGCGCTATTCGAAAATGGGACGTGGAGAAGTAAAAGAAGAGTGAAAGAGGAAGAAAGGTTTTGTTGGCCCCTACCCACTACACCATGCCAGCCTGTTGATCTTCTTCATTTGTGGGTTCTGTCGTGAGATGAAGACAAACAAGCTTGACATTTCATACGTTAAGCTTTAAAACACCGTCGAGCCCTAATTTTCCCCACTACTTAATGATCAGTTGTTAGTCTCCTAAAAGTGATTAGAGTATGTTGGTGATGTGTCCATGCCATGAATGAAGTATTAGCTAGTTGAGGTTTCGAAGAACTTGACTGGAACTAACTTTTCCATTTTAGAATGGTGTTGATGGGAGCAAACATATCCAATCATGATGCTTAGATGATTAAGTACTTTAATGGCTGGTAATCATTGTCCATTGAGTAATCAGAAGCAAGCTTTGTTCATTGATTGACATGTGTTTGATCTGAGTGGAATATGGGGAAGTTGGGCAATATAGATTGGCTTAGCTTTGGGATGGTTTCTTTTCTATTCGAATGATCTTTTGAGTTGTAATCGGTTTTTTAGAATGTGCGAGAGAGTTGACCCTTCAAATCTTCGAACTGATAATAATGGGTGTTATCTCTATCATGCATAAAGTGTGATAGAGTGTGTTCGAAAAACTACGTGTCTTCTAAAAGCCATCTTGCAAACGAATACGAGACTATCATAACTACCCGCGTTCAACTCTTATGATTGTTCCATCCTCAAAATTGATATGAACACGTTATTGAAAGGGTTGTCTCTCGAAGTGTCTCGCACACGGTTATCAACTATTGAAAGTGATAAGTAGATAAATTATACATGTATTTAAGAACTAAAAAAACGAGCTAGCTATGGGAAAATGCATTAACAAGCAAT